GAAAGATTCAAAAAGAGTCGAACTCTCATTATCTCTTGTTCACCAGTTATAGTTGCAGTTACTGGTCAAATGAGGTACCTAGAGTATTTAAATACTTTAAGCTAGTAAGTCACTTATTTTCTTTTAAATCAATAAGTAATCCAAATAAATCAACCTGTGTGTTGTTAGGACGCAAATATGCCAAATTATCTTCCAAGTATATTATTACCAGCCATCAAATTGATACAGTAATTGGACCGCCATTACCTGCTTGTTTACTTTAATTACCTCATTTCTGAAATGGACAAACATAACAGATTGTGTATCAATCATAGTAAATTAATTGAAGTCCTTAGCCGTTTCGACATAGGTCGGCCATAATGGTCTCCTCAGAAGACCTTTTTCTGAATAGGGCGAAGTTTGTAATGAAATATTTAGGAGTTTGGGTTTTAGCAGAAAATGCATCATATTTCCTCAAAGCTTATCGAGGGTTCATGATTACTTTGCAATACTTATTTTTGATTTTTCAAACGATTTATATCATCCAAGTGTGGGGAGATTTAGACGCAGTTTCGCAAGCGTCCTATTTGCTGTTCACACAGGCTTGTCTTTGTTTGAAAGTGACCGTTTTTCAGATAAATATGCCTATGTTGAAGGATTTGTTGCGGTTGATGGATGCAAAGATTTTTAGACCTGAAAATGATGTTCATGAAAAGTAGGTAACGAGATACTTACTGCCGGAGTACAGAATTTCTAAATATTTTTTGAATACTTTCCACTCTTCCATTTTAATAATTTGATGTTGATGTACTCCGGCGTGAACTAACATTAATTTTATAAGAAATAATATTCAATTAAGCCCAATCAGGTTATTGGAATTGCAGGCGGCCCGAATAAAGAGACTGCTGTTAGCTTTCATGGTCAGCTCACAAATAACTTGCGGCATGTGGGCACTGAAACCATTGTTCGACGATGCTGACAGGAAATTTCCTTTCGATATGTGGTAAGTATTACTTGAACGATTAGGTAGATAGCAAATATGTCACAGGATTTTGTTTTGTACTACTTTAAACTTTGCCGATTGTACTTCATCTTTAGGCGTGCACTGCTGAACGAAGATCTCTCCTCTCCCTTAATCCTAAAAGGAATCCTCAATAAACAAAAATAGAAATTCGATTTTGTGAGGATTGTCAGTGGAGGTGAATAAGATTTATACTGAAAAATAGACTTAGGTAAAATACCAACGGCAACGGCTAAAGACACACTTCATTTCTAGCAGCACTTTATTTAACGGGTGTAACTGTGATGTCAAAATAACTGATTTGATTCTGCTCATATTACCAGGATGCCAGTAAGCCCAGAAGATGCTGTGCAATACTACATCGGTTATGCTTTCCAACTAGGAACAATCTGCATTAGTGCCTACATGTACTTTGGTGTGGACAGCGTCACATTTTCTTCAGTTATCTTCGGATGCGCCCAGATTAATATCATCAAAGAAAAGCTGATGAGTGTGGGTTTATATTTCTGTTTGTTTCTGTATCTACCTACTAATAGAAGTAGGTAGCAAAGTAGAAAAGATATGAAACCACATAATTACTATTTTGAAACCCTTGTAGATAACTTCTATAAAAGAGAAACGTGGTACTAAGGCGGTGGATGAGGCCCTAGCAGAAAACTACAACAAGCTGGTTGATTGCATTAAGCATCATCAGGCGATTGTCACGTGAGTGATAATTGTTTTGTAAATGAATACCTAATTTGTTAAAGTATAACCATTCTCATTTTCAAGTGTTTTCAGATTTACAGAACTCGTGGAAAACGCTTACCATCCATATCTGTTGTTCCAATTAATTGGCAGTGTTGGAATTATTTGTATGTCTGCGTTAAGGATTTTGGTTGTAAGTACTCATTCACCTCACAGCTTTAGTAATATCATCATCAACAGCCTATAAATGCCCACTGCTGAGCAAAGCCTCTTCTCACACGGAGAAGGTTTGAGCATTAATCACCACGCTTGCTCAATGCAGGTTGGCGATTACCAACTTACAATTAGAAATCATAAGCCCAGGTTTCCTCACGATGTTTTCCTTCACCGTTTGTCAGTGATGTCTGAATAATCTTAGAAAGTAGGTACATATAACTCGGAAAAAGTCACATTGGTACTTGCTGTTGGTAGGTTTCGAACCCGCACCCTCATGCATGAGAAGCGGGCGTCTTACACCTCCGGGCCACCACGACATTTATTTTTGTAATATGGAATAGCTTAAATAAATGTATGGTTTCGAAGGTAGCGAAAGTCGATAGTTATGTAAGAGTAGCAGCTGGAGATAGTATGGTTGTGGCATATTGTGCCATTATTATCTAGACTAGACATCTTGAGACAAAGGCATGATTGCGTGACAAATTGAAGAGACACGACTCGTAGTCATATGCAGGTGAGGTGAGGCACATCTAGGCTGTGTACTATTGTTATTGTATACCTATTATTTGACTGTTCACAAGCTAGTCGTCGCCTCCGAATTGTATTTGTATCAAACAACCAGCGTTCTAGCGATTCCTGTAAGAAATTATGTTTTTTTTTTTACTTTAGGTGGACTGGCGCAGCATGCAATTTTTCTCCATTCTGACGTACCTGTCTGTGATGATCAGTCAACTCTTCGTCTGTTGCTGGTGTGGCCACGAACTTACTGCTACGGTGGGTTAATAAACTTGAACGTTTAGTTTCTAATTGTTATAGATATTCTTTCCTCATCATCATCATCAACTGCCTATAAATGCCCACTGCTGTGCAAAGCCTCTTCTCACACGGAGAAGGTTTGAGCTTTAACCCGTCGTGTGTCTAAACGTGGATCCACGCGAGACACAATGTATTTATTGTGTCTCATATCGGTGCATTCAAGCGGTTAATCACCACGCTTGCTTAATGCGGGTTGGCGATTAGAAATTATAAGTTCAGGTTTCCTCACGATGTTTTCCTTCACCGTTTGTCAGTGATGTCTAGATAATCTTAGAAAGTTTATATAACTCGGAAAAAGTCACATTGGTATTTGCCGTTGGTAGGCAGAACCAGCACCTTCATGCACGAGAAGCAGGCGTCTCAAACCCCCAAAAGTTCAAACCCTGATTTCTTAGACTGCTCTATATGCAAACACAGGAGAGAGCGACGGCGACAATATTCTTTTGTCAACTAATCTAGACGCTTCAAAGGGGCAGTAACTTGATAACGTAATTATAAGTAACTAAAACTTGTATTTCAGAGTGAAGACCTGCACAGAGTCCTGTACAAATGCTACTGGTATGAACAGGACGTCAAGTTTAAGAGGGAGCTCTGTTTTGCCATGATGCGTATCAGCCGCCCTCTCGTCCTTCGCGCTGGACACTACATTATCCTGTCGCGACAAACTTTTGTTGCAGTTAGTACCCATGTTTGTTAAACTATTAATAGAAACTTTACAATTTGTATCTTGGGTCATAGCTTTTTTCAAGAAATGAAAAGATTGATAGTTCTCAGAGACATAAAATAATAAGAAAATATGAGCAGCTACTGAAAAAGAGTGTAGTGTTGTTACGTAGGCTACTTAGTGTTTAATTATTACCTAAAATAGGTTTTTAATTTTTGTTACAGATCCTTCGAATGTCCTACTCTTACTTCGCAGTTTTGAATCAAACGCACTAAAAACGCTTCATAGTAATCGTAACAGGGTAGTTTTACCTATTCACATCACATAGACGTTCAGCAGTAGCATTCTGACATCATTGATGAAGAATTGCCCAAGATCTAGCAATGAAACAAATACACATAAATACGCACAATAACCTGTGTTTTATTCTTACTTCTAGAATTAACAAAACATCTTTCTAGTATTTAAATAATACAAAAGTGCGTCCACATCTGGCGAGTGCGCCGCTTGCGAGCCGATCACCAATATCTCGTGAGCTGCAGATGTCAAAGTCAAAGTCAAAATAATTTATTTCAACTATACCAGGAATGCACTTTTGAACGTCAGCAATAGAAATTTTAAAAGCGAAGCTATTTGCTCATTCCAAGGTGTTGATTCCTATGGAGAAGAACGAGCAAGAAACTCCATAGGTTACTCTTTTCCAATCAGGTTCACAATACAATTCTCCAGTTACACAGTTTTATTGGTTTGATTGTGCGAGAACAATGTACCACCAAAATCCAGTCAGAGATCGAAAAAGAAAATAACCGATGATCGAAAAAGATGTGGACGTAACATTAGATCCCTTACAGAGCAGTTTTTGTTTCTCGTGAACGAAATCTATAGAGAAGCGGTTTAATACAGACAAAACACTTTCAGTTAAAAGCCTACAGTTCAACTGTTTACTTTATATACCTTACGGTATAACGGTACAGTTCGCCTGTACAGTTAAAACTGCACAGTTAAATCTTTAGGTGTGCAGCGTGCACAATGTGTCCAATTATTTTAATTATCACCTACAGCAAAAGTTCGTGTTGTTGTAGAACTTTGTAATTGCTTTATTTCCTATACAATTGCATAGAAGGGGTAAGACTGATAGATGCTCTTTTCAAGTCTTTTAATTTTTTATCCAAGTATAGAAAGCTAGGAAGTGAGAAACATGGCAGAAACCATAGTAACACGGAACTCGTTCGGAGCTCATAGGGTGTGGCGAGTTCATTTAACCAGGATCCTAATATACCTAATTAATTATTATTAGACGGAAGGATTCTTTGAAACGGCAACGCATTTAATCTCTTTCTGTACCTTTTGGGGGTTTCCTACTGAACCAAAATGCTTTAGGTAGATAAATAGCCTCGGCATAAAGATAATTGCCCTTTGGAACTAAATCAATCAAAGCGAACAGTCTGCAAATTATCACACGACAAAGTTCAGGTAAACAAGTATTAAAACTTTTCAATTTCAACGTTTAAAGTTTTTAATCATTAAACAGTTCCTCGGAAACATTATGGCAATGGAAATTACGGTAAATATATAAGACACTACGTACAAACAGAGGTGTCATTTGATTCAGTAAATCCAGCTTGTATTAATGAGCAGAACCTTGACTTTGTTTTCTCACTTCTTCGAGCGTCTCTTATATTCACGCTCTTAAATATGGAGGCAGCAAAAAACACAACCCTATTCCTAGGCCGACCGAGAAAAATCCTAACAGCCCATGGGGTCTGGCCTCACCCAAACAACTACATAATTTTGCGCAAACTTTACATGTTATTTGTAATGTGGACTCAGTACTCTTTTCTCCTCTTCGAAATTATTTACATAGTCAACGTTTGGGGCGACATTGACGAGGTATCCGAGGCTTCTTATCTGCTGTTTACTCAAGCATCTCTGTGTTACAAGTCCACCACTTTTATGATCAACAAAAAAAGCTTATTGGAGCTCCTAAATATTATGGATAGTGACATTTTTAAGCCCAAATCTGCGGAACATGAGAAGTAAGTACCTACATGATTTTACTTAAAGGTATTTAGCAATAAGATTTTCTAATATATTCTACTAGGAATGATTAACGTAAGTTGTCGTTCAGGTTGGAGTAATTATCTTATAAGTACCTACTTTTTTTCTTTTATCAGAATTTTAGCAGCTCAAGCTCTGAAGATAAAGCGCCTGTGTTTGTTCTTCTTGACGAGTGCCACCACCACTTGCACTTTATGGGCAATGATACCTCTTTTCGATGATGCTAGCAAACGGTCTTTCCCTTTTAGGATCTGGTGAGATTTGAGTCTTATTATCGTACAATAAAGTAAAATAAGTCCACAAGATGCTGCAAAATATTTTCTGTTAAGTAGATCGTTAGTCAGAAGACTCGATGTTATGTCGTCTTCTTTATTACTCTTCTGTCTTTATGTAGCAGACAAGAGATGTTGACACTTTTGTTCAGGATGCCGGTAACACCATTGAAGTCACCAGATTATGAGCTCGGCTACTTGTACCAGATGGTCAGCATCTACATCAGCGCTTTCCTCTTCATATCAGTGGACAGCGTCGCCGTGTGTATGATCATGTTCGGTTGTGCAGAACTAGAGATTATTATGGACAAGATTCAGAAGGTGGGCGTCAAATAAAATTGGGAGATGCTTTTCCTCCATAATTTCCTCAATACATGTTCAGTTCAGAGTAGTGTTCTGTAGCTTATATCAACACTTCTATTCTCTTTATGTTTCCTTAGTGACTGCAGTTTGTTTTTCAGATCCAAAGTATATTCAATACAGATCAGTCAGAAGAGGGTCGAAAGAAGTTGATCAAAATGAATAACGAACTCCTAGACGAATGTGTCAAGCAGCATCAGACGGTTGAAAGGTAATACAGGACAAGGTAGGTACATACCTGAACTACAAAACTTAAATCTTTATACTTTATGAAAAATACTGCCTTTTTGCAGACTCATCCAACTTTGTGAAGATACGTATCACGCGAATATCTTCTTTCAACTAAGCGGTACTGTTGCCATTATCTGCAATATAGGATTAAGGATTTCTATTGTAAGTTACACAACTTTAGATTTTCTTAGCCGACTTTAAATTTAACAATACATTACCGTATTACTAGAAGACTTAACCTACCTCTCTGGAGTTTTGAATTATTGACGCCGTCGTATCAGAAACCTGGCGAAAAAGCACATGCGTTCAAATTATGGCATGTTTTAGGTGGAAAAGAACAGTGTGCAGTTCTTCTCGATGTTGAACTACATGGTGACGATGCTGTCTCAGCTGTTCCTGTACTGCTGGTGTGGGCACGAACTTACAATACGGGTAATGATACTAAATAACTCACCATTTTTTTTAAGGAGGGAAAATCATCGAATGACTTTTCTCGCCTGTGTGAGGCGGGAGGGAGGGTCAGACTCTTACTGACTAAAAACCACCCTATTCCTACTCCTGCATTCCTTCGAGCCCGGTTACCGGGGCTCCCCCGGTAACCCGTTAAGTTCTCCGCGGCTCCGTATCGGCATCAGCGCTATTGGGCCCCATTCGAGGTGGTCTGATGGCTCTTTGAGGCGCACGCTAAAACTCGACGCGCCGTACGCTTGAGTCTGGTTCTGAGGTCTTAGTACGGGTTTGTTTTACGTTTAAAGTAATCGTAACGAGTACGCGTTCGGCGCTGTGATTGGTTGCTTCATTGGCGCCGGCCAATCAGAGTGCCGAACGCATACTCGTTTCGAATACTTTAAACGTAAATCAAACTCGTACTAAGGCCTCTGGTCAGGCGGCGAGCCACCCATGCTCGCCGTCCGCAGGCCCTAATAACTCACCTAGAATGTTCTTCGAATCTAGAACATAATTTTGAGAGTCGGTTAACCACTCTAGATTCGAGTTGATAGGTTGGAGACGTTGGAGCTGGAGTGAGCTTTATTTTCTTTGCAAAGATGGCCCGGTTCTCACTATTTCGGTCCTCTATACCTGCCGCACTGGCTCTATCTCTTCTTGGCCGTATTGTGATCGGGTTCAATTCTATGTCCTGTATGAATATTTAGTCTGCTAAGCAACAAAGAGTAGACAAAGGTGAGGATGGGATTTTAATATTGTATTCAACACAACTTACCTTATGATGATGATTATCTAGATTAATAATGTAAATCACCATTATATTGTTTTTCAGAGTGAAAATCTTCGAGAATGGTTGTACCAATGTCCATGGTATGAGCAGGATGCCAAGTTCAGACGATCTTTGTTCATTGCCATGGAACGTATGAAGAAACCGATCATTTTCAAAGCTGGTCACTACATATCGCTGTCTCGACCTACGTTTGTAGCGGTTTGTATTGATCTTCAGCCTTTCCTTTTGCTAATGAAGTTAAAAATCGAATGACAGTGGGTAGCTTGTTGTAAATGAGATATGTATCAGAATTGGGATCATGACAGAGTATGAAAATTAAAAATCTAATTAGTCCATAAGTAAGGTAATGAAAAAATACTAGACACGTAATTTTTTATTTCGTTGTATAATAAAACAATACTTCGATAAAACGAATCAAAGTTTAGGAGTGGGGGCTAAAACGTCATTTCTACGCATAAAATGAACATAGAAGTGACGCCACGCGATTTTTCAAATCAATATATCGTCGAAGGGATTCGTTACTGTAAGTAAATAAAAAATACGTGTCTAATGATTAAACATAATCTACAAGACGGACATTAAAATAAAAATTAGGCATCTACCCTATTGGTTTTTTGCTAAACAATTTTAAAGTACCCACATTTCAACAAAAAGTTAAGTAATTAAGTAGGTATTTTCTGTGTTCACAATATTTATTTTTCTTTGCAGATACTACGCTGTTCATACTCATACTTCGCAGTCCTGAACAGGGTGAACACAGATTAAAAATAAAACTTCAAATTTCACAAATTATTATTATTTATTTATAAACCGTGTAGGTATCACATATGCTTAGTGTAACATTCACGACAGTTTAGGCGAAAGTGTGCTTAATTATGAAAAATATTATCTTTTTTTTTCTCGTAACATTCAACGATACTTCCTAAAACCTTATTTTGAACACCCTATGATACTTCAATACGATTTATTTTTATAATCTGTGGTATAAAAACTCAAGACGCCGTTATCGTCGCCAGCGAATAAATTAAAAACAAAAAAGGACACAGATAAAAATAAATAAATCGTACCAAAATATCGCAGAGTGCACAGGCTTAAAAACATTTTTGATTTTTAGTCAAATTGATAAATTCGTGCGCTTAAATTAAAATAACAAGTAGCATAAAGGCGAAAGTGTAAAACAATTACAACCACATTTTAGAATTTATATTCGCAATAAATAGGAGATTACGGCCTATTTATATAGGAACGATAAACTTAATAAAATTACAAACGGAGCACTCACTTCGAGATTCATACCACATGAATTGTACGTATATTTAAAGAAAGCTCAATCCCATAACATCCTAAACATAGCTAACTAAAATACAACAAACGCCAACCAATCATAGAAAAACATCATTTTTATATAAATAGGCCTTGGTTTATAGAAATACATAATTTGAGTAAATTCAGTAGCATACCAATTTTCCTTAGAGCGCTTTCGCACGTAGCGATCTTGCGTAGCCGCGTAGGCGAGCGTGTCGAAACGGCTACGAGGCATGCGCAGCTAAGCACATGCGCCTACGCCGAACAAACGCTCCTTGCAATCTTTTATTTATTTAATACTGCAATAAAGCGTGAACCATACTTTTCTTTCATTTGAACCCCTTATCTTTTAAAACAATCACATCAAAACGACTTAAGAAATAATTTTGAAATATTAATATTTAATTTTTATAATGGTAACAATCAGTCGCTTGTCATTACTTAATTGTTACGAAGCTCATTTGTTTGAAATAACACATTTGTGACTGTCTACGTTGAAAGAAAATTAATTGGCATCTAGCCAGAAAATAAACTTTTTTTAGAAAGATATTGAACCTTGTAACCAAATGCTATAAAATTGAAAATTGACTGTACATAAACGAACAACTTACATACATATTAAAATATACTTTTAATAATTTTACATGAAAGACAGTCACTGTTAATTATTCGTAACAATATTTTTGTGATTAATAATTATAGTGCGCATGAAACAATAGGTAAGGCATTAGGTTTTAATTACATTATCCGTATCACAGCGCGATAGAGCACAATCATACAAAATATCCAAGGATTTGGCTGTTAGAAAGGATTTGCACAGATTATATGAAGGGTTTTCGCCATTTAAGTCTCTAGTGTAGCTTTAAGTCTATTGACCCAAAGAGTATTTGCTAATGCCAAATCATTATTCAGTCAATGACTTAAATGAATCCCAATAGTTTGGCACTGGCGTTGATACTGTACTCTATTGGGCATGGACAATATACCTTAGTTCCCACTAGCGCTCTTAGTGGAAAATTCAGGCACGATAATCATTACTGTCCGATATTTTTCGTTCAAGTTTCACTGATAATATAGACAAAAGAACCATTTTCTAGCGCTCTAGTAATTCAATTTCTTGAATCGAAAACGTTTATGTTTCATTAGATTTGGATAATACTTTGAATTCTGTATAAATGTGCGTGCTGGCGAGAAATAACAAACATACAGAAAGTATATTTGCAAAAATAAAATAAAATTTTTAACTTTATTTTAAATAAGGAACTCTAGGACCTGATTAATGATAAAACTATTCTGTTCTCTTTTCTCTTCTGATAAAAACGTAGTGTTTTTATTTAAAAACATCTTCTGTATGTTTGTAATTACTCGTGAATGTATAAAAAAGGTATTGGTTGGCTAAACATTGCGTTTTAGGTATAATATTAAAGCTTTTGTTCAGCTAAAATTATAGCTGGATTCATAATTTATGGAAAGGCCGCATTAGCTGTGTAATTGTCGCATTCGAATAAGACCACGTTATTATAAGATGCAGGATAAATGTGGATCAAGTAGCAAAATATCATTTCAATGAATTTTTCTTACTGGCAACACATTGCAATGTTGCTATCTTTCAAATTACATTTTCAACTAACAATTTTGTTCCATTTGCGTCAACTAAAGTATCTAACAATTTTTCAAAATTCAAACTTCACGTTATCAACGAAAACGTAACGTAACGTTAACGAATTTCACAAAACGAACACACAGACAACTATAAAAAACGTTACGCGTAAAAAACACGGGAAAATTATTTAAAAAACCGACCACAACCGAAATGTATGAGAAACGAGTAAATTAAAAAAAAAGTTCACAACAAATCATTTTCTTTGCAACACTTGCCTTTAAAAAAATTACATTTCATTTTTATAAATAGAAAAGTTCGCCGACAAAACTGCGACATACACTACAATATCAAGGTAATTTCAACTCTACATTATTAACCATACGATTGAGTTTATTTTGTCAAATTATTTGATAAAGCAAAAACAGTCACACTCATGTGGACCGCTATCAATAAAAAATCATTTGACTCCCATAATTTAATTTAATTTGATAAACATCTGCAGACTATGTCGGTATTCCCACTATAGTGTATGTCGTGTTTCTTGATATTAGGGAATTATACTATCTAATTGCCGCTTCCACCCACTGAAATGTTGATTCAAAACCATTATTTCTTATGAACAATTCTTTATCACACACTGAAAATTACATGTTCTTGGGTTTTCATTCATTTCCTTGCTCTTTTTTATCTATAGTAATCGAATACATAGTGATATTTTTGAACAAAAACGAAATCCAATATTATATTCGATGTCTAGATACGTGGGATGTTATTGTAATAAGAATAGGTACTGTAACGGATTTCCTACATTTAAATAATAATCATGTACTGCAATTTGAACATTTCAGTGGATATGAAGCGAGTGAAGCTAAACCAATCGTATCGTCTAGTTACCACTAGAACTTGCAACACTAAGTACAAAGGGCTTATCTACAAAGCCTGGCTGTGACGTGATTCTGAACCTTATTACAAACACCTAATGTTCATATTTCCCCGGATATGTATACGGCTACTGCCGATTCCTCCTACTTGATATGCTTTTATTTTTAAAGCAAGCAAACAATGCGTAATAGCTTTTATACAAGGTGAATAATATGATTAATAAAAAAAACGTGAAAATGTGTGTTTACCTATATTTTTTGTGCTTGGGGATAAGAGTCTGGGCAGTAATTTATGCTCCTTTTTAACTTTCATTATGCAGGCGAGGCCGCGAGTTAAAGTAAGCAGTCATACTTTCTAATTTTGGCACGTGTATGAATTTCGAATTGAACGATTTTTAACAAGTAAGATATTCCGATGCATGGGCGACTAGGAAAAGAAGGTTGCGCATGAACAGAAGTAGCATAGTCCAATAGCAAACCAAAACGCTACTCCTTAAAAATTCAATACCTAAAAAGTTCAGAATCACCGCACAACCGTTTAGCGTAAACATATCGGGAACTACATTACGTTTAACTATAAACTAGTTATTTTAAAATAGACGCTACAATAACCGCACTAACCACTATATCGCTGTCTTTTTAGGAAAACTGTTATTGTTCACTATCGTTATTACAAAATCTATTTAACTTTTGGCTAAATCCATTACCGGAGTTATTGTTATCTATTATACAACTTTCAATGGATACCGAATAACACGTCTGCTGTGTAGGTATACCTACATGGCAAGTCCTGTATTTACTTAGTATATTGTATAGTGGTTTACCGTGTTCGGCGTTTTCATTGGATGCTACATTGGAAGCGGCCAATCAGCGCGCCGCACGCACTCTCGCTTCGATGACTTTAAACGTAAAAACGTATCTTTTATTCTCACTCTCTTCTGTTACACTTTTATATTGCTATTGTATTGCTACGTTTTGTTCCTTGCATTCATGCCGTATGCTGAATAAAACTCTTTTCATTTCATTTCATAAAAGAAACTCGAACTACCCTTCGATTCTGGTGATTGACTGGCTACCAAAACGTGCAGTTAGAAAAGATTGATCAATCAAGTTGAAAGAAGCAGAACGATATCTTGATTACCGAAATTCTTAGCGAAACTAAATTCTTTTATGAACGTAACTTGCGAGGACTTTTATAAGGACTGTTTTCGATATGCATTAGAAGTTGTATAATAGATGAAAAGGGAGTTACGGTAGACCCACCAGGTCACCCATTTGACACAATCCTACAAAAATCTATTTAATAATGTCTTAGTAAAAGGTATGTTAATTATTTTTCACCATTTCTACCCGTAGGTCACAATGTTTACTGTAGCTAAAAATAAATAAATTGCCGATACGGAACCGCGGAGAACTTAACGGGTTACCGGGATCCGGCTCGAATTGCAGGAGTAGGAACGGGGTGGTTTTTAGTCAGTAAGAGTATGACGCTCCCTCCCGCCTAACTCAGGCGGGAGAAGTAATTCCATGATTTTCCCCCCTTAAAAAGAATTGTAGCTATAGACACTTCATTTACTTCATGTTAACCTATCCAGTAATAATCAGTTCCTCTCCTTGTCTCTTTCAATCAATGAATTCATTTTCAATATAAAAGTTTTATAAATGAAAATTATTATAATCTGTATTTTTTTTTACCGTAACTCCCAAACGTACACTTGGCCAGTAAAACCTCATTATTGAAGTCTTGGAAGATACTCGTTATTTAAATACTAAAGCGTATAGTACAAATATAACGTAAACTACAAGTTTTGACATTTATCTGGCGAAGCAGAACCATTGGGACATGAACCACAGATAAAACAGACGAATTCTCAAACAGCTGTCACTATGCCGCCATGTCACTTTAAATGTCATTTCAATATTCTTGCTACAAATCCAGACTCTGTTCAATAACAAATAGAGTTCTGAATTTATTGGTCCTTTTAGTAATACTTTTGAAACTGGGATACTGGTTTGACGATTTTACAACTAACTTGATTAACACTCAAAAATCACTGGCAACATTCAAAGCTTGGCATCTCGAATAATAAAAAAAATCGAATTGGAGAATCGATACTGTTTGAGAATCCTTTATCTCATTCTATCCAATCACACACGTAAACATACAAAAGTGTGAATACTCATACATATTTCAATACAAGTCCCGATGGCTCTCAGCGACTCCTGCGCATCTCTAAATGGCACTACGTAACTACAAATTACATACAATTTGCATGGTCCTGTGACTGATAATTTTAATTCCCATTAAACAACTTTCAATCCAAGATATAGACAATTTAACAAACTATTTTATGAAAATATATCATTTTAGTACTCAAAATCATCGTTTCCGTTACATTACACAATATTTTGAGCAAATGATTCTAATTCTTTTGCTAAATGGAAGTGTAGGCTACCCGTTTTAATGTCGATTATAAATTTAATAATTATATTCATAAGATCTGCAGCATATTGTATAGATACAGCGTTTCATAATAATAATTTCGCAATCACTGAATTTTATTTTATTTCGAGAATAATAGAATAATAATAAAAAATAATAAAATCAACAGAATTAAATTTAATTAAGTACATTCGATAACAATTTTAAAATGAGATTTGTGTTGCTTGATCAGTTTTGCGACGTAATTTATGAAATCTCAATTAACTATCTTTAGTTTTGTCCATTGACTCACGTCTGCTACTAATTGTGTTAGGTATTAATTTTCAATAAACACGAATTCAACCAATCAAGATTTCCGTGCCACAAGATGCGCTAGTGTAGCTTAAGGTCTATTGTCCAATAAAATATTTGCTCATATCAAGTCATTTGTCAGTAACTTGTGACAGCTACGCTGATTGGACTAAAATGGCCTTAGTGATCACTAGCGCCATGTCGTGGGCTCAGTAATGAAAGCTCTCATTCTGGTCATCACAACATATTTCTAGTTCAAAACTGTCTAACGTATAAAGACAGCAGACTTGAGTCCCAAACACATGTATAATTTTACATAGCAAAACTGATCAAGCAATAAATATATGAAAAAATACAATAAAACAATAATTGATTTCTTTGAAAATTAAGGACTTTTAACAATTGGGCAGTGCTATTACTAGACTACACTTAATATTCTTATCGACAACCTTTGTAAACAAATTACAGATACATTACATTATTATTACTTATATTATTTTTTGGGGTATGAAGTTATCTGACGGACGAAATTAACAACCGATTATAATCCAAATATCGGTTTCTGAGACCCAGTATAACTAGAGATGGGCGATTTTTCTGACAAATACTTAAAATATATAAATACTGATTAAATACTGGGTATTTATCAAGTTGCTGCAAAAATACTCGACTAAAAACGGATAAATACTCAGTATTTATTAATTAGGAGTATTTATCCGTAAAATCGCCATCTGTAAGTAAAAGTCGATCTGATTTTATTGAGTTTCTGTCAAAATATATCGATAAGAGATTTTCATCGGTCATGTTGCTAGTTAATTTCGGCTGTGAGACATATACGTATACCTTATGAGGTGACTTGTGTTGAGATTGTTCTAAAATATTAAAAACTATTTGTCGTTGACTGTACATAAGTGAGATTACATTCCTTTTAATTCTATATACGTATATAATGTTAATAAAATCAATATATATACGTAGAAATGTGATATTATACGTCTATACAAACTTTAAAGCATGGCATGTTTGACTCCATAAATTATTTGTTCGTAAAAATCCTACTTAAAGTTTGTATATTCTTGCTGTCCAAATATGCCTTCTAATTGTATTAAAATAGAGCTGAATATTCATTGATATAAAGTCTACTCAATATAGTGGAGAGTGGAAACTTGTTACACACTACATCTAAAAGGTTGTCGATAATTTACTAAAAACACAATTAAAATATAATAATTTTATTACTCTAGAATACTATTAAATTGCAATTAATTCAAATATACAAAATTATGAGGTAATACTAAAGGTAAACGCATTTTGTACATTATTTCATTATTTTGTTCAGCTGTATAATATTGAGATTATATATTTTATTCTATATATTGGTAACAAATCTATTAAGGAATAACTTGGATTTCATATTATGTTCGTTATTATTTGAACAATAGAGTTCACTTTTAAATATTTTTTAAATATGATGTACCAGGAGATTAAGTGCATAGTGGAGTACTTATTATTTTAAAAACAAAAAGATAATTTGTACACCCAAGTGACATAAGTAAATAAAAATTCCCATCAAATTGACAATGGCAAGTTTCCACGTAATTTGGTCCTACATAAGTTAAAAAGAAATCCGAGCAAGCCAAAAGGAAGCAGGGCATTAAAAAATCTACTCTCACAGCTCGACATAGAGACTATTTTACAACGTTCCTTTTGACTGGACGGGTACTAGGAGGGCTTATATAACCCGACTCAATAGAGAAGTCTTTGGAGCAAAAGCGGTCTCTTTACATCTAGATACATGGAAAGCTACTTCTTTAATGATCCGGGTTATATCATTTGGCATCACCCGTTAAGGACTATTTTAGTGGATTTTGGACATTTTGTTTTCATAATTATTTTTAATATAGTCTCTTTTAAATAATATCTAATAAGTTGTCTCAATAGAATAAAATGTTGATAATTGTATTATGTAGAGACTAAATTAAAAATTATTATTTCTAGTACAAACTACTCAGTATTAAAAGCATCAACATTGTCTTTGCATGGCAAGTTTTATGTTACGTGTAAAATCGATTAGGGCAAACATCGATACGAATGGACTATCGACTGGGCATCACTAGTATTGGAACTGTACAGACACAACCACCCCAAACTGTCAAATCTCTTTAGCGAATTATCAACTTCATTAAAAAAAAAGATTGGACCATTTAGGGTTGTTTTTTGAGTGTCTATGGTATGTACATCATGCGAGAACAGTCAACAAAATTTTGACTAGATGCGACTTCATTTCACAAATAAGAAAAAAAAAGAATTGTATTTATTAAAACGTCAATTTAGAGTAAATTAATTGGCATTTTGCCTCGGTTACACCCTGGGAATGTGGGGTTGAGGAGATCCAATATAATAGTGGAGTGTTAAACGAATGTACCGAGGCAGGTTAAAAAATTAAACGTATTATGTATAAAAATTTGAGCGATGAATACTTGCATGATAAATATTATCAATTATTGTAAATCAACATCGTACTCTATTGTCTATGTTCCTTAATTTAATGACTCACCATTACTTCGAGTAAATACCTGATACCTGTAACAAATGTAAACTAATTAGTTAGCTCACGACCACCCCTAAACCATCTCTTAACTAAAAGTTACTTTGCGTGCACCTAAATTAACCCCTTAATATAAGGGGTCTGGAAGTTTCCGGTTTGTACTCGTTTTGAAAAACATAAAACAATCTTGTACTAAGGCCCCAGAAAAGTCGCCACGTTTCGAAAAAAAGATGGTACAATACGGTTCACGAGTTATGGCGGGTGTGAAGTTAGCCGCAAGTCAGTTTCGCGCATGTATACTCGCAAATAAATTGATTAAACAATAAAACGATTGTGTTTAATTAGACTCAATCCCTAGCGTATACCTGCCCCGCACAAGTCGCCGTTTTGGTTCCTTAAATGCGTTATTACGCAGTTTTCCGTCACAACGTGCTACATTTTGTACCACGCTGTGACGTCATACGACATTTCAAATCAATATATCGTCGAAAGCATTTAATTTTATTTATTTAAAACTTTACGTACAACTGTATACAATGGCGGACTTAATTTTGTGAAAAAAGAAAAAATACGTGACTAATGTCTTAAAATAATCTACCAGACGGACATTAAAATAAAATTTAGGAAACTACCCTATCAAGAATGAAGGTAAATACTAACCTGTATTAGAACCACTTCACATTCCGAGGTCCCCGTACTGGACCGACCACTTCTCGTACGCGACTAGGCTGTGTGGTGACACTGACGGTCTGATTCTCTTCAGCGCGTCCATGAAGTCCTGGAACGTGATGCTGCGGACCAGCGAGAGGTCCAGACACTTCACCTCTTCAGGGTCCAGTTCTGTGACAAGTTTTAATTCATAAATAAATGAAAATCAATTGTAAAATGTTCCTAAGCACAAAAACAAAAATTAATTTAATTATGTGTCGCTAACTACAAAACTCAGGAAAGGCTAGACCAATTTTAGGAATTCATATATCGCTGCATGTGTTCGTTCTTGTCAAGAAAAGTTAGTCATACAATAGTTTTCGAGTAAAGCCAGGGCGGTACTGTAATAATTTTCAAGTCATTACAAAAAGTGCACTCAGTAACTGAAAGTTTTAAAAACATTAAATGAAGATTTATAAATGATTTACCCTCACTCTGCACTCACATCATTCTATACAAACTGATATGAAGCTACGCTAGCGTTGTGTTTTGTCATGTGAGTGAGGTTACCGCAGGTCCAATTACCCCCTCTCCCTTCCCAATCTCTCCAATCCCTGAATCCCCAAAAGACCGGTAACGCCTCTGCCGTTCCAGGTGTCCATGTGTGAAGGCGATTGCTTACCATTAGGTGATCCGTATGCTGGTTTACCGGCTTATCCCATAAAAAAATTCATTTTTCTAGGAATTGCATTTTAAACTGTCAAACACCAAGCGGTCACCGGTGAACGCAACCTATTGTTCTATAATTGTGTCTACAAAACCGGTACTCGACGAGTTAATGTCAAATCAAATCAATTTCCTTTCTTCTTCTTTCAATTTTTCAATTTGGGGATCACATTACGCCCAAATGCCGGCAGTCCTATTACCCAACGTATTACACAAGTACTGGTACAGAAAGTTGTTATATCATGTCGTGGGTGCCACCTACGACATGTCATAGTTTATTGACCATCTGATCTATGCTAACTGATGATAATTGTAGCGTGTGTGTCATAGATTTAAGATATTAGAGTAATGTCTTACGGCCATACTCTGAGACATTCATTAATGCTTGTTAAACAGTGACTTTTATGTGTGTACTTATTACGTATAAGTACGTATAAGTATACGTATATACGTATACGTATATTAGTGAGTACTTATGACATGGTACTGAATTGAAATGACAGTTTCTTCAATAAAAATTAAAATTCATATTTTTTTTAGTTATGTTAGATTCTGCTGTACACAAATATTACCTATTTATTAGATCTATTTAAAGAAGTTTTATTATAGAAGAACAAACATCCAATGAATTCAATTTGACACGCCATTTTTTTAACAAACGTTTGACAGTATGGCCTTAATAAAAAATATTGCATTAAATTCACGACACAGCAACTCACAGAAGTCGTGGGTGTCAGTATTATTGTCACTCAATTCGATACCGTTTTATGAGTTATAAGACATTTAAATAAAAACGAGGTCAAGGTGGGTGTTGCCATATTGCATATTGCGTGATAAACTGGTGTTGCCAGATGCACGTTACGTTGTGGTACACGTAAGCTTGCATGCGTGGCCTAGTTTATGTTCGAGGTCTGATTCATGCATTTTGGTGATGAAGATGTGGAATAAAAATGCCAGTTATGTTTCGGGGACATAAGCCTATTGCCAAATATAACGGTTACATTTCGAAATTCCTATTGAGTATGAGATTACTCTAAATAATGGAATACCTGTAGCACTGTTCTGGCATTATTCTTTTGCATTATCCCCATTCTTTAATAGTTTTATGCTGCTCTAATTAAACGTCACCTTTTTGGTCAGCGGTCGTACTACTTCTACGGACGTCCTCTGTCTCAGCTAAACGTATGACCATCGCCGTAATTGGCAACGTTTTGCCAACTTCCCCATGCATTTTCCTTTATTTATCTTCAAAAACTCACCTCTAATGGGTCCTAGCGCGGCGTCCCGGCAGAGTGCCGTGAGGTCACTGCCGGAGTACCCGTCAGTGAGGGCGGCGAGGCGCGCCAGTTCCTCGTCACTGACGGAGGCGGCGGCCGCGCCCCGCGCCAGCACGCGCCGGATCAACGACATACGGGTGCGCACGTCCGGTAAACACACGTATACGCGTTTTGGAAACCGTCTGGGGAATGGATTTTTATATATTAATAGGTCTCTTATTGTTCTTAATGTGGATGAAACTTCCAATTTCATTAAAAACAATGCCTAATTAATTCTGTTTCTTTTTATTTCCAGTACGTGAGTTAATCACAAAGAAGGAACTTTTCCTCATGTGTGACTAAAGAATTTTACTTTGAAATTGATGAGCTAATAGTATGATTGCAGCCGACCAAGGGAAGTACATGCTGTTTAGAAAATTATTCACAGTTATCATCTACTTAAAATGTTACGTTTCCTCACCTTAACGCCGCCTCATCAAGTTCCTGCGGTCGATTAGTGGCGGCCATCACAATGAGCCTGTCAGCTCCCGCGGCCGGGAGTCCGTCGAATTCCACCAGGAATTCAGTTTTCAGTCGCCGGGACGCTTCGTGCTCGCCCGACGATCTCTCGCATAGAAGCGAATCCACTTCATCTACGAAGATTATCGACGGCTGTTGAAGAAATATAGCGGCCATTTGTAAAGAGAATAAATAAAAATAAACTTTAAGCTATAATAAGATAAGTGAAAGTATCGTGAGATAAAGAGATATAATAAAATGGTCAGATACGTAATAGTTTATTCACGAGACTGTTAGAGGGTACTCGATTAATTTCGAATCACTACCGGGACGCATGATCTTGAGTAGAAAATCAGTCGAGTACTTGTAAACAGTCACGTGAGTATGCAGAATTATCAAAAAAATTAAACGTGAAGATGTTAGACATACGTAGTATGTTTCTGTTACACTGTTCTGTAAAAAATGTGTATATCACGGGGTAATCCTATGCAATCTTGGTAAGACGCTACGCGAAATGCTTTTAAAGGATTATGCAGATAAGAAATAAGAAAGAAAGAAAGAAAAACCATTTATTCTTGCGCAGAACACACATAACATAACTAAAAACTACAAAAAATAAAAATATAATATAATATAAAGCGAGGGTAAACCAAGGCTTCATAGAAATAATACAGATATTCATATATTATAAATAAAAAATACCAAGGTTCAAAGCTAAAGAAAAATGAAGTCTTGTCCATGGTCCATAGACAGAGTTATTTGTTATTGAAATGATAGAATAATATCTACTATTATCTGTGATAAATACTGCTTTGCGATTGTGTTTTCTTTTTGCGTTCTATCCTATAGTTTTAAAATAAAGTTTAGTGATTCCTAAAAGGACAACGATGGCGGAGAGTTTTGAAAAATCCAATCATGGCTGGATATAAAATATACCTAGGCGTTACATCACGGCGAAATTTTGATTCCGCAAACAAATTGGTGTCCTCTATAAATTAACTAAAAATCGTGGGTTACTCGCGTGAATATACTGAGAAAAGCTCTACTAGTTTCGAACTACAGAGGGGTTCTTCCTCATTAGCAGCGTGCGCGGGCGCGGCGATGTCGCGCAGCCTACTCTGCTTACAACATACCTACCTACTTATTTTAGTTAATTTAGTAGCTATGTCTCCCGATAGTTATTTTAAAACACATCTTATCTAAAATTATTTTGTCGAAATCCATAGTAAACCTTCAGCGGTTCATTACCAGAACGAAATTCGGCAAAAACAATACGGAAATCGCTTTCATTTACACTTGACCTATTGGTCCGACCTCTCTCTTATAATTGGGTCGCATTGGAGCACCGACCTCGCGCCAATCTGGCTAATTGTTTTATATTAATACACAACGCTCGCATTCATTTGGTTGACCGTGAACTTGATCGGTTTTAGGAGTATTTCATGCCTGCATGAATGTTTTTAGTAGGTTTTTTTTGGAATAAGCCGGTAAACGAGCAGACGGATCACCTGATGGTAAGCAATCGACGCCGACACAGGATGAAATTTGAACAGGGGAACGCCCACGAGAACGCGGGCGAAGCCGCTGACAGAAGCTAGTACAGAATAAATACCTAGTGTGAAGTAAAAAATTATAGTCACAGATGGACACTCAAGCATGGGCCTGCCCGATCAGACCCAGGCCGAAAGTACGGCACGTCGCGTTCCGTGCACGCCTCAAGGAGCCATCAGACCATGCACCACAGATGGGGCCCAATAGGCTGATGCCGATACGGGATCGCGGAGAACCTAACGGGTTACCGTGGTCCGGCTCAAAATCCAGGAGAAGGAACGGGGTGGATTTTAGTCAGTAAGAGTTTGACACTCCCTCTCGCTACACCCTGGCGGGAGAAGTCATTGGATGATTTATTCCAATATAAAAATACTATGATAGCCTTTGCTACCCATACACACCTATACCTAGTCAAACAAAGCATTTGAAAGTGCATTCAAATGTCTGATAGATTTTTTACCAAGTATCGGGTGTATGCGTTCGAAAGGAGGTCAACGACTTCGGATATTGCGAGCGAGATAACAAGTTTATTTGAAGGAAATGTTAATTGTTTTTATTTTAACACTACCTACATTTATTTATTTATTTAGGTTATTTACTTATTTAGCTAGAGTAACATCATAGCCTTATTACCTAATTAGATGTCAGTTTCTAGATAGTTTTGCGATTTGTACATCGATATTTTTTTCGTAGGTGGCAATTAAAAACTCCTTTGAAAATGGGAATATTTTTTTCGGACTTGTAGCGCTCTAGCGTCATCATTCATTTTACCACAAAATATTCATCATAACCTTATTTTTGTAAATAAAACAGATGACTAACGCGGTTTCATTAAACAGAAATACCGGTTTTATGATGCCGATCCGGTTAAGTTTCAATAATTTGTGCAAAGCAAAAGAAGCACACATTCATCAGAATTTAGTATTAATATTGCGGAGTCAACTTCCATTTTCCCATTTGTGCTGAAAAAGCGTCTCAAATAGCATAATCATCAGATACACAATCCTATCACATGAATGCGTTATTTTTGTTCAACAGTGACCTGTCTTCTGAGGATAATGATGATCTATTTCCGTAGGTCTCACCTGCAGTTCCCTGGCGACCTGGAAGAGCGCTCGCACCATCTTCTCCCCCTCGCCGACGTATTTGCTGGTCAACGTCGCCGCGGATATCGAGAAGAACGTCGCCGAGCATTCTGCCGCTACGCACCGCGCTAGCAGCGTTTTACCTGCACAACAAACAATACCAATAGGGTCGTACATACATTTTGAACATATATACATAATAATAACAACGCAAATTTGGTACTCGAAGGCATTCGTATAGATATTTTTCACTAGTTTCCTTGACTGAATTTTACATACACGTCAAACATCGATAGGCCCTTAACAGTTCATTGATGGACTACAGGTTTCTTCTTCATAAGATGGGTCATATCATAATTTTTGTGCTAGGCAGGCGTTGGATATAGCAGTTCAAAAGAATAAGGTATATTAGAGAGCGTTGCTGTCCAGTCTCTGCTAAATGTGTGTGAAAGTAACGAAAATTCTACTTCATCAAAGAATAGTACAATATATAGTTTTTTTTAAATGTTTCCTAACACTACGATTTTCTCCCGTGTCGTGGGAGCACATACGTTTTAATTTCACATACACATTACACCCAGACCCGGAACAATAATCAGATAAAATAAGTTGTTCCGTGCGTGAATCGAACCCGCGGCAGCCGGTTGTCCAACCACCGCGACAACTGTACGTCATAATATGATAGTAAATATGAAAGTACGACTTACCGTTTCCTGGTGGTCCGAACAGCAAGAGTCCTCTCGCAGGGGACCTGAGTCCAGTGAAGAGCTCCGGCCTCAATGAAGGCAGCACTACCATTTCTTGTAATGCTTGCTTAGCGGCCTACAACAAGACAGTGATACATGTTATTATATGTATTATAATACAAAATTTTCATACGGTTCCCTTTTTTCTGTTTTATTAAATATAGCCTACTAGCTACTTCCGCGCGGTTTCACACGCTCTGCTCAACTCCTATTGGTCGTAGCGTGATGTTTTATAGCCTATAGCCATCCTCGATAAATGCACTACCCAACACAAAAATAATTATTCAAATCAGACTTGCAGTTACGGAGATTAGCGCGTTCAAACAAACAAAAAAAAAACAAACTATTCCGCTTTATATAATAGTATAAGATGTTCAGCATCGATAATATAGGATTCCAACGATAAAAGAATTTTTCAAATCGACTCGGTAGTTTCGGAGGAGATTCCATTCAAACATACAAACTAACAAACAAAGAATCAAATCTTTCCTCTTTATACTATTAGTGTAGATATTGTAGACAAGCACTGTAGATGGCGTTGCATTCGGGTTTGGGCAACGAGTGTGATTAGTAAACAATATTTAACACTAAAAATAGTTAACAAGTTCCAAGAAATAGAAATAACTTTTTCAATAAATCGTTTCGATTTCTATACTGTCAAGTAATTGGTCTGTCTGGCTTTTTATTTACATTTTTTACAAGTTTATTGTGTAAACTTTCACTATTATTTTTAATATTGCTAGGTAGAAAATAAATAACACCGAGCCGATATGATTATAACAAGTCTTATTCACATAGCTAGACGGTGGTTCATCGATCTGTTTATTGTTTTTTTATTATTATATTTTGCACAAAGAGCTTGTGTACATAAATTGGATAGGCAATTTATAAGGATAAATATACATCAGAAAAAATATCGGACTTAATATACAGAACAACACGTACGCCTTGTTATCCCCGAAGAGGTACATAGGTAGCGATGTCCGGACAATAAGACTCACTCTCTACAACATGGGACTCCTAACATAAAAGTGAAATGTCTGTGTTAAATACTACCTAGTTACCCTCAAAGTATTAAATTAGTAGTCATTCTACAAAAATAACAGATTATATAACCGACACTTTACGTAAGTTTACGCAGTCCTTATTACGCCGGGGTGACCGATATCTGCCCTTCCAACTTTTACGTAACTATCACACTTCGATCAACAATAACAACTAGATAAAGGGTTACGTACAAAATCAAGCTCCAGTTCTGTCCGTGTGAATAATAATAGTAAAAAAATAACAAACAGAGAAAAATGTTTTAAAATAGTTTTAAATTCAACCTAATAACAACCATGGCACCTAATAATATAGTCATAAATCGTCAAAATATTATCTCATACTTACGACCATTCGTCACATAAGACAAGAAAAGTATTTTCTTACTCCTGTCATGTAGAAATTGAAGGACATAAGTTATACAATATTTAGTTTGAATTCAACCTTAATGTCGAACAAATAAAGATATTTTTTCCATTATTGTCTTGCGATCTATATCGTTTTGTTTTGTTTCGTTTTGCTTCTTCAAATTTCGAATTTCGCTACAGGAGGTATGTATGGAGTCGCGTTGGACACTAAAATAATTTTATAATATGAAAATTAAGATTTCGGGATCTTAGTATACATCACTAATTTTTATTAGCGGTACGTTTTTGTGTATGATATGTTTATTTACTTCATCATTAAAAGTCTAAGTCTAAGTCAAAATAATTTATTTCAGTTAGACCAGGAAGGCACTTTTGAACGTCAACAATATAAATTTAAAAGTGAAGCTATTTGCTCATTCCAAGGTGTAGATTCCTATGGAGAAGAACGAGCAAGAAACAATACAATTTTATTTTTCAATACAAATCGACTCGATGCATCCACTGTTCTGTTTAAACAAATGTTGGCGAGGCTTGGCCAAGGAATCGCCAACACACGCACAAACATTGGTGGCGTTGGTTTATAATTGATAATTTTGTCTAATTTGATATTATTTACTAGTTTAAAAGCTTAAAATATAACTTATACTTTATGTACTTATCAAAAGTAAGACACTCCAGCCGTTATACAGCTTTTTCGGTTGTTATTTTTGCAACTTGCAATTATGCACTGCGGCATCGTGAGACGTGAGTACGTTGGCCGTGTTTGGAGCATACTAAACAAAATAAGAGCTCACTTCTCAAGTGAGCTCTTATTTGTCGAGACGATTTTCTTGCGCTGACACGATATCTAGTTGTAATTGTTGATCGAAGCTATCACAAGAACGACCTTAACAAAACCCAATTTAAGCTTTTCCAAAAAATACGTCTGTAGGCAAGATAGGCGATGGCCAGCAGGTCAAATTGTCCGTTTCTGTATAATTTCTTTATTACATCTTCAACTTATTGTATTGACATAAAGTCGAAAATATTATGAATTAATTTGACAGATTGCATTAGCTGATCTTCTGCCCTGGCCACTGTAAATCTCTTTTAACATAGATACACACATACCATCAGGTCTGTGTCCTTGTGACAATAGACCACGATCATAGCATACCTCTTTCCCTTTATCTACAATCTCATCACCATCACCAACAGCCTATAAAAGCCCACTGCTGAGCAAAATCTCTTCTCACTCGAGAAGGTTTGAGCATTAATCACCACGCTTGCTCAATGCGGGTTGGCGATTTCAAACTTATAATTAGAAATTACAAGCTCACGATCGTTTCCTCACGATGTTTTCCTTCACCGTTTATCAGTGGTGTCTAGATAATCTAAGAAAGTACATATAACTCGGAAAAAGTCATATTTGTACTCGCCGTTAGTAGGTTTCGAACCCGCACCCTCATGCATTAGAAGCGGGCGCCTTAAAACTCTGGGCCACCATATCAACAATCTAGATTCATCAATCTTTTCATGCAAGCATGTCGACTGCGGTTGGTTTTAATTTGACGCTTAAATTCTTCAAAATTCAATCAAAATAATATGGCTGTCTGAAGGTAATAATATAAATAACATTAGGATTAGTCCCAGGATTATTCAGTTTTTCGAAAATTTCTAAATTGGAACACAGAAATAGTGTTAAGAACCATAATAGTGTACAGTTAGTTAAGTTCCCTAAGAAGAGGAGGATCCTTCGATCAGGTGAGGTAATCATACCTGGCGAGCTATCTGCCAAGTTGTTCGTTGGGATTTACTATCCTTGTTAATTAAATTAAATAAACTTCACATGTGCGATGTAGGACTTGTGTCGTCATCCATTGATTTACTCATCGATAATCTATGTGTGACTTCTGTCATGTGTCGCCACAATAGCAATGGGTTCCCTATTACCTATAAGTGGAAACTACCGTTTTTTTTTAATAAAAGTGTATGACTAGGGCACGGACCTAGAGTCCGTGGAGAATTAATCTGAAATATTATGAAAAAACTATCGTTTTATTTTCTTCTCCTCTTATAATATCTTCTGATTTATTTCGTTGCGGGAACCAAGACAATTATTCATGTCCCTCAGACAGACTTCAGTGCTCCTGTGTTTTCATGGTTGTATCTAGTGTAGATCCAGGCTTACATGACTTGCACACGTTTTTGGGAGGTTGTGGTGGATTTGTCCCTATAATCTATATGGAAATAATAACTTAGCCGGTGAAAAGTAAAAGTTCATAGGCAACGATAACCACTTAAGTACTATAAGGTGGAATGTGTGCTATTCCTGCCACCGTCGTTGTTTAAAAAAAAACAAAAGGTGTAATATCACAGCCTCATAATTTTACCGAGTATAATCATTACCTTACATTACCTTTCCTAGTTACATTACGTTTCATAGTAACATTACCTTTCCTAGCGTAACTCGTAAATATCGACACCGATATCTTAGACAACAGTTACTCGTAAGGTCAACGTACAAGTTTACGTTACGAAACTTCAGTTACCTAACAATTTAACTAAACATACCAAATCGGTATTTCGCTGAGCCCATGTTGCTGTGTGATCAATATTATCGATTTGACAATGAGATTATATTTTATACACGTTTGTGGCACGCGCAAAAACTGTAAATAATGTAAAGTTTGTAAATTAGCCGACGGAATTATTTGTATTACGTTTAACTGTTTTAATGTTAATATTATATTCCTATTGGTCCCAAAGGCAGTTATGTTACGCGCGTCAGTTAGGAGTAAGCCTGTCACTAGAGGCCCCAATCCGTCCCTGCCCAATTTCCCCAACGTCTAAATCCCCAATCCTCAAATCTCTAACCCCCCAAGAGACTGGCAACGGGTTTATAACTCTTCTGGTGTTGTCGGTTTCCATTGGCGCCGATTACTATCTATATCAAAGTAATGCGTCGGTTTGCCGAGCTATGCTATAAACAAATTTACCTACTCCTGTTTGTATTGTATCCCTCTTTACCCTTAAATTGAACAAGCATTAATATCATTATATCACACGAACAAACAAACGATTCAATTTCCTTTTTCCACAACAGAAATAGTTTAAACCGATATGCTCGTATGTTCTACAGTTTGCTCGAAACTTTGACACCAATAGAGATGCAAACTGGGTGAACTTGTCAGGTTAATGCAGTCGGCTTAATTCCATTTCACTGGCGTACGAATGTGTTCCAATATTATGGAATGGGACGTATGTCTGTCATAGGTAAAGTATCTAATGTAATTCCGTCGTTTACATACGAAGACATCCGTAGTCAAAAGCGCTCGCAGTTTGTGAAACGAAGAAATTGCTAAGAAAAATGCTAATCAAGTAGATGGAAGCGAAGATGGTTTTGTGCTTTTGAACTAGAAAAAAATTGCAGACACAATTTTGCCACAGTATTACTGGTTTTTTTTTAAATCTCAGTAGTAGCACGGGGTCTGGAAACGTGCCCGGTATATGGCAATAGGCTAACCCTCTATTACATGGGACTCATAACATAAATAGTGAAAAGTGGGTGTTACTTCTGTGTGCACCTCTGCCTATCCCCTTCGGGGATAAAAGGCGTGATATTATGTTATGTATGTTATGTTAATTTTGCCACAATGAGGGTTGATGAAAGAGATGAGATGTGAGGAAAGAAAACCTATAGGACGAAATTAGGCGTGAAGAAAGAAATTGTGCAGGGCTAAATTGTAACACTACCGCATATAATTTTCCGAAATGTAACACCATCGTTTTCTTTATCAATTACGTTATGAATCCCGTGTATCTAATAGAGGGTGAGATAGCACTTAAATCAAGATCGTTCTGTGTGATTCTTTAATCTTATATAATGGGGATGATGACAGGGTATGAAAATTAAAAATATAATTAGCCCGTAACTTAGGTAATAAAAAAATATTAGACACGTATTTTTTTATTTTGTTGTATAATAAAACAATACTTAGATAAAACGAATCAAAGTTTAGGAGCGGGGGCTAAAACGTCATTTCTTAGTATAAAATGTACTGAGAAGTGACGTCACGCGACATTTCAAATCAATATATCTTCGAAACTATTCGTTTCCGTAAGAAAATAAAAAATACGTGTCTAATGTTTTTAAATAATCTACCAGACGGACATTAAAATAAAAATTAGTCGTCTACCCCATTACTTATATATAAAGCTCAAGGGTCTAATTTCCAGTTTGAACGTGACAATTTCCAGAACTTTTTTAAGGGGGGGAAATCATGACTTCTACCGCCTGGGCGAGGCGGGAGGGAATGTCAGACTCATACTGATTAAAAACCACTCGGTTCCTACTCCTGCCCTTCGAGCTAAAGCCCCGGCAACCAGTTAAGTTCTCCGCGACTAATTTCGAGAACGAATCGAAAAAATCTTTTTGTGTTGGACAGTCCATTAATCGAGGAAGGCGAAGGAGGCTATAAAACCTCACGCTAAGATCAATAGGTGAAGAGCAGACCGGAATTAGCTTGAATAAACTATGGCGTTTATAGAATTTTCATTGACTAGTTACATTTGCACATAGTTTCAACCCGTCTTTCAAACTCCCTGAGAAAGCACCTTAATTTGCCGCAAACTTTTTGGCTGAGTGAGTAGCTTTATTGTTAATTGAACATAGTTTGGCTCGCAGCCAACTCTATGATTAGTGGTGTTCGCATATTAGCATTGTGACGTCACGAGCTAAGTGCTTACTGCAAAATGATCACCTAGACAGTGAGACTGCATTTGTACTGCGAAACTGCGATGCAATCGCCAAATTGTAATTCATATTAAGCAGTAGAATCAAGCGAGACTAACTTAAAGGGAAAAACATCTTTTTGTTAAGTGTTATAATCTCCACGTCAATGCAGGCAGATTCAACTGAATACTATAATATTGCGATAGATAGTAGTCTTACTATTTTCGAGCACCACTGATAATAATACTAATTTTGATTAACTTTGATCGATACTTTTACTAAAAAGACATCAAGCCTACTTACATCTTGTCCTGCGATATCCTCCCAGTGTACTTTGGGACCCCCTTCAACAATCTCGTCCAGGATCAGCTGAACGAGTTTGGGGTCAACTCCTCTAACGCTGAGTGTCGGTTGGGGTGTTCTGCTCCGTGTGGGGGTCCCGCGCTGCGACCCGCCTCCCACCACGCGGCGTACTGGAGACCCGTTCGAAGGTACCTGGTATGCGCCCTGAGTTGAGACGCGAATTCCGATGATGTGGGTTAGATGAATGGAAATGTTAATGAAGAAAGAAAGTAGAACAAACATACAGTTAGTACATTAAATAAATCAATATAGAGTTTAAATAAACTAACAAAGAATAACAAATTAATTGAGTTTAGTAGTCACTAAAGTATTCTGAATTTTTACACCAGAGTTTGGATTGTAGTAATATTTTTATTTATTCCACAATTTTGAACAATTTCAATTATTGAGCCATCAAGACCAAACCAATTGATCTGATTCCAATTTAAACAAAAACAAATTAGTGAATTTTGAGTGAATGAAGATGCCAATCGGTGAGTTAGGTTAAGACTAGGTTAACTCATAGCAATTTAAACTATTGTGCCAATTAAAATAGAAAGTCTAAGCTATATTATAGGTATTCTATTGTATCCTAAACTTTAGAAGCTAAGCAGAAAGCTCTTCTTCTGATCACTGATAAAACTTATTGTTCTAAAGATTTCAAGAACACATTTTAGAAATTATTTTTTTATTAATATAGATAGGTAGTCCTTGAGCCTTGAAAAATGAATCAGGCTTTTATTACTTTTTAGTTTAAGTGAAGTGTTTTATTGTATCATTCAAAAAGTTCTGAATTAAAGCCTTATTACGACTTTATCGAAGTATAAAAATTGATTAATGTGACCCATTGAAATGTTACGATAAAGAATAAAATGATTATTACCTTCGCAACTTTAGCAACTAAGCTTTAGAGTCTAAAATATACTGTACGAAAAAAAGGTCGAGAAGTTTCTTTCTATTCACCCGACAATGGCCAACCAAAAAGGTAGAATATGAATTAAAACTTCCGCACCAACAATATAAATAAAACGACGTAATAAAATGACGTCATAACAGGATTTTCTGCTACTAGGGCAACAGCAATCATAGGTTACAGGACTTAGAGGTAACAGGATCCTACTGAACCACGTTCCAAGCAGGTACTTATATGGGTAAGGTTTAGAGATTGTTCCATATCAGTGACAGGGAATTAGAAGCCCCTGGCCTGCAGTAGGGCAATATGTAATATGCTCACTCCTTATTACATGGGACTCGTAATACGACTGGTGAAACCTGGGGTCACTTACGGTCAATTCCAGTTACTAATCTGTGGTAGATTTGGCTACTGAAATTGGAATTTTGTCACGGATTGTGTGAAGTTTATGTCAAATAGTTATCTATGTTTAGTAGCTAATGTACTGATACATAGATAGGTTATAAAGAAAAATCGTAGGATGTACTATGGCCTATTTTTTATTTTAAGGAATAAAAGGAACAACGTAAAGGTACTGTTACACATGCTCCGAAATAGCATGCCAAAAGGCGTTCTTTAGACCGGATACAATTTTGACATGTTTTCTATGGAGCTTACGTGTGTTAAAGTGGTTATTAAGTAGTTAACAGCAGCATGGAAACCGCTGGATAATAGAATGAAGTAACACTGCGTACCTTTGGTGACATGCTATGACATAACTGTGTAGGCCTTTGATGTCGATGACGTCACTGTCTTGTTAGATTATGCTATACCTTTTACAGCTTTTTATATAGTAATAAAATGTTTCTATAAATAAAAATCAGGTATATTTCTGTGCGTGGTAGACACATATAACTTTTGGAAATTCTATGTGGTATTCCTAAAATAAGCAATAAAAATCGCAGTCAACTTTATTGTGGTGTCGCTGTACTAACACAACAACACAATTAGTTCCTACACGTCCAATAGCAGATACGGTTGATAAATGAAAAACTACCTATAATAAAATGTATTTGATTTAACTTTAGGCCTCTACGCAAAGCCTAAACAGCTATGAAAGTAGTTAGTACGTAATTTAAGAGAATTGCACTTCCTTGTTACCCTACATATTGTATTCTTTAAAGGCGGAAATGTAACGCGATACATTTCCACAAGCTGACCGCAAACAAGTCACGTGACAACGAAGGCTTCCTTTTTAAAAAAAAGTTCATTGCATACTTACAACTGGTCGATGGAATTAAAAAAATAGGTTACTTGCCGCCATTTTGGATGCTATGCGACTTCGCGCCATCGTTTGACGTGAAAGCTATTTGGTGAAGCACCTATCAATTTACTTTTTTTATATCGGTAATAGAGCGTTGTTAACTTTTTCGTGATTGTCACGCACTTTCGTGCGGTATAAAAAAGTTTTATAGCGTCTAGATAGGCCTCTAAATTGCTATCTAGATATTGAGCGATATTGTTTACAAAGCAAATGTGATATGAATTACTGTGTAAAATAATATATGCCTATTACTTAATTAATCATGAAGGTTTATTTTGTTAGCTACTAAAAATGTACCTAACTATTTCAAAGTGTAATTCAATACAATAAATCGTAAAGTCTGAGGTCGGCCATTCAACCACAATGCGTTGGCCGCGTCCTTGTAATTTCATAGATTGTAGCTACGTCTACCTTCCTAAAAGTATTATTACCTAGCTTCTAGAAATACACTTTAGGCATTTTTCTGTAAAAAGTATTAAATCAGGGAATAACAATTAATCGCACAGAACTTACTATCTGAATACATTTTATGTGTTAAATATTTTTCCTATGCGCGAATTTAGGCATTATAGCCATTGATTTTGGCATAGAATTTAGGCATAGCTTATATTATCTGCCGGTATATAATGTAGTGTCCTTAAATTAAGTAATATTATAAGTGACCAGAAGAAGACTTATACCTAAAAAAATAATAACAAATCACTCACAGAAAGCTGTCGTTTGACAGCGGGCGGTGTGGAAGCTGGTTTCACTGGATATCTGCTGTAACTTCCATTAGAGCTGTTGGGCTGTGATGATGACCTGCCCATGGAACGGGGGAGGGTCTGTGACTTCATTAAAGGACCCCCACCTCCCCCACTTGGCACACGACGACCAGCCGTCGTGAGCTTTCGACCTGCGACTGAAGATTATAACATTAAGATTACTTATTTATCACTTATAGACGTACATATTATGGTAAATAACTGGAGCATAAATCTTCTATGTATGTAGCAAAGCAGTTTAGATTTCTTTCTAAAATGGTTATTTTTGGGAAAATCGTATATCACTACCAATGTTACCTATAAATGCGGTCTAGGAAAGCGTAAATAGTAATAAACCAATGTACTAAATTATTTTAGTAAAGTTAGACCTACAATATACGGTGAAGGAAAAGCGTTAATATCACATACATTATACCAGAATTCACTGTTTGGTCATATTAGTAGAAGCTAGATATAATTCTATGGAAATGAGCCAGTAAAAATATTTTGATACATTTATCTAAAAGTCAGGAAAGGCTACAAAAAGAGACGAAAATATTAAAGAAGTAGGAACCAATTAGTGTTAAGTTTGCAGAAATAATATTAAAAACTATTTAGAGAGAATAACAAAACGGTAGTACCTAGTATAGAACAAAGACGTGTTCGTTACAGCGATTATAAGTCAAGAACGGCTGCACAGATTTTCATGATATTTAGTGCATTTGTCACGGTTTCGAATAGCTATATTCACAAACATGATTATGTTTTGCCACTTCTGGTTAAAGTTTATTTTTATTTTGGGATAGGGCGGCGTATGAGCACACGGGTTACTTGATGGTAAAGCTGGCTTGGTAAAGGATCAGATAATGTGTCAATGAGACTATAAAAACATTTTTTTTAAAGAGTAACGATGGTGTTTCTTCCTCGTTCTTCTCCATTCAAAACTACACTTTGGAACGAGTGCCTAGCTTCACTGACAGACAGACGGACGGACAGTTAAATTTTTGACGTGTCAAAAGTGCTTAACTAGTCGAGTACCGGTTTTGTAGACACAATTATAGAACAATAGGTTGCGGTCACCGGTGACCGCTTGGTGTTTGACAGTTTAATTATGATACCTTGAAGGTAAGCAATAAGCGCTCGTCCATAGACAATCGCAAAACCAGGGACGTTACAAGTGTATTGTCGGCCTTTTAGGGTTTAGAGATTTAGGAATTGGCAGATAGTGTCTCATATCTTCCACAGAATCAACCTCCATATATTTTAGTTAACGATTCTGATATGATACAACGTTTGACGACTACTACTCCAGTCTGATATGATATTTCATAGTAAACGCTTTTACGCTTCGAAACTTGGATACCTACCTAATTAAATTATTACCCATAAGTACGATAGACTTTTCCGGTCTTAAACGTCAGTCTGTGTCGCGGAGAACCTATCGGGTTACCGGGGCTCCGGCTCGACGTGCAGGAGAAGGAACGGGGTGGTTTTTAGTCAGTAAGAGTCTGACACTCCCTTCCGCCTCACCCAGGCGGGAGCAATCATTCGATGATTTTCCCCCCTTAAAAAAACGTCAGTCTGTACTTTAGAAACAGTCGGTGCTATATTCGGTGCGATATGAGCTAAAATTGATAGGTCAAGTCTGACTGATTCCAATACCATTTCAAAGTTCATTGCTCTATTTAAAGGCGCTAATTGTAGCACTATTTTCGCTGAACGACGGTGCGTCAGAGTTTATTATGGCAACGGCAGACGGTTCAAATTGAGGTGACACACATCATGATTGATTGATAATTCTTTATTTTAGAAGATGGATTTATTGGATTAACAATAAAGATGATCTTCGGGGATGATGACAAGTACTCAAATCTAATACTTACTGAAATGACAAAAATGAGTTTTATCTTAATTATGCGTGAAATTAGGAACGTGTCGCTTAGAATGCGATAATGTAATGGCTTGTTTAACCACTCATTAGTCTAAAAAGTACCCAAAACTACTAATGTTTATTTTTTAAATTGGACTATTTTGACTTTGACTGCCTCGCTGGCCGAGTGGTCGCAAGTTCAACTGCCGAGCAGGGGGTCTCGGGTTCGATTCCCGGGTCATGCAAAGTATTACTGGGCTTTTTAAAAAAAAATCTCAGTAGTAGCACGGAGTCTGGAATAGTGCCCGGTATATGGCAATAGCCTCACCCCCTATTACATGGGACTCGTAACATAAATAGTGAAAAGTGGATGTTACATTGTACAGTGGCATAATGTGCACCTCTGCCTACCCCTTCGGGGATAAAAGGCGTGATGTTACTATTTTGAGAAATACGACACACTTTTCTTAACAATATTCGTCTCCTGAAGAGACTAAAGATACACTTTCTTTGTACCTTTATCTAAATATTGTAATAAGTGTTCGTAGCCTCCCCGGGGATCAAAGATCATCTTTACCTAAATGAAGTAATAAGACGTAGGCGGCAATGTACTCAAATAACCTTAGCAGAAAATTGCAAAAATTTAATTTCAACAAACTTGGGAGGAAATTGAGATAAATAACAAAAATGTAATATGGAAAGGAATGGAAAGTTAATTTATAGGAACGGATCATCCACGTAAATCAGGAGAAAAAATCTAATTTAAATGTCAATTATTGTTAGGTCTCGCAAAATCTCAAGAACTGCTGGACTGGCTAATTTTACTTTATTTCAATTTCAGGCAAATTCGTGGAAGTCGCATGTCAACGAAAGAAAACGTGCGGAAGACGTTGTTTAATCTAGTATCTAATAAGAAACAATAAAACATCAAAAATAATCCATAATACTAAATCTATCACTTCCTTTCTTTAAAAGTTTATCTATTCAAAGTAAAATTGCCTATGTTTATAGCTCACTATTTCAGAAACGAGGTTACGAAGTGCAGCGACTTTTATTTTTAAATTCAATTTGGGTCAGCTCAAAAGAGATTTTATACAAAAATCATCTTGTTTGTCTACCGACTTTAGATTTACTTTAGGATGAAATTAAGTCCCGCTGTTTACTTGACACTCATTTTTTTTATTGCAACATTTGCAACCCTAGATGTTACAGTAATAATTTTAGCGAAGGTCTAATTTTTACCTGCTTAGATATAGTACAAAATTTACGGAATAATAACTGAAAACGTGCCATTTCTTAGTCCTTTCGTCTGACTCATACTTAGCCATTGTAGAATTATTTGAAAAGAGTGAAAGTGTTAAAAAATGACCGCTTCAGTCTTTCTAAAGTATCTAACTAAACCGTGTAATTATAAAGAAGCTTAGAAGAATTATTTTACTACTGCAAGAAGACTTCCTTAAATCCAGCAGCAGATCCTACACCCTAATACCGTCTCATCAACGGCCTATAAATGCCCACTGCTGAGCAAAGCCTCTTCTCACACGGAGAAGAATTGAGAATTAATTACCACTCTTGCTCAATGCCGGTTGGCGATTACAAACTTATAATTAGAAATTATAAGTCTCGGTTTCTTCACCATGTCTACCTTCACCGTTTGTCAGTGGTGTCTAGATAATCTTAGAAAGTACATATGACTCGAAAAAGTGACATTGGTACTTGCCGTTGGTAGGTTTTGAACCGCACCCTCATGCATGAGAAACGGGCGTCTTAAACCTCCGGGCCACCACGACATTATTACAGTCTAAGCAGACCCTAAAGCCCATATCTTTTAATTCCATACAAGATTTCAGTACGTCACTTTAACATGCATATACTATACCATCCTACAATTCTACGTAGACAATATAAACACAAGTAATTAACTTGCGTACAGTCAACATTGCACGTTTTCATCAAGGGTAATGAACATAAACAATTAATAGATGCAATAAAACCTCCTTGACTTGATTCCTATAAATAAAGCGTATAAAGGAACTGCTAAATGAAAAGGAAAATCTATAGCTTCAGTCACTTATAGTAATAATAGACATTATAACGAACTAACGAGTTTCTGAATTTTTTTTTTCTTTTCTTTGGCAACCGAGTCTCCAATATGAAAAAAGTTTCTGTATTAATTAAGGCAGTAAAGGATATTATTTGTATGACGTGACAATCGGTGACGTCACACTATTATAAAAAAAAGCATTCAATTAAAATATGAATTAAGTACATGTTAATTAAAGTATGTTATTTCGTTCAGAACATTCGTATATATTTTTTATGTATTACTTAAATTATGATACATATAAAAAGTCAGGAAGAGATCGCTATTCGTGATAAGCATTAAACATTATGAAGTTAATACATAAAATCAAATTACACAGCTATATTATTTGCCTAAAATACAATGTAAAATAAATAATATAATGACAGAAAATATATAGATAAACTAGCTAAAAATACTGGTTTTATCACAAAAAACGTCAACGTTGTCATTGTTTTAAAACGTTTTGAATTTGGAATGGCCATGGAAAATAAGGCCACATTTTCACCACCCTTCTATTCCCGGGCCTCATTCTCATGCGTCAAACAAAGTGCTAATTTGCTTTGTGACTCATGCACACATGGACCTTCAAAGTTTAGTTTACAAAATCATTAGCTTAACTATCTATTTACCAAAAGTCAAAATATAGGTAGTAACTTTTAAATGTATCACTATGAGTGATTGTACAAGCATCCATTTCATGTTTGAACGGAAATAGGTACGGTATCGTGTATGCATACATATAAATACGACTTGCATGACTAACTTCGACACACCCGATAAAAATATTCGTGTTTAGACGTATACGAAGTACGATGCATCCCATCGTGTATCGATCAGAGCACCCGAGTTCAAATTGACAGATTTAACTGAATCGATTTGCTTTTAAATCGAGTAGCTGAAAAGGTGCCAGTGCCAATGTCAGTAGGTCAGTGACCGACAGACGATAGCATCGTATCTCGAGGTTTCTACCAGACATTGTGGAAAGGTGCTTTTATAAAAACGATAGTGAAAACTTTCTTTTAGATAGGCTCAATTGTATCTATTACAATATGCCTTTGTAAATATTGAAGAAGAACTAATTTCGGATTGGATTGATGATATTTAGAAAGGTATAGACGTAGGTACAGACTTAAAAGAGACTCTGAAATGTGTTTGTAAGCGTGTTGGCACTCAAACATGTCCTTTGTTGATCTCTTGTCAACGATAATGGATTTTTTATCGAGAAATTGACTTTTGCGGCTCTAAAATTAGACCAAATTGTTAAGGTTGATACTACGTTTTCAGAGAGGATAGGTTTTAGATAAGTACTGCTCTGCTACTACTAGTCACATACAGTTTGGTCCTCATATATTATACGTAAAAAGCGATCGAAACGAACCGTCGCCATACCATCAACTTGGTTCGGCGGCCAGTGGTATCTATTGAAAATCTGTTAGACCGTTGTACATACTATATAATATGGTCCAGAGCGGTCAAAAGTGATGGTTCGGTTCGATCTCTTTGTGCTTGTAACTGTGCAATAGTCTATCTTATTAACCCCATTTTTTTAAGGGGTGGAAATCATCGAATCTGTCTGCTCCCGCCTGGGTGAGGCGGGAGGGAGTGTCAGACTCTTACTGACTAAAAACCACTCCGTTCCTTCTCCTGCACGTCAAGCTGGAGCCCCGGTAACCCGTTAGGTTCTCCGCGACTTACTAACCCAATAGACAATGTTTAACATTTGGAGTATTTGAACTAGCTAGTTTTATTGATGACCTGATTTTAGCTGGTAGAAAATGGCAATAGACTCTCATAGATTGTCTTCGTCTAGCCCTTTCGAGTATTACAGACGTGATGTAATGTCACACAGATCGCTTCCATCAGTCCTAACGGTTTCCAATGAGGACCGTTAAGAATTTTACGTTAATGGCAAAAAAAATAAATGAACATCGATTGGTTGAAGACGAACATCAACGTATTGAGAAAAATGTTTAATTCTGTTGTGTATTAAATTTGCAGTTTATCATTTGTCATGTTGCAGTTATCGTTACATTTGCAGATGTTTGGGAAATAAACCCTCGAGGTAACTTCGAGTTTCAGATAAGGGAAAAAATATTAATTACATAGATATGTGTAATATTGTTTGTGAGAACCATAATGACCAAGAAGCCAGTCATAAGGACAATGACTTGAATATTGGCACCAAAATAGGTAATTCAAAAAACAAAAAAGTAGACATTTAAAGTTGAAAACGGTGGTATACTTAAATGAAGACGGTTACACATTTTCGCAACCATGAGCTCCTACGACCATTTCAGTAAAAAGGGCGTTTTATAGAGTGACTAATAAACGACGCCTACGTTACATTAAGCGAACTATAAACACCATAACAAGCCGTTTCCCCTGGTTGATTATAACAGATTGCGAAGGACCATTAGCTGTGAAATTGGCGAGAAATTGTGACAAACGAAGCGTCTTCTTATTAAATCAACAGGAAATTAAATTATCTAGTTTTGAATTCATTTACTTTGTCAGTTTTTTTAAGGTCGAAAGTAACATTTCTGCACAAAGAAGCAAGGCCCTGTGAAGACGGTAGAGAAGAGTACATTTGTCTCCACCACTTTTCCCGTGGTTGTCGTAAGACCCCATTAATGGGCTACACATTTGTTAGAGACCAGGCAGCAGTGTCAGCAATCAGAGGCAAATGTTCACGTTTATCAGGGGGAGGGCTCTGATAAACCTGAACATTTTTACACTGCGATTCCCACCCTGCACGCCAAGAATTTTTTTTCTTTTTTTTAAGGGGGGGAAATCATCGAATGACTGCTCCCGCCTGGGTGAGGCGGAAGGGAGTGTCAGACTCGTTACTGACTAAAAAACACCCCGTTCCTTCTCCTGCACGTCGAGCCGGAGCCCCGGTTACCCGTTAGGTTCTCCGCGACACACGCCAAGCATGGATCATCATCATCATCATAACATCACGCCTTTCATCCCTGAAGGAGAAGGCAGAGGTTCACAATACAGTACTTAATGCCACTGTACAATGTAACACCCATTTTTCACTATTTATGTTATGAGTCCCATCTAATACTATACTCCGTGCTACTACTACTACCCGTGAATCGAACCCGAGACCCCATGCCCGGCAGTCACACTTGCGACCATGGAAATTATGAAAAAACTCTCTTATATAGAGAAGACGCATATTGTCCAGGTGGACTGTCACGGGTCGTCGATAATGAGCAAGGAGATATCTACTTCCTTCCCAAAGAGAATAATAAATCAAGGTTATTTTTTACTTGGAAGACAATATCTTCAATCACCAATTAGTTTTGCGGAACAGTTTCAATGTCGGCTAAGTTTGAGTAAAATCGAATTTTATTTTGTAAAATTCTATTTCAATTACCTATACACTGTTACTTACTTTCATTCTTGTAACAAGTATCTGTAGACCAGTATCAAATTTCCTATCAGTCGAAATTCAATTCGCAAATCATGCGTGAAGTTTTAATGGACAAACATAGCTTTCAACTAAGTAGGTAATGTCAATGAGGTTAAATTGAAACAGTAGCTGTGCGTCCACCCACTGAACCGGAACGAGATGTTAGGGAAATACAGGTCGTATGTAAAAGATCGTGCGTGTGCGCAGTGTGCGCAGTGTGCGCATGATTGCGTCCTCCCCCACGCGCCGCGGCCATCCATTCAACACAAGTGAACTGAGACCAAACTAAACTAGGAACCGACAATTAGCATAACATTTTTCGCTCGATAAATTAAATCTGCTTTGTATTGTTCAAGGATACACCAGTTAGTTATTTTTAGACGTTTTTTTTGCATAAAGATCAGCAACATCTTATCGAAACCTTGCAGTTGTTTTATCTTGTTATTTTACCGCATTATGTCTTTAAATATTTATTTAGCGTTCAGAAGAAAATTGCATAATTTAACGTAACTTTATCTATACGGAAATTTACTTAATGAAAATGCGTAATGTGACGTAATTTATCAGTAAAAGTTATTTAACGAATGTGTGTAAACGCAAGCGCAAGCAAATTTTTCTTAAACATGTTTAGAAGAAGCGTTGTTACCGCAATCTACGAAGAGAGTAAACTGTTGATAAATAGCGTTACTAATTAACGAAAGTAGTACATCGGACTTAACTACTTTATTTTCTCTTTGACCGTGTTGTTAAGCTGAAAATCTAGACTTCTAAACACTGATAACATGGTCTAATGACGTGTTACGTGTCAAGTTGTGCGCTGTGCTAATAAATGTGTGCGCCTAGTTGCCGACCTAGTTACTATGCAAGTACTGCGTCCATACATGTAACGACAAGACAAACATTTGTTAATGCACTTTGCATACAAAATGATCGATGGATTAGTTATGAACGGGAAAATTACTCGGCTGTCTTCAAAGAATGGCTTCTTTTATAGTAGCTATTAAATATCCTATAGAGGCAGTGGAAAGCTTAACACAACAAACACATCACACTGTTATTCAAAACGATTGCAAGCTGAAATGATGGTAGGCAGACAACCCATGCAAACACTGACAATTTAAAAACAAAAACAGTCCAATTAGTTTCCAATGTTGAGTGTAGTGTTATAACTATGAAGTTATTAAAATGTTAGTTGAATTTTCGATTGAATTTTGCATTAGGTTACGTCAAACGAAGCTAAGCATTATTTCTTGTGTGTCTACCTTCGTTCGGAGGCTTCGTTTGACCACTGTTACTTTCTGTATGCGCGAGTAACGTTGTCTTCGACTTCTCAAGCCGTCGCGCCTTTAGGGGCGACTCCGTCGGCTTTTTGTCACTCCGTTCGGGCTCACTCTCTACGCCCAACTTACTGAGGGCGACTAGGTTGGCTACATTGGGGAATATAAAATTATATTCAATAGAAACTGTACGATAAGTTGTGTATATATGTTGAAAGAAAAATAAAAGAAGCTTAGCATGCAGACATTCAGCCAATTTCCACTTTCAAAATAAAATAGCGTAGTTGGGTCATAGCTTGGAGTTGTGGCAGTGATGCTCAGTGATTGGAGATGGATAGTTTCATACCAAGGAAGTGCAGTCGGTCCTTGGCCATGCCTAAATTAGTTTTCATTTTGTCGTGGAGTCGTTGTGCCCTCTGCCAGGCGTCGCCGCGGCCGCCCCAGCAGTCTACGGCGATCCCTCGTTCCAACTCATAAATGCCTTTTTTATAAAGCTCTATTGCTAATTCTTTTTGGCCTGTGGAAGAAGGTTACTTATTGTTGATAGTTTCAGAGAGATGTATTGACTTTGTTATCTAATAACAAACTATGTCTCTCAACTCTCTCATTATCAATGTCAATTCATCTAATAATGTTTACAACAACATTGTTCAAATCTCTAAACATTAACTGCATCACTGAACTACAGGTGGGCATCAGATCCACATGTAGTTCAAATATTGTTTATATATTTAATTAACCAATCAAGAATGTAATTTAAATGCCCCATCTGTCATTAAATGGAATTTATTATCCACAAAAATGACAAATAAAAGATTTATTGTATGTTAACAAAGTGGACTTTTGTGATGGTTTTCAATACACATGCCAGAGACATAGTAAACTAAGTTAATAGAAATGGGTACACAATTATATGATTGTATAAGAATGTAAGGAATGCATACAAACACTTGTAAAGGATCACTGCTTTCTTTGTGAACTATATTCTGAGTAAAAACAAAAGACTTGTTGACTAGTGGAAAATAGGTATATATTTACTATTAACCCTATGAATATTCTACCAGAAGAACTGGTGTACAACTGAACATCACATTTTATTAATAAAATTGAGTGTTTGTTAGACAAGTAATAAATGAACAAAGATTTAATTCAATAATTTCTAAGTTTTATGTCTTTTGTCTAGATTTTGTCCTTTGTCTGGTTAAATGAGTAATACTTGTGGTTGAGTAAAAATTAGGTACTGGCCATGTGTCACTATTTTCTTATTACAAATTACATTTATGGTATAATGGGGATTTACTCATAATTTAGAAGTAGTTCAATAACATGGGCATCAAATAAAAATTTTCCTGGAATGTTACTCACATGAAAAATAATCTCATTTACAAATCACATTAGTAAAAAAGTAGATAGATACTTAGTTGCTTACAAAGGTGATGTTACTTATTTAATTTATTATTAAATAGGTAAACTGTCTTATAGTCCAAATAATAAAAGTACTTATTAAATACAACTCACCCTCATTTTCTTCATCAATTTTTAAAGCTTTGGAGATATACTCAAAAGCCTTCCGGTGATGGTGTTTCTGTTTGGCCAGCAATGGGTCTCCGGGACCCACATTGTGTATGTGAGACATTTCTTCACTGGGGGCTAGCTCTGTAGACACTATACCGTCCTTCACTACCACTTCCAAGTTACACTCGCCTGCCTTACGAGGCTTGTGCATAAACCGATGAGACGCCGTATACAAATATTTAAAAATTATAAAAAGTTGATACAAAATTGATCTTAGCACGTTAAATAAAATAATAATTGGGAAAGAAACGACGTAAAGATTCCTTTTATGGACTGAAGGTTGCGAATCATGTCGCAACGCTGACCCCTTGGCTAGGTCTGCATCTGTCTTCTTCGACTTACGGTTCGGGGACCTCGTAGTTTTACGCGACAAACGGCCACCATTTGAATCGTCACCGGACACCATCAAGAACACCAACACACGGGCTTGTTTAACACAAAATCTCCATAAAATTTTCAGACAAAGAAATGCGAGCTTATCCTACTCCCTATCGTAAATACAGCAAAAAAATTGTGATCACTGAAACGTATTATTGACAAATTTTGACGTTTGTCATGCATGCACTGCAGTAAGAAAAAAATAAAAGATTATGGTAGTTTTGAACATAACAAATTTTGCTTTAATTCATAATGAATTGAGTAACGTTTATCTAAATATTTAATTTTAGGTAAATTTCTGGCCCAAATGTAATGAATCGTGTTCTATTTATTGCGACAAGGCGAAAGCTAGAGGACGAGAGGTCATTTTCCATTTCTCAAGACTGGCAACATTTTATTTTGGTACGTTTTCAGTACGTTTTATTATTCGTATCATAAATATTTTCTTTTGATGTCCTAAAAAAAACCAAAAATTTTGTATACAAAATTAGTGATAGCACATCAAAAATATGTTATACGAAGTCTCTTTTATTTTTTAAGGATAATAAAACATTTATTCCGCTATTTTGATCTTGATATCTGACAGAATCACAGATAACAAAACTTCTGACGTGACGTGTTTGAATTTGGTAGCGCCGCATATGCGATCGATGTTGATATTTTTTTGAATAAAATTGCATCAGATTATAGTTTATATACTACTGAATATTAATCAACAATTTACTGTAGCGTTACAGGGATTGGACTAACAATTCCACAAGTAAGTTTCCTATGTATACTAAAAATAACCTGCAAAATATTGATGATCTGACGTTAAGACCATGTCTTGAGAATTTTGGATCATATTTTTCCAATTATTTTAAGAAATCTTATTAGATTGTTACTATCAAAATATCACTAAGCGCTTTCAACTGTGCTAAAATATTAGTTTAATACAATATTTAGTTATATTACACAATATTTCAGGGTAATAATATATTTGTTTCAGACCACATAATGGCTGAGGAACCAGTGAATAAACCTACTGCTAATGAGGATGACGATTTCGTCGACCCATGGACCGTTTCTGGAAAGTCCGAGACGGGTATCGACTATGATAAGCTAATAAGTAAGTGAAATCCCAATAACTTAGTTTATTTACCTACTTGAAAGAACTTACAATTAAGTAAAATATAAAAACTTATTTTTCAGAGAGGTTTGGCAGTCAGAAGGTCGACGATGAAATTATTCAGAGGTTTGAAAAAGTCACTGGGAAAAGAGGTAAATTTTGTAGAGAGGTTTTATTAATGGTTGTTAGTTCCTCAGTCATAAATATATTGCTTTCACTATTAACTGTCTAAAATGAATAACTGTTCACTGACTGATTTTATTTTAAGTTCAATTTTAGTATCGTTCTAGCTTATTAAACTGTCAAACACCAAGAGGTCACCGGTGACCGCTACCTATTGTTCTATAATTGTGTCTATATTGACGGTACTCGACGAGTTAAAGAATAAGATAAAATTGTTTAGATATTACCTTTAAAATGAAAATGAATACTTTTGTTTTATAATGTTAAAAAAACAATTGAATTAGACTAATTGGAGACGTTCCTATTAGGAATGTCAGTTACGAGGTTCACATTTTATTTTTTCTTACAGCACATCACTTTCTAAGGCGTGGAATATTTTTCTCTCACAGAGATATTCATAATATCCTCAACTTGTATGAGGCGGGCAAGAAATTCTATTTGTACACTGGTCGGGGTCCGTCTTCAGAGAGCATGCACATCGGACACATGATCCCTTTCATTTTCACGAAGTAAGTTGTGGATACTATTTTTTTTAGTATAATAATATAAAATTGAGCATATTCCAAATTAAAAGCCGAGGTACTCTGGTGTCTACGATATGTGCAGACAAGTGACTTAGTTATTTGGTTCAGCAGTAAAAAATATACACTAAATATATCTTTATTATTTAAACAATTCTGTTAACCTTATTGTAAGGACGATAAGACAGGTACCTATTCGTAAAAAAAAAAAATATTTTTATGGGATAAGCCGGCAAACGAGCTTATGGATCACCTGATGGTAAGCAATCGTCGTCGCCCATGAACACCTGAAACAACAGAGGTGTTACAATTGCGTTACCACAATTGCTTGTATTAATCAAAAGTTGATGATGTGAATAGTTTGACATCGGACAGAAAAACTGTAAAGGCAAATATGTTTATACTTTGTTAGCATCAGTCGACATTAATTACATATTCATGCTACATGTAATTAAATTAATGAACCTTTTCAGATGGCTCCAAGATGTATTTGATGTCCCACTACTCATTCAGCTGACTGATGATGAGAAGGTGTTGTGGAGGGACCTGAAGATAGAAGATGCTCGGAAGATGGCCTTCGATAATGCCAAAGACATTATCGCTGTCGGCTTCGATGTGGAGAAGACTTTCATATTCAATAATTTGGACTTTATTGGGTGAGTGGTTTGATATTTAATTTTTTTAAATGTTGTCCCATACCAAGATTTTCTTCTGTGTCTAAGGTACAAACAAACATATATTTTCACATATACGTGACACACAGATCTGAAATAACAATTTGTAGATCACACAAAGAGTTGCTCTGTGCGAGAATCGAAATCTCTACACGTTACGCGGCAGCTAGGTGCCCAGCCACCGCGTCATCTGTGCAGTAAAATCCTTTAACATAATTTAAAAGTTATGACATAGACAGATAGTGACAAGAACCGTGACATTCTATAACTTTTTTTTGCAGCAAATGTCCAGCATTCTACCAGAACATGGTGAGGATACAGAAGTGTGTCACCTACAACCAGGTGAAGGGTATCTTCGGCTTCGGAGACTCTGATGTCATCGGCAAGATCACCTTCCCTTCCATAGAGGCTGCTCCAGCCTTCTCAACCAGCTTTCCGTTTATATTTGAAAATAAAGTCGTAAGTAGATAATATGTTTACATATATTTTAAAAATATTTTAGATGATTAATTTTTAATGATCACAGCTCCTAAAGTCTCGTCATTGTCATAGTTTTTTAGATTGAAAATAAAATATTCTCTGAATAACTTACGATAAAATTTTTTACGTCAACTCCTTTCTGCCAAATTTATTAAGTAGATTTTTAATTTTATTGCTTTGATATAAAGTCGTAATTGTAATGAAAAATATATATTGAACGATTGGAGTTTATTGACCTGATGGCCACAGCCCACAATAATACTAGCTTACCCCACGTTGGGCGCCAGTTAGCAGGAGATGATACAGTGAAATAAAAATTAAAAATATAACATTACTTATACCATAACATCACGCCTTTTTGTCCTCGAAGGAGTAGACAAAGGTGCACATTACGGCACTTAATACCACTGTAAAATGTAACACCCACTTTTCACTTTATATGTTATGTTATGAGTAATAGGGGGTGAGCCGATGGCCATACAACGGGTAAAAATCCAGAGTCCGTGCTACTACTGAGATTTTTTTTAAAACCCATTAATACGTTGCCCGATCCGGGGAATCGAACCCGATACCCCTTACCCGGCAGTCGCACTTGCGACCACTCGGCCAACGAGGCTGTCAATTACAACACTACTTATCTATCAATAAAATAACTTTTTTTTTTATGGCATAAGGCGGGCAGACGGATCACCTGATGGTAAGCAATCGGCATCGCCCATGGACACCTGGAACACCAGAGGCGTTACAAGTGCGTCACCAGCTTTTTGGGGATTAGGAGTTTGAGGATCGTTGGGGATTCAGGGATTGGGGAGATTGGGGAAGAGGAGATTGGGGAAGGGGAAGGTAATTGGGCCTCCGGTAATCTCACTCACACGACGAAACACAATGCAAGCGTTGCTTCACGTCAGTTTTCTGTGAGGCCGTGGTATCACTCCGGTCGAGCCGGCCCATTCGTACCGAAGCATGGCTCTCCCACTACACTATAACTATGGGGAGACAAACAAAATTGATTACAAAAAACAGCTTACTGACTTGATCTGTTTGAATTAAAGTGATTTGATTTGATTTTAATGTTTTACTTGCTTTAAGTCACAATGGGATTCTTTAATTAATTTAATTTTGTCCCCAGTTACCGTGCCTGGTACCCTGTGCCATCGACCAGGATCCTTACTTCCGCATGACACGCGACGTGGCTGCTCGCCTGAAGTTGCCGAAGCCGTCCCTCATCCATTCCACGTTCCTGCCTGCGTTGCAAGGAGCTCAGCACAAAATGTCTGCCAGCGACGCTAACACCTCTATATTCTTGAATGATAGCGCCAAACATATTAAGACTAAGGTATTTTTTATTTATGTTATGTTATGGCTTTTTTGAATCTGTTAAATATACATCATCACGCCTTTTCTCCTCAAAGGCGTAGGCAGAGGTGTACATTACGGCACTTAATGTTGTACAATGTAACATCCACTTTTGACTATTTATTTTATAAGTCCCATGTAATAAGGGGTGAGCCTATTGCCATACACCGGGGACAATCCCAGTAATACTTTTAAATCGGTTATTATTTGAATAAAGAATCAATCTTTTAACTGACAAAGATCTTAAACTGCCTATTTTAAAAATAACACCCCTATTTTACTGATTAATAATATTGCCATCTCAATAAATATTATTGTAATGTTCCACAGATAAACAAATACGCATTCTCAGGAGGTAGAACTACCGTAGAGGAACATAGACTGAAGGGTGGCAACACTGACGTGGATATTTCATACAAGTACCTTACCTTCTTCTTGGAGGACGACGACCGGCTAGCAGAGGTAAATTATAATTGACTTTGTACAATAACTTGTTGAGATTTTGTAAAAATCCCTTGATTATACTAACCAATTCGTCATGTAGTGACGATAAAGTAGAATATCAAGGTAGTTTCTTTGCTGCATTTGCTTAGAGGTGCCGTGAACATACGCCACGGACGCCGCCAGCGTCTGCCAGGGTAGCGGTGCTAACATATTCATAGATATCATCATAGAAGATTGCTTGGTCTAATACCTGCCGCGTCTTTTCGCTATCGTTAGCGAAAAGACGGTCGGAGGGTCGTCCCTCACGACAGCATCCGTCCCCATCATATAGATGGTTAGCAGGCCACAAGTATGCGCTTCTCCAGTAGCTTTCTGCCTCGCACAGCAAAACTGTGGAATAATGTGTCGCCGGCGGTATTTCTGAACCGATACGACCTTGAAACCCTCAAAAAAGAGCGTATTCCTTTTTAAAAGGCCGGCAATGCACCTGTGACTTTGGTGTTGCGGGTGTCCATGGGCGGCGCTGATCGGTTACCATCAGGTGATCCGCCTGCTCGTTTGCCTCTAATTCCTCATATATCCTAAATAAAAAACCTCTGACGCTTTGAACTACGATCTCCTTACCAGGCGCCAAGATTATTGCTATCCCCTATTTTATGGCTAACCCCTATATTTAGGCATTAAGTCCGCCAATTACACTGTATGTGCAATAAAGTTTAATAAATAAATAAATATTTTGGAAAGCATACCCAAAGTCCAGTTCTGGACTCTTTGCTGATATAAAATGACTACCTACTCACTCAGTGTTCTCCATTCACAGATAAAGAAAGAATATGAATCAGGCGTGATGCTGACTGGTGAACTGAAGAGAGAAGCGATCGATGTGATCACACCGTGGATACAAGAGTACCAGAAACGTAGGGCGACGGTCACGGACGAAGTTGTAGAACAATTCTTCAAGTTACGACCACTTAAGTTCTAAAATAGCTGTGCATAGTGCCTTGGTGGGCAATCAAAGGTTACGAACCCTTGCTACGTTGGGTTGCGCCGTGTAAGTCAAAGTCACCGCCATCTATATAGCAACACATTTTTAATTTGTAAGTCCCATATTGTTGCTTGTAATAAGATCGTGGCCGTCGTTCGTCGTCATCGACGGCCGTTAGCCGTCTTTCCCATGGGATAATAAGAAGTTTGTTATTCCAGACCATAAAGGGATGACCAGATAGTAGACCTGGGATGAAATTTAGAACAAGGGGGGGGGGTCTCTTTTCCAAAATGACATTTGATACCTTTTGCCGTTTTGACGTGAAAGGGTAACAAAGACACAAAAAAATTGGCATATTCTATAATAATCTCCACTCTTGATCTCTATCAAAAATATTGTCTCTTAGTCGAGTCGTCAGAAACAGGAACACTCCATATTAAAGAACCCTAAGCGCTCTGGAGACAGTTTCAAAAGCCACATAGTTTGCCCACCACTGCTATAACCCTATATATATTACTAACTTTTACCTGCGGCTTCGCTCGCGTCACAAAAGGATAAAAAGTAGCCTATGTGACATATACATATACATACAGCGCCATCTATACCAATACTTTTGTTTTCCCTCGGGAATATAAAATTTTTCCGGGATAAAAAGTACCCTATTATTTAATCCAGACTTCTAACTTTACGTCTGCAAAAATTCAAAGCAATCGGTTTAGTAGTTACGGCGTGAAAGCGGAACAAACAAACAAACAAACTCACTTTCCCATTTATAATGTTAGTAAGGATGTCTGTCATTATGGTCCACATGTATGTATTACTAGCAGTGAAGTTGTGCTCGCTAGATGGCGTTAATGAATAACACTAATAGTTCGATCGGAAATGTACACTTACAATAGATAGTCTACAGTACCCGACGATCAATACTGCACATCGACTTTTGGAAAGAGATAATCGGCCAAGATATATTAAGACTATAGAGTCGAATCATAAAAGGATTGGAAAAGATAAGGCTTTGTATAAATAAATGTAACATCACATCTGATCGCTTACCATCAGGTGATCCATCTGTTCGTTTGCCTCCTATACCATAAAAAAGTCGTGGAGAACCTAACGGGTAACCGGGGCTCCGGCTCGACGTGCAGGAGAAGGAACGGGGTGGTTTTTAGTCAATAAGAGTCTGACACTCCCTTCCGCCTCACCCAGGCGGGAGCAGTCATTCGATGATTTTTCCCCCCTTAAAAAAAATACCATAAAAAAAACATAAAATTGTCTACTAAAAGTCGGTGTGCAATATTTTTCGCCTGGTACTGTACTAGATTTCACTTCACCTACATGACATCTAGGCGAATTATTATTATGTTAATAGTTTATGTTTCATAGTATTTATACAGCTCAAGTATTTTTTTTAACCCAAGTCTGACTTAGCCAGACTGCATGTAAGGCGCTACCATGTCTGTATTAACTCTTGGAACACGCTACCAGCTTTATTGCGTAGGTCCTAAAGGCGATTTTCGTGCAAGTCTATTATATTACGATTACGATGTTGCGTTTGGTAAAAATAATTTGAAAATTAAGTCTTTTAGCGTAATGACGTCAAAATGACATCATAGTTACAATCCTAACAGAGACCTGTTAGGATTCTAACAAAAAATATACATCATAAAGTACTTCATTATCTATATTGACCCATATATCTAGAATTACAAAAATAATATATAATTTTAATATCTGTAGCATTTGTATTTATACTAATTAATCGTCTTTGACATTAAATGAAATAGAGTTTGTATTGATTGCACGCAGATATTTTTGTCCGTCTAATTTCGAAGTACACCAGAGCCCTTAATAAGCTACATATTGTCAGTCGAATCCAATGCAAAGTTAATATGAAAAGTCATTGAAGGGACTTAACTTGTAGGCTGGCCTCTCTTTTTTAACGATAAGATTGAGGCTGGGTTCGAATAGGCTCGTCCAAAGTAGCGTTCTTGGAGTGCAGGTACTGTATGGACAAGCGACATATCTGAACCCAGCCTTAGGTATAATTATATAATTAAACGTATCTAAATAATCGAAGCTATAATCTTAAAACGAGTAGATTTTACATAATCAAGCGAATAATGTATCGTATAGTAAATATTTAGACGCCTTTTTATACGAAATGTGTAATATAATTACATAAACCATTAGTTTTGTAAGACATCTTGTTTTGTTCTACAATTTTTAATTTAATTAAAAATCGTAGGTACGCAGTTTACTCTCGTGAAAATATTGAGAAAAGCTCTACTAGTTTCGAGCTACAGAGGGGCTCTTCCTCATGAACAGCGTGCTCGCGATTTTTAGTTAATTTAGTATGTCTCACGATAGTTATTATAAAAACCAGTTTTTAATTTATTATGTTTCTAATGCTAATGTCTTAGAACAGTCATGCGGCGCGGTTGTTCTTGCATACTTAAAAACTCAATTTATATGAATAAATTACCAGCCAAAAATAACTTGATACTCCTACGCAATATAATGTATGTACAAGTCTAAAGTAGTTATACTACAAAGAACTAATGGCCGTTTTCATCAACTTCACTATCTCTTAACTAAGTGTTACTTAGCGCGAGGGAGCACTTGAACAACTTGTACTATTAGGTGTTACTTATAAGTTAGAAAACCAAAATTTTGTTAAGTATCATCTATCTTAGCTTAAGGGTTCTTTAAAATTTAAGTGGTTGGTTTACAAACCTGACATTTGTTGTATGAAAATCCGTTCTGTTCTAATGCTATGAAATAAAAGAATAGGATAGATGACTAATTTTTGTTTTAATGCCCGTCTGGTAGATTATTTTAAATCATTACACACGTATTTTTATTTTCTTACGGAAACAAATACTGTAGATTTGAAATATCGCGTGACGTCACTTTTGTGTACGTTTAGAAATGACGTAGTTAACTCTCACTGCTAAACTTTGGTTCGTTTTACCTAAGTATTGTTTTCTTATACAACAAAATATGTACATACACACTGCCACACATCAACCTATACAAAACCAGTTTATCCTGGTGTCGCGTCGCATCATCTTTCCACACATTTAACGTTCAGTTTATACTGGTTATGTAGAGGTCGATGTGTGTAGCCGTGTGTACGTGTGTAATATTTTTTCATCACCTAACTGATGTACTAAATAGATTTTTAATTTTCATACGCCGCCATCATCCCTATTGAACTAGAGCAACACGTAGGAATATTGTACCGCATTCAACATTTTGTGACTATGTACTACATACCTTGGCTGTGCTAAGAGCATAATTTATACGACTAACTTATTTTATTTTTCAATAAATACAACATGCAATTCATTTGATTTTTTATTCCATAAATATTTTTTGTCGTAAGACATTCTTACTTCAAATACGCCACGTAAGGTTCGGTGAATCGGTCTTCTTCTTCTTCAAGGGGTAGTCTGCTTGAAACTATTCCTCCGGGGGCGCGATCTGACCTGCCTCCACGCACGACTTACAACAGAAGCTGGAAACAAAGGAACGTAAATAATAGGGTAGTTTCCTAAATTTTATTTTAATGTCCGTTTAAAACTTAGAGACGTAATTTTTCTTTTGTCACAAAATTAAATACTTCCACATTTTGTAGCACGTTATGACGTAACAACTCCTCACTCCTAAACTTAGCGCCATTTTATCTAAGTGACATAACACATAACATAACATCACGCTTTTTATCCCCGAAGGGGATTTCGGGAATTTGTACAGTACACCCACTTTTCACTATTTATGTTATGAGTCCCAAGTAATAGGGGGTGAGCCTATTGCCATATACCGGACACAATTCTAGACTCCGTGCTACTATTGAGATTTTTTTTAAAACCCCAGTAATACTTTGCCCGACCCGGGAATCGAACCCGAGACCCCTTACCCAGCAGTCGCACTTGCGACCACTAGTCCAGCGAGGCAGGCAGTTTATCTAAGTATTGCAACTTAATACGAGAAAATAAAAAAAACATGTGTCTAATATTTTTTCATTATCTAACTGACGGACTAATTGATTTTTTATTTTTGATACCCTGGAAACTACTCAATCGTGAATAATACTGTAGTATACCGTAACCGTCATGCGATATTTAACAAGGTTTTATTTAACTTGCAGTGTAAGTGTATGTGTGCGGTGGGATCTTTGAAGCAAATATATTCACCCGATTGAGCTATATATAGGTAAATGTTTAGTTTGCATGACCATAAATGCTAAGCTGCATTTTTTTTTAAGTTTTTAATTCAAATACATAATTATTTACTATCATTTATCGACTCTGGCCCTGACCCAATCGAGTATATACAGCGTTTCTCATTCTTGCGCCGTACTAGCGTAGTTTGTACCATATTGTGGTCGACATGAGACTACAATACAATATTGTGTCCCTACCGATCGTGGCGTATTTCTGCGACAGAGAACTTAGGTATTGTAGGTATTATTTTTTCGATTTGCGCCTACAGGCACGCCCCTTTGTTCTTAAATAAATCAGAAAAAACTACCTCGTCAGCCTCGAACAAATTACATTTTTAAGATGAAAATGTAAATAAAATTTTGTATCCTACATATAATAGGGCTGACATTTTCCTCTAAGGAAAAAAGCCCTTCTTATTAAATAAAGATAAAAAAAAGATGAAAATGGTGTTGGTATGTACTTACTGTTTATAATACTTGTGTGCACAGAAGTTGCTACGCACGATATGGACGCAATTAGCGAAGAATGGATTGTCCGTGCATTTAGGTGGTACATAAACTTCTGTGGACAAAATGTTATTTAATAAATTGAGAATATAATAGTAGTAACACTACTCAAACCCGCGTTACGGCCTGTTCACGATTTATTCCATTCTAATACCAAAAACTAATACCACTGGTATTTGTTTCAACTCATATTTTTTTTCTATTCCGAACCGATACCATTGTTTAAACTAATACCAAAACAAGTTCAAAGATATAAGGTACAGTCAGTAAAAATGCTTTGTGTGTAAATTTAAATAAAAAAAAAAAAATATTTTTATTGACAAAAAGCTTCACATTACATATTTATATGGCTCTGGACCCCACACTAGGATTCCCTGTGTCGAGAGGCCCAGTGTCTTTCAGTCAGCAAAACATAATACAAATGAGAGACAAAATAAAAAGAGAATATAAAAAAAAATATGACCTTTAATTGAAAAAAAAACAGATAACTCCAAAAAAATCAAATTTTGTTAGCAAACGTCTTGTTCAATGATAAAATTTCACTTAAATAATCAACTTTAATATAATTTTAGTTCCTCTCTATACCTGTATATTTTTTTTTTGCAAAAACATCAAACACTAAGAATTTACTTACAATCTAAAAATTACAAAATATCTCAAAAAATTAACTCTTAATTTATATTGAAATTTATCTGACATAGTTATTATTAGATAGGTACGTAATTATTCACGTCTACCTATCTCATAACAACTATGTCAGGTAAATTTTTAACAAAAATAAATCACTTTTTATCTAACAATTGTAAAATATCACAGAAAATCAACTTTTTGTATAATCAAATCAGTCATTCATCACTTACATAGCAATGAATCAGCAATTTTTTTTGCAAAAACGTCATATATGAATAATTCACTTATAATCTAAGAATTATAAAATATCACAGAAAATCCACTATTAGTATAATCAGCTAAATGACGTGTAAATAATTTCTTATATTTCAACAATTAGTAGCTAAACCCTTAATTTTTCTAAGCAGTGACCTACGGAGATTTTGTTTTTGAGGAGTTGGTCAGCTACGTATGTGATCCACGAATTTTTCATAATAGTTGTCTGTGCACATCGTTTTGCGGGGGGTGCGTTTGATTTATATTGAGTAACAACCACTGTTTGTATTTATATTGTATAAATATATTATATTATATTATATATTGTATGTTTGAATATTGAAAAACAAATTTACTTTGATTAGGTTTGACTGCGCTGACTGTACCAAATTCAAGTTGTTGGTATTCGTTCGTACATTAAATTAAATTATTTAAAAAGTAGTATCCGTTCGGAATAGAAAAAAAATAAGAGTTGAATCAAATACCAGTGGTATTAGTTTTTGGTATTAGAATGGAATAAATCCTGTTCACGGCTTTGGTCGTAATGGCGAATGTTTTTACTCACGCCGCTGAGTAGGTACATCACTGATTCACTACATACATAATTATGTAGTTATACTGTTCGCGTCGCTCCGCTGGTTTTCGCTGCTGCGTTGGACTGATTCACTCGTACGGTTTACCACTTGTTCACGCCGCGCTCCCTACACGCGCTTTAGCGAGTCGCTCGCGTTTTCGCTATAAGCGGTATCTCGTGGCGTGCTTCAAACATCTCTTTACTTTCGATTTTCCCGCACGTCACACTGCGTGGCGCTGACGGTCACAGCGGGAAAGTCGTGTAAGTCGTGTAAGGAGTGAGCCTCGCACATTTAAATATCACCTAATGCCACCCGCCTAAGTACATTTATATGTAAATCACTTCTCTGCACGTTGTATCAATAGGTAGTTACTTACGCTTTACGTTGACCTGCGCAGTGTCAGTTCCCGAGCTGTAGAGGTTGCTGGCATGGCACGCGTACAGCCCGCTGTCAGAGACTGTCACTCGCTGCACTGTCAGCTCGGATTCCACGTTACCTGCAGGTAAAACGTGCATAGTAGTGCACCCACGATCAAAATCGATCGAGAGATTTATATCTCTCTCTATAATAAAATAGATCGAAAGATATAGGTACCTATATGTAGGTACCTATTACCTGTTACCTGTTTATTTGTGTACATTTGATCTGTATTAATAACAAAGCCAGCAAAGTAGGACTTTAGATGAGGGAAATACTTTTATGCACTATTAATATACCTTCGTAAGTTCGTGCATTATTGCACCTATTGTGTTTTGCAGAAAAGCTATTATTAAAACCTTCAGATTGTGCCAGGGTCGGTAACTAACGTGAGGCAGATCAGGGACTATTGGGTTTACCTTGAATCCAATTCCGATCTATCGACATTGGTAGCTAGGTACGTGGTCGGTACCTATATTGACTTTGGCTTTGTTGAGTTTTTTTGGATATTGGATTAACGTTGACATAGAGATTTGTTTCAAGAGTAATGCTCATGTTACTGACATAATAGGCTACGATCAATAGCAGCTTTCCACCAGGTAGGCCGCCCGGAAAGTCATTTAACTTACCAGTAATAAGAATTCTGTCGTTGTTTTCAAGACGCACGCCGTCCTTCGTCCAGTAGACGTCAGGCTCCGGGTATCCATCCACTTCGCAAGTGAGTTTCAGGTCTTTGCCGATACTTGTCGTCGACGCCGTCACGTGCACGGACACCGGCACTATTCATATGTACATACGATATTATCAACCCAGGCACCCATAGGATCTAAAGTGGGCAATAAAGTCCATTGAAATGCAAGTTTTTAAAGCTATTAAAAATACTAATCTATTCAGATATATAATAAATCTGTAGAAAAGTAATTTTTGTACATTGAAGAAATTGACAATAAAAATAGCCAGCGTGTTAAAAGTTAACTAACACAACCCATTACCAACATTTTTGAAAATTTTGTCTGTTTGTTTGTGCGCGCAACACGTAAAATCTACGAATTCAATGCAGACATTGCCTATATACAAAAATTCTACGCAATTTGAGGTATAACTTAGTTTTTGTTTCATCGAAATCGGTTCACTCTATCAGAAGATATGATTAATTTAGTGAGTTCAAGAAGTAAAATATTACAACACGCAATTCAATATAGTACTCGAAACGACAACTTTGGAAAATTGGTTTCGTTTGGTCATTGGTTTGAAGTCCGAAGTAAAGATACTACATGATATTTTAAACAAGTAAAATAGGCTATTTTTTTTAAGGTGGGAAAATCATCGAATGACTGCTCCCGTCTGGGTGAGGTGGGAGGGAGAGTCAGACTCTTACTGACCAAAAACCATCCCGTTCCTTCTCCTGCACGTCGAGCTGAAGCCCCGGTTTCCCGTTAGGTTCCCCGCGACTCCGAATCGGCATCGGCCCTGTATGGCATCTGTGGAGGTCTGATGGCTCTTTGAGGCGCGCGCGGAACGCGACGCGCCTTACGCTCGGGATTGTTTCTGGTCGGACGGCGAGCCACCCATGCTCGCCGTCCGCAGGCCCGCGCTTACGGTGGCCGGAGATCGCCCCGCGATCCCCGACGCCCGATGTGTCCTTCGCGATGGCTGGGTTGCGAGGAGGGAGCGATTCTCTGCCTCACGCGTCCCGCCTCCTCCTTAGCTAGCATGGCTGCTTCGCAAAAGGAGGAGACGGCATCCCAGTCCCCCTTGCTTCGCATCATGGCCTGCAATAGGCCCGGACGCGAGAGGTCGCCATCGCCGATCACTTCCCTGAGGGCACGGTGGTGCTCAGCCCACGCAGGGAGAATACTAGGCTAAAGGTATTTTGAAATCTGGCCTTTACGGTCGTCTTAAGTTTAAAACGTCGTACGAACGACCTTTTTGTAACATATGTATTTGAACGAAACCTACCAAAATCAGTCCAGTATACAAATAATTTGTAGTTGTAGTGTTACTTTTTCAAATCACTGTATTTACAATAATTAAGTAGTTTTTTTGTTGATTTTTTTATTATCTTTTTTTCTATTTTTATTTACTGTCATTTATTTTTTGTTTTGGTGCAGAAATAGCAATTGCTACTTGTATCACCGAGTGTATTCGGGAAGCGTCGTGATCGTTCGGATAAATTCGTAATTCCCTAATTCACACTGGGTATTAGTGAGTATGGCGTGAGACTCGGTCAATAGGGCCGTACTGTCAGTTCTGTTACAGTCTATACAGTCGTCCAACGAAGACGTCTAGACAAGGCAATCGTGCGGGGTGTGAAAGGCGAGACGCGGGTAGGCCGATCCCGAGCTGCGAACAAAACGATGTAAGTATCTCGGGATATATTATTCAGGGCTAACGCGTGTTTGTTTTTACCGACTTCAAAAAAAGGAGGCACTAAAAAACTGCCTCAAAGAAAAAAAGCAAATTCCTTTTTGTATAATGCTCCGGGTAATTCAACCGCTAATATAGTATATAGGGAAGCAATGAAGCATTAATCTAATCAACTAGATACCATTATTACCAAATAAAAATATACTATAGGAAGAATCTTTATTGGCAAAAACAAAAAAATACTATACCACCTTCTTGAGTGGAGTTCATAATATATGTATATAGCCCACTGTTATCTAATCGATGTTGTTTTGTTTTCGACAACCACGCGAACGAAGTCGCGGGCACAGCTAGTAAATAATAAATGACAAATTCGTTTAAAATTTTTCATCCTAAATGGCAATTTTATGGGTACTATAATTTTAGTGTTACTAGATAGACTCCGAACCCAAAAATGTGCAAGTTCTGTCTGTATGTTGATGCACCACGCAAAAACTATCGGTCCGATTACGATGAAACTTTGAATAATCATAAATCTATTCATAATTACACAACAAAAAGAAATTGTATCGGCGTGAGTCTTCCTTTAGAGGATACCTCAATGAATAGCACAAATATTATTTACTGCGTATTTTTTATCCCCAAAAAGGTATACACGAAAAAACTAATTTAATTGATCTCAGACTGTTAGAAAAAGTGAAGGAAATTCAACATTTACTTGATGGCACACCCTTGGGATAATTACAAAGCTCAGTAGTGTTGCATGGACATCCCTGACCGTCGGGTCCCTTGGCTTCAGTCTGGTTGTCAGCGCAACATCCGAACTCGGAGCCACTGCACAGGTCCAGGGTGGTGCCACCGACGTCCGTACTACCTGCCACCATGGTGTCTGCTCCGGTCGTGCTTCTTTCAGTCGTTTCTAGAGCTTTAGCAGTGTTAGTTGTGGTTTCTGTAATAGAAGTTTCTGGAACGCAACCAAAATGTACACGTACTGTTCATTCTAATAAGGAACCTTGTATTTATTTCGGATACAATAATCCTTTCAAAAAAATGAACGGCATGCTCTTGGCAACTATCGACCGATGAGCTTTATCATTTTCTAAACTTACCGGTAAACACAGGTATATGTGTGTCAATAGAGTCTGCGGCAGTGGGAACCTGTGTCTCGCGCGAGTCGCGCGGCACTAACATATCATTAGTTGTGCGCAGTCCCTCAGGTCTGTATGCGCGTACATTCACTACCCACGCTGCCTCGTCTACTCCGTTGTACGCTTGGCACATGTATTGTCCAAGGGTTTCGATAGCCAGATTTCTGATCAATAAAACTTTGCCTCTGGCTTCATACATCGCGTTTATAAATGGTACCATCGTTCCATTATAGACGTAGTACCAGAACACGGTGGGCGGCGGGTACCCGTACGCCAGGCACCGCACTGAGAGCGGGCTGCCCAGCTCCCCAATTACCACGGCATTCTTATCTCCAGCAATTCTGACAGGCGTCACTACAGGATCTGTTAACCATCAAGTATATTTAATAACATAACATAACATCACGCCTTTTATTCCCGAAGGGGTAGGCACATTATGCAGTGGCATAATGAGTGGATAATAAAAAATGGATGTTTCGTACAGTGGTACGAAACATCCACTTTTCACTATTTATGTTATGAGTCCCATGTAATAGACGATGAGCCTATTGCCATATACCGGGCACAATTCCAGACTCCGTGCTACTATTGAGAATTTTTAGAAAACCCAGTAATACTTTGCCCGACCCGGGAATCGAACCCGAGGCCCCTTGCCCGGCAGTCGCACTTGCGACCAACGAGGCAGCCTCAGTTAGTCGGTCAGTATATTTAATACTAGCTTTTGCCCGCGACTTCGTCCGCGTGGAATAGTGACTTCCGGCAGATTTTTGGTTCTTCCCACATAGTTCCCGTTCTTGCGAGATTTTCGGAATGGTCGAGTTCCCGCAGAATTTTCAGGATAAAACCTATGTTTTTTTTTTCGAGTTCCAAACTACCTCTATATCTATACAATTTTTAAAGTAAATTAAATTTTTTTAAAAAACTTCTGCATAGATTATATTTTTTGTTTTATTATCTTGTGGCAGAAGAACATATTGATTTTCGCCACAACCCGATCTTGATAACGCGACATATAACTGGCCGTGCGAAAAACAGTCTTGGCGTAAATCGATCCCCACGTGTTTGAATGTTTGCCCCTGTGATTTATTTATTGTGACTGCGAAAGATAATATAATCGGAAATTGTATTTTTTTTAAATTGAAAGGTAAGTCGTTGGGTATCATTGGGATGCGGGGTGTGAGGACTGTTTAACCAATTGCATGGACCAGTCAAAACTATTGCAACGATGACGTTATTGCGCAGAAATTTTACTTGAAGTCGGGTCCCGTTGCATAAATTTGGTGGTTTGAGATTTCTTAGTAAAATTATTGGGGCACCTATTTTTAACTTAAGAGAATATGGGGGAAGGCCGCTTGGGTTCAAGGAATTGAGGAACTCCTGTGGGTAATGAACTACATCTTCTTGATCCATCACGGTATCAATGGATGTGTAGGTTACAATATCTCCTGGGAGTTTACTCAAAATGATATCATTTATTTCGTCAACGCTACTATTTCTTGCCGCCAATATTGCTCTTTGACACATCCGTTGATGGTCCTTGTTATCTATTTGGCTGATGTCAGGGTATACCTTAGTTACTTATTCCTCGATGTTACCCACTTTTACTCCCAAATCGCAATCAATTTCAATTTTATTATTAGAATTGTAATCTTTAAAGTTTTCTGTTGAAATTAACTTATGTCAGACTAAGAATTAAAAAAGAATTTTATTCACAATGAAGTACTCTTACCCAACAACATATTTATTTCAATATATTATTATGTTGATACAACTTAACTCGTCGAGTACCGGTTTTGTAGACACAATTATAGAACAATAGGTTGCGGTCACCGGTGACCGCTTGGTGTTTGACAGTTTAAACAAATTATTTCGACCAAATTAGGTACCATATAAACGGTTTTTGAGAGTTAATCTTAAAAGAGAGACACATACTGTCGCGGACTTTTTTTAGATCATTAAAAGAGGTATTATTCTTTAGTACATATTTTTGTGTATCTTGAACCGTTTTCACAGCCCACACAACGGAAGGCTTCAAAGATAAAATAATTTCCCCCGTTTTTTACACATTAACCACTATATCTTTGCTCCTATTGGTCGTAGCGTGATGTTATATAGCCTATAGCCTTCCTCGATAACTGGACTATCCATCACAAAAAGAATTATTCAATTCGAACCAGTAGTTTCGGAGATTAGCGCGTTCAAACAAACAAACAAACTCTTCAGCTTTAATAATATTAGTATATATTTAATGTTCAATAATTTTCAATAAACTACGTTTCAAGAACTGGCTTTAGATTGAAGCCTGCCTTTTTTATGTTCAGTTATTTTAAAGTCTGAGAAGATTTTGAGCAAAAAAATTTCGGAGTATATATTGGTTGAATAGATTTTGGTGCGGTTTTTATGACAGAAGTTTATAAAAGAATTATTAATGTAATCTGTCCTCTTAAAGATTGAGAGGCGTGTGTTGCAAGATTGTAACAGTGTGTACCAGGTAGTCTTATACTGATCGAGTTACCTTAACGTACTAACTTCAATCTTGCAAGTTTAGTGTTAAATCTGTAGTTCGAGATCCTCCCCTACTCACCATTGACGACCAGGTGTATCTCCTGCGTGGCCACTCCGAGACTATTGTCTGCCACACAGATGTAGTTTCCGGTGTCGTTCCGATAAAGAGACACGATCTCCAGCGTGCCGTCCGACATCAGCCTGTAGCGACCCGCGCTGCCGTCGATCTGTTGGGAGGTACCTTACATCTCAGTAGTATTTAACATAACACTTTCTATGTCACTGCATTTAATAAATGCTTTCGAAAGTATATATAAAATCTCGTTTTCTTACTCTACTATTTCAAATCTCTCCCAAACAATTCACAAATTTGTAGTTAATAAACCAAATAAATACAATAGTGAAAATTATATTTAATACGCACATTGAGCTCTCCATGTCTCCACGTGATCTTGGGCGGAGGGCTGCCGTGGAACGGACAGCGAAGGGTAGCTTTACCACCTTCTGAAGCTGCCACTTGGGCCTCTTTCTGCGGCAACGCTTGTGGTGGCGCTGGTAGGTCTGCGAAGTTGACGAAAGTTTAAGCGATTAACTATAAAACCCTTTCCTACTCCTGCACTTCGAACCGCAGCCCCTGGTAACCTTTTATGTTCTTCGCGGCTGCCGTATCGGCATCGGCCCTATTGGGTCCCATCCGTGGTCGTCTGATGGCTCTTTGAAACGCGCGTGGAACGCGACGCGCTGTATGCTCAGGTTTGGTCGGTTCTGGTCGGGCGGCGAGATAACCGTGGTCGCCGCCCGTAGGCCCGTGATTACGGTTGCCAGAGATGGCCTCGCGATCGAGAGGAGTCGACATCCCGAGCCAGACTAGGGCCTGACGCGAGAGACGCGGGCGATGTGACCGTCGCCGATCACATCCGGCGGTGCTCAGCCCATGCAGAGCATGCTGCTACCGTATGTGCGACTGTGTTCTCAAGGAAGTCCTCGCAATGATGAAACCCGGGCGTTTCCTTCATCAGTAAACATTTGGGTCAGGCAATCACAGCGAGCCCAGCCCTTGTTTGTGACAGTTCATTCCGCCATGAGATCGCGTCGGAGCTCATACCGCCTCGCACTAATCTGGCGCGGCAGTGGAGTTTCGCACCGGTGGCGTGCAACCGCACGCAGACAAAAAACGCGCGCGATCACGTTAGCCTTCAACTTCGCATTCAAGAACCGGAGTAGACCTCCTGACCTCAGATCCTACCGTGGTAATCCGGCAATGAGGTTCGCCGCTTCCTCGGAGATCGTGCGATATTCGCGGATCATTTGGATGAGTGTCTATTAAACTGTTGTTGGGTCCTGGTTCAGCACCTACATATACAATGCCATATGAAAACTTACCCTAAAACTTACCCTAGGGTAAGTTTTAGGGTAAGTTTATATAAGTTTTTATAGGTTCTAGAACCTATTAGGAATATAATGGTCACTGTTTGGTGGTCTAGTGCCGGTGTGATTCATTACAGCGGCCCAAACGGAGTGAGCATTATTGTAGATATGTACTGTGAAGAACCTGGCACTTCTCCAACCAGCATTGGTCAAGCGCTCGTCTCCGCTGCTCCTGCATGACAACACGCGACCTCATACTGCACAGTTGTTGGAAGCTCTCCATCAACCGCTCTACTCACTAGACCTTGTGCCTACAGACTACTACTTTTTTCAGAATTTGGATAAACTTCTTGACGAGAAAATACCTATACCCTAGAGGTAGAACAAAATGCCTTTAAAGAATTTGTTGCCTCCCGTCCAGCTGATTTCTGATTGACTATGATTACATCGATTAATACATAAAAAAAAATTGTTTCAATTTGTTCATACAAAATGGCAATTTCATAGGTAAAGAATATATTATAATTTTCTAATATTATATATATTTGTATACAACATAGTGTTGATCTTAGACTGTTGAAAAAAGTGAATGAAATTAACAATTTAGGTGTGGGAGAGCCATGCTTCGGCACGAAAGGGCCGCCTCGACCAGAGTGATACCACGGCCTCACAGAAAACCGACGTGAAACAACGCTTGCGTTGTGTTTCTTCGTGTGAGTTAGGTTGCCGGAGGCTAAATTTACCCCTACCCCCTCCTCAATCTCGCAATCTCCCTAATCCCTGAATCCTAAACAATCATCAAATTCCTAATCCATAATCGATTGCTTACCATCAGGATCCTTCGGCTTGTTTAGTGGCTTAAACCATAAAAAAAAATAATACTTGGAGGCGCACCCTCGTAGTCACAAAGCTTAGTAGCGTTGCATGGGCATCTCTGACCGTCGGGTCCCTTGGCTTCAGTTTGGTTGTTAGCGCAGCATCTGAACTCGAATCCATTGCACAGGTCCAGGGTGGTGCTACCGACCTCCGTGCTACTTGCCACCATGGTGTCTGCTTCGGTCGTGCTTCTTTCACTCGTTTCTAGACCTTCAGCAGTTTCAGTTGTAGATACTGTAATCGAAGTTTCTGGAACACAGTTAAAATGTGCACTAGGTACTATTCATTCTGGCGCATAGGGGAATAATAATAAATAATTCCGGAGCAGGTCTCTTCAGAGGACCCGGTGCCCCTTACAGGTGCTGAAGGTGGCCACCGGGGTGGTTTTAGTGTGGTAAGAATCCCACACTCCCTAGTCTTTTGTGTGTATTCAAGGGGATCTGGGAATGGTTTAGATTCACAAATCAGCCCGGCAGATGGCGCTGCAGTCGATGTTTACGTTATTTATCCTAAACAGCTGAACTAATTTGAATGAATTTTTGTTTATACATTCAAGTGGATATGCAGGACAACGTCTGTTGGGTCCGCTAGTAATAGTATAAAGAGGAAAGATTAGATTTTTTGTTTGTTGGAATGGAATATCCTTTAAAACTACTATTTGAAAAATTCTTTTACCGTTGAAATCCTACATTATCGATAATGAACATAGGCTACAATTAATAAGAGAATAAAAAGGGAACCGTGTGAAAATTTCGATAATGTAACCCGATGTGTGAAAATACTACCAATAACATCTTATATTGCTTTAAGCCTTTGACTGCAAATAGAAAACTGTTTTCAAGGACTAATAATAGTATTTAGCTGCATCACAATCAGATTTTGAAGAAAAAAATACGAATTCCATTAACTGAATCATGGACTTTTTTTTTGTTTTTAAGGGGGGGAAATTATCGAAGGGAGTGTCAGACTCTTACTGACTTGAAACCATCCCGTTCCTTCTCCTGCACGTCGAGCCGGAGCCCCGGTAACCCGATAGGTTCTCCGCGACTCCGAAACTGAATCATGGACTAGCTTCTGCCCACGGTTCCGCTCGCTCTCTTTTAAAGTATTGGCGGCAGGTTTACACACGATAAAAAAGAATTGGTGCCCAATGTTTTCCTGGTCACAAATATGAAACTAATTTTAGTTTTCTTGAAAATTACGAAATGATTCATATAAACTTCCAGCCCCTGTTTTAGAGAAGTGGTGGGTTAGAAAGAAACAAAATGTCGCCCATGCTACTTTCAATCCTTTCTACTATCTCAACTCAGTAAATAAATCACGTCAATTTCTAACAAAACCAACAGACGTAAACAAATTTATAATATTATACTCGGAATTTTAATTCGATTCCAGATTTGACAATTTCAGTGTTGCGACGTTATGACAAGTACTAAATAGTGACGTTGCGAAATTATTCGATATGGAAATGCAATATTTCTGGATCGATTCTTCTTGTTTATAATTTTACTCTCGTAAACTAAGGATATCAGGAAATTAAATATTTCTGACCGATAATTTAGTTTTGACGATTACTTAACGATCTGAGACTTTTCTTTTATAATTGTGTGTGAAATAAATAAAAAAATGTAATCATGAAGGAACATGACAAATAAAACAGATAGATGTATTATGGTAATAAGTTATTTTATAAATTGTCGCCGTCATCGCTATCGCTATCCTGTCACTTTCTGTAACATTTATTATAAAACACACACGCTGATTGTTTATCGATTTTTGTGTTCATCACTACACTATTATATGTGGTATCATTATTTCACAAAATGACAGTAGCTATTGTCAAATCTGGAATCTAATTAAAATTCTGACTATAAGTCTTCTTATTATTTAAAGATTAAAAAAAAAATAAGTCTTTGAAAGTTTAAGTACTTTTTACGTTACATGAAATATTTTTGACAAGTCAGTTTCATGCCAATGCACTGCCAATGTGATGCCAATGGACAATTGACAATTTATTTTTTTATTATTTTGATATATCATTAAGGTACGCAAAGAGGCTGAGTACTCATTTTATTAACCACTGGACCTATTTGATTGACATTCGGTTTAACGAGAGTTTGAGACACTGGCACTGGAAAGAACATCTCATGGTACAGGAACTATGCGTTAAAATTCCGAGACTCTCTATTGCTTAACTCGTCGAGTACCGGTTTTGCAGACACAATTATAGAACAATAGGTTGCGGTCACCGGTGACCGCTTGGTATTTGACAGTTTAAACCACTGAACCTATTTGAGTGCAATTCAGTATAACGATAGTTTGAGACTCTGAAAATGACGCCTGATAGTTTTCAACCGCTGTACCTATTTGATTGGAATTCAAATGGAGTTAAATCACTTATCTCACGGGACGGGATACTATATGGGTAAAATCCCTGTGGGATTGTTTATTTTTTTAAATCACGAAAATAAACAAACGTTTCACAATAAATATACCTAACTAAATTTATTCTGATGAGCTTTGTTACACAGCATTGCAATTAACCTTGGAAAAGACTAATAAAAAAAATCCAAAATTTGCCAGAGGTCATTACATTACGCGGACGTAGGTACTATTATAAGTGTAGATGTAGATAAAACAAAAATGTCGCCGATAATAGTTAATATAAATACAATACAAACATTTCCGAATGTTATGATGTGCTTTATTAGGGAATACTATTTGTAGGAAAATTTCTTAAAGGGGGAAAATCATCACATGACTTATCCCGCCTCGGTGAGGCGGAAGGGAGTGTCAGACTCTTATTGACAAAAACCCCCCGGTTCCTTCTCCTGCACTTCGAGCCGGAGCCCCGGTAACCCAATAGGTTCTCCGCGACATTTGTAAGATTTAGATTAACTGGATACGTAAAAATAAAATATTAAAATGTGTTTACTTAAACTGCATATACACATTTGCGACTGACTTATGTGGCGGGCGCAGGCTCCTAAGCATGCACACATACATGCATGGCGTATTTATTATTCCGACGCAACAAACTCAAGGGGAACGGGAACTATGCGTTAAAATCCCGGGATACCATTTTTTTCAAACTACTAAATTTCGCTGAGTTTCTGTACAATGGTAGTTTAAGACCTGAGAAAGGATCTAGACAAGTTCTATCCCGAAAACCCCGCGAGACCAGGAACGATGTGTTCTAATCCCTGGACACTTCTTTTACCTCTAAATTACTAATCGTATTTTACTGAAATTCCACACAATGATAATTTAAGACCCGAAAAGGACCTAAATAGGTTTTAACCTGGAAACGCCACGGGAATGGGATAAAATCCCGGGACGCTATTTATTTTAAACTGTTGAGCCAATTTGACCGAGAGACCGTACGATGGTAGATAGAATCTCAAAAAGAAATAGTTAGGTTTTATCCCGAAAACCCCACAGAGACGGGAACTACGTTTTAAAATCTGGGGACGCTATTTCTTTTAAACTACTGATCTTATATGACTGCCATTCCATACATTTTTTTTCGTAAATCTCACAGGAACAGGAACTGTACGAGTAAAAGCTCTAGACTGCGTGTTAGATAAATCTTGACGCAGATATGAGTGACATATATTACAACTTTTTATAATGAAAATCCTACGGAAACGAAACCTATGTGTGTAAAATTGAGAACTCAAAATTCATGAAAACTGAAGAATTGACTTGATTGAAATTTAATACTATCCTTACATAGAAATAGGCCTTGGAAAAGAGGACAAGTCAAAAATCTAAATTATTCCTGATATGATAAAAGATACCAATCCTTTATTAATGCGTGGACGAAGTTCCGGGCAAAAGCTAGCCAATTATAAAAAAATATGTTCTTGGCAACTATCGACTGAGGAGGTATCCTACTGTAGTCTTTTCATAAACTTACCTGTAAACATAGGCATATGTGTATCAATAGACTCTGTGGTTGTGGGATCCTGTGTCTCGCGCGGCACTAACATTTCATTCTCAGTGAACAGTCCCTCAGGTCTGTATGCGCGTACATTCACCACCCATAATGCCGCCTTGCCTAATCCGTTGTACGCATGACATATGTATTGTCCAAGAGTTTCGACAGCCAGACTTCTGATGAGGAGCACATCGCCTTTGGCTTCATATGTCACGTTATTAACTGGTATAATTGTTCCGTTATAGACTCTGTGCCATGTCACGGTGGGCGGCGGGTATCCGTACGCTACGCACCGCACTGAGAACGGGTTGCCTAGCTCCCCAATTACCACGGCATTCTGATGTCCAGCAATCACGGTAGGCGTCTCCACAGGATCTGTTAACCATCAATTATCTATACATACAGGGATCTGGTAAAAAGTGGATAACCTTGAAGTTGAAATGTCTTATTGTACAACTTATGGCCGCTCTGATAAAAATACAAAATAAAATATGGCGTAAGTATTATCTTTGATATGTTTTTTACAGATCCTTATCACTATGATTAAAAATTAATGAATTGTATTGGTTTTTGTTGTTTTATTATCAAACACTAACTGTGCTGATAGATAGAAAGTAAATAATATGACTAGCTAATACAGTTAATTTCGAAAAACATACGCAAATTAATTTATTTTTGAAAAATATGCCGTAAATACTCTATATGCAAAGTTCAAACCTCTTGGATATAAAAAAATATATGGATATGTGGATGACCAATAATTTTACAATAATGTCTTTTTCAAGTAGATTTTATATATATAATGTATTATATATATATATATATATATATATCTGTTATAAATAGTAAGTAACTTATTAATGTAGAAAAGGAGAAAATCTAAAAAAATAACAAAAGTTTTAATATGGGAACTTTTTTTAAATTGAATTATATCTCATCATGGAGGAATACTAAAAACAAAATGTAGTTGTCGAACATTCTAGGTCATCCTAGGAAGGCTCTATTACCAATTCGCCGCTAATGATAACTTTGAAGTGGCAAACTAGTTTTGCCTAGGCTAAACTAGTTCTTCCTATACGCGTTAGGATTAACTAGTATAGCCTAGTTCAAACTAATTTGTCCTAAGCCCGATAGGATAAACCAGTTTAGGCTAGGACAAACTAGTTGATCCTGATTTAAATACGCACACTCTAGGATAAACTTAATTGCGGTTCAATCTCAAGACACAGTTACTGTACCAATCGTAATAATAGGTATGTCGAATGTCAGGTTGCCCGCAGTGGAGTTTCCGTACGACTTTCCGCAGTGGACTTTCCGCAGCTTGTCGCAGCTTTCTGCATTCGGCTTTCCGCAGGTAGCTGTAGGACCGATGGTTGAAATTAGCTTGAACCGATATTATAAATGTGAAAGTATGTGAGTTCATGTGTTTATGTGTGTGTTAGTTACTTAGTCACATGAAAACGGCTAAAGAGACCGTGATGAAATTTGGAACAGAGGTAGATATGGTCTTTTTTTAAAGGTGGAAAATCATCGAATGGCTTCTCCCGCCCGGGTGAGGCGGGAGGAAGTGTCAGACTCTTACTGACTAAAAACCACCCCGTTCTCCTGCACGTCGAGCCGGAGCCCCGGTAACCCGTTAGGTTCTCCGCGACGTAGATATGGTCTGGAGTCTGGAGTGACACATGGCTACTTTTTACCCCTGGGAACGCAGGCGAAGCTGGCAGAACTCAGAAGCTTAATAATTTCATAATAAAAAGTATTTAATAATTTCCAATAAACTACGTTTCAAAAATTTACTTAAATCTCTTTTCTTGAAGTCGGTTAAAAAAGTCGGTTATTTTGAAGTTTCAGAAGAGTTTGAGCATATGAGCATGCGATTATGTCGCGACTCGTTGAATTTATTTTATTGCAGTTTTCAGGTCAACTTTTCAGGTCAACCGACCTCATAAAATGAGGAGGTAAAAAGAGGTCTATAAAAGAAAGAAGTTTATAAAATAATTATTAATCTGTCCTCTTGAAAATTAAGAGGTGTATGTTGCAAGATTGTAACAGTGTGTACCAGGTAGTCTTATCCTAATCGAGTTACAATACCATACTAACTTAGATCTTGCTAGTTTAGTATTAAATCTGTAGTTCGGGATCCTCCCCCACTTACCATTGACGACCAGGTGTATCTCCTGCGTGGCCACTCCAAGGCCATTGTCTGCCACACAGATGTAGACCCCGGTGTCGTTCCGGTATAGAGACACGATCTCCAGTGCGCCGTCCGACATCAGCCTGTAGCGACCAGTGCTGCCGACGATCTGTTGCACCATTGTAAAATTATAAGCGATTTTCAAAAACGCGGGATATGTTCAAATTTTTTAAAGTAACTAAGATTGTTCTCTTTGAACTCGGGCGATCGTTAAATAAATGGGACATCTCGTATTCTCAAAACATACCAAAATATATTTTGTGAATATATTTTGGTGACGTCACAGAAATATATATTACTAGCTGTTGCCTGCGACTTCGTCCGCGTAGAATAATTACTTCTGGCAGAATGCATCATAATTGATTATAATCCTTCAGGGATTTTATTAGTACAGTGCCCGTTTCCGTAGCAAGGTTGTAATGATAAAAACTATTTTATTCATTATTGTTGTACCGATTTTCTCTAAAATCAGTTCAGTGGTTAAGAGACAATGAATCCCGGGGCTTTAACGAATAGTTCTCATGGGACTTCCCAGGTCTCAAACTGTCGTTAAATATAACTTTAAAAAATTTAATGATTCTAGATTCAAGAGATTCATTGGCTAAGAAGATTTATAAAAATTATTTCCTCTTTTTTAAGAGCGGAAGATCATCGAATGACTTCCCCCTTGGGGGTGGAAATAATCAATATCTTTTCTTAGCGAATGCCCAGGTCATAACACTTAATTTCAGCCCGATTCGTCCAGTGGTTTGGGCTGTGCGTTTATAGATCACAACAGCAGTCAGTCACCTTTTTTCTTTTCTTTTTTTTAAAAAAAAACGTTGCCCCACACTAGGATTTTCTCCTGTGTCGTGGGTGCGTTTACAAACATACAAGTTCACATACACAAAGACACCCAGACCCGAAACAACAATTTGTGGATCACACAAAGTATTGTCCCGTGCGGGAATCGAACCCGCGACACGTTGCATGGCAGCCAGATGCCCAGCCACCGCACCAACCGTGCAGTCATTGAATTATATATATTTAAATAGCTAGGTGCGTGGCGGTGTGGGCAACATTGTAGGCAAATTAGTTGTGTTTAGCTTGGAAACAAGCCAAATAAATGCAATGGCGAAAAGTACATATGTATTTAATACGCACATTGAGCTTCCCATGTCTCCACGTGATCTTGGGCGGAGGGTTGCCGTAGAACAGACAGCGAAGAACAGTCTTACAACCTTCTGAAGCTGTCACCTGGGGCTCTTGCAGCGGCAGCGCTTGTGGTGGCTCTGGTACGTCTGCGAAGGTGAAGAAAGTTTAATTGAATAACCTGAAAAAAAATTGAAAGAGCTTAAAGAAATTGTCTAGCGATACACCCGTACCAATTGTCCGTTCCGAAATAATAATATGTGTGTGTGTGTGTGTGTGAACTTGTATAAACGTACCCAAGACACAGGAGAAAATCCTAGTGTGGGGCAACGTTTTTTTTAAAGATGAAAAAAGATTATCGATAAAAAATAACTATAGTTTTTAGAAGTCATCGGACAGAAGTTTTGGTTTCAGAAGTCAAAGGTTTTGTCATTCTTAGTAAAGTTGATTCGGTAAATTACATTTCCGCAAGAATTTTAGGGAAAAATAATCATGACAATGGAGAATTAATAACTACTACGATAAATAAAAACATATGAAAGCGGATTCCCATTTTGGCGATAATTGTCTTGTTTTATATTATATTGTACGTACCAGTCCTGCAATCTGCGGTGTACTTCGTAGATAAATCGGTGTCATTTTTGTAAGGGATGACCACGCAGCGGTCGCCGGGCGGACACGATTTTTTCTTACACGGGTATTCTTTGCAGCTACACCTGTAGGTACCAATGTGACAGTCTACCTCTAGAGACCTATAATATCTATACTTATAAAACATCACGTCCTGTCTGACAGATTTATTATCGCCGAGCGTATTACTATGAATGCTATAAATATGAAATTCGGACTATATAATACTAGCTTTCACCCGCGGCTCCGCTCGCGTCACAAAAGGATAAAAAGTAGCCCATGTGACATATACCAATACACACAGCGCCATCTATACCGATACTTTTGTTTTCCATCGGTAATATCAAATTTTTCCGGGATAAAAAGTACCCTATTATTTAATCCAGACTTCTAACTTTACGTCTGCAAAAATTCAAAGCAATCGGTTTAGTAGTTACGGCGTGAAAGCGGAACAAACAAAGATTAGGGTTTGAAGTTTTAATGTGACTTGTATTCATTTTTATTTGAAAAAATTTAAACTTTGTATTAATTTAAAACAAATGACAGCTATAAGTACGTTTTTTTGACAAATAACAAACGCATATTTCAGGAATTTTACATAATAAGGGACGAAATAAGGTTTGAATGTTTGAAAGTTGTATAATCAACTTCCACGCCAGCAAAGCCGTGGGCAACAGCTAGTAATAAATATGATACCTATTTACTTATAATCTGAAGAGAACCAAATAGTAAGAGTAAGAGAAGAAGGCTCTCTACTAAATACGTTCTTACATGGTCAGCAACACGCTCAGGTTGCCTCTGGTGTTGCAGGTGTTCCTAGTTGAGCAAGTTAACTGCTTAGATACCATCAAGTGGAATGCAAGTTTTGTTAAGTAATAACAGTTGTATGAAGGATAGCTAGATAATCACAAATGATGAGATTGACTTTTATTATCCTAATGAATCGGTGACGTACCTCTGACATCCATCGGATTCGGTAGTAATCTGAATACCGTATGTACATTCGATGGTCTCGCACTCGTTTATCAGTGGCGTGCAGTCGGTCTCGAGCTTACCGAACAAACAAGAACACATGTAACATCCGTTCGGCATGCGCGTGCGCAGTAAGATGTACTTGCAGCGTAGTCTCGAACAGTTCGCCACGTACTCCCCGCAGTCGTCTACCTCGGTTGTCTCTGTATAGTGAAGTTCATGTATGAAATAATGATGGTGATGATAATCATGTAAGTAATATTATATGGACTAGTAAGCACCACACATGCTTGTTACCACAGTATGCACTACATATGTTGTATATTTACCGGAAAAAAAATTCTTCTTACTCTTTTTAAAAACAACATACTAAAATAAAATAAAAAAAAACCAAGAGAAAACAAATACCTTAAGTCTGACATGGTCCTCACTAATAAACTCAATAAGGATTAAGATAAGAATATTATAATATTAACACATCTCTTGTTATATCGAGACTAACGATTGTTCAACCAAAATCATGGGATACTAATGTTGCCTTATGCCAGATATATTCTTTTATTTTCATCGGAATGTTTTTAAAAATACTGGAAGCATCTAAGTTTCCATTTTTACCTTGCGAAAAAAAAGTTTGCAAAGTTTTCAAAGGTTGTTTTTTGCGTCGATCTCCAGGAAACAAATATCTGGGATCATAAATATCATTCATGAATAAAACTCCTTAACAAATATATTACAGCATTTTCGGCCACCATGTATGTCTCCAACTAAGTATAGTAAGATATTGTCAACCCCTCCGTTTGTTTTAATTATGAACGACCCACATGCTAGTTATTGTAGGTTTGTCAGACTTACCAGGTCTCGATGGTTCTTTGGGTCCTGGTGGCAGCCGAGGTTCCGCAGGTCTAACCGTGTTAGTGGTGGTGGCGGTAGTAGTGGTAGCCGTAAGCTCGGAGCACGAGTTTTCACACTCCTCTTCGTTGGGAAAGTTATTCTCGTTACCTCCACAACCTCCGTAGTAGAACTGACGACATCTGTGACGTGGATATCATGTCATTTTCATATCATACTCGTCTATATAATGTACAATTATAATTCCGTGAAGGATTGCAAAGTTCCCTTACCTCTTGAACGTGGTGTCAAAGAACCATCGTTCCCTGTAGTTGGAACACTGGCCGGTTTCGGCGGGCAGCGTGCATTTATCGGGCACTGCAGTATACAACACAATTAAAGGAATTTTTGGAAAAAATGTTGTAAGTTCCTGGCATACCTTGTGCATTTGAAATGCCTCATGCCATTCGTTGACACACATAATATTAATTTAATTTAATTTTCAAATATAAAGCGATTAGATATTACCTAGGTACAAGCCAGAACTTAGCTATAAATAAATACATTGTTGCATGGGTAAACGTCAAGTTACAGGTCTAATTTTGTGGGAGGAACTCGACGCGTTTCTCTCGGAATGTGATAATACAACTAACTTCCTACAAAATTAGACCGGAGGTCCCTAGTCCGAAAGTGGCTAGTTTCGGAGATATTCAACATTTTTGGTTTTGGCCAAAAAATACCGAACTAGCCACAAAAACATCAATAAATAAAAAGCCACTGGATTCATTTAATAATTTGTTTAATTTTTTGTCAATTATCAATACACCAATAAACATTTATTAATACTGGCAGAAATATCATTGCTCTTAAAATAGCAAGTCAATTCTTATCAAATTACATAATATATGTATTAAGTCACCAACTTATCAATAGAAAACTGAACTTATTTAAAAGAAATAGATATATTACAATAAGAGTACAGACTAAGTATTAGAAAAACTTCCTTAGTTTATTAGCTACCAAATATCTTGCCCTAAAACGTCAAACCTATGTAAGTATATAAAAATGAATCCCTTTTTCCCTTGGTCACAGCATCACGCGCGATTGGCTGGACCGATTTCACTAATTATTTTTTTGTTGTATTTTTATTATAAACAATCCTGAAACCCTACGAAATCGGGAGAAAACGGGATTGCGCGTACGAGGTTGCGGGAAGAAGCTAGATGATAAGAAAATTGTAAAGGAATAACGCCAATTTCATAAACATCTTTACTTACAAAATTTTGTTCAATGGCCGCACACGCTTCCTTATCTCTGTAACGGTCACTCTTGAACTTATTTTCTTTCTGTAGACGCCTCAATAATTTCTTTGCGAAGGATTTCGACAGTTGGTATTAGCGGTGAATAAATAAAGGACTTCATGTCACCCCATTTTTGCGAGTACCGTAGTAGATTAGTAGATTAAAAGTCAACCGGTGTTAGGTTTAGACACCGTGGAGGTCAGGAAGTTGGACCTCCCTGCTAATCCTTGGAAACAAAATGTTGAATATCTCCGAAACCAGCCATTTACGGTCGAACTAGAGACCTCGGGGCCAATTTTGTAGGACATTAGTTGTACTACCACCGAGAGGAATACGTTGAGTCACCCTGTGTAATTAATTATGTAGGTACATTAACGTTTTTTTTCGCATAATTCAAAGTACTTTTATACTATTATATATAAAGCTGAACGTGAAGGGTTCGTTTGTTTGAATACACTAATCTTCGGAACCAATAATCCGGTTTAAAAAAATATTTTTATCATGGATAACCAATTTATTAAGGGAGGCTATAGGCTACATAAAATATCACGCTCCGAGCAAAATGCGCCGAGCAGAGCGGGTGACACCGCGCGAAGGTAGCTAGTTTGAGATAAAGGTACTAGCGAATTCGTAATAATATTGAACTAACCGTAAGCGGCAGGACAGGTCTGTTCACAAGCCTCCCTGGACGGGAACCTGTTGTTGTTGCCTCCACAACCGCTGTAGTAGAATGGTACGCAGCGGTTTTCTGACACACTGAAGGACCAGAGGGCTTCCTTATTGCTACAAGAGCCTGCTTCCTGTGGCTCTGCGCACTGAGCTGTTTCCAAACCCATTGTTAGTGACATATGGAAAATAGAAGATGTACAAGATGAAATAGAAACTTAGGAGTGTTATGAATAATACCATGATGTTTGTTTATCTCTTCAAAATATTCCATTCTTTAGACAAATTACATTTATGCTCAAAAGACACGTCTATACTGCTCATAGTTAAAAGTCTTGATAATAATGTATTTACTGAATTTACTTACGTGGTGGTGACCCTGGTGGGTTGCAGCGCATCTGACAAGCGGCCTCAGTATTGAACCGGTTGGAGTTGCCCTCACATCCTCCCCATATAAACTGCTCGCAGCTGCGAGTGTCAGGGTTGAAGCCCCAGCGGCTGAAGTTGCCGGCACACGAGCCCTGCTCGATTGGCAGGTCGCATTGCCCTGCAATATTATTGAGAAATTATCATCAAACAGCGTCCATTAGCACAGCCCATAATTTAATCTTAAATACAATATTTAGTCACTCGTGACTCCTAACCTTTAACTGCTTTAGAATCACATTGCTTCTGGCAGAGCTCCTTAGTCTTGAAGTTGTTGGCGTTGCCGAGACATCCTCCGTACAGGAATGGAACACACTGCTCGCGGGTGCTGTTGTAGTACCAGTGCCCGAAGTTATCGTCACAGGCGCCCTTTACGCTCGGAAGGTTGCATACTTCTACAAGAATACATATTATCGTGAAAGTTGTAATAATGCCTCGTTGGCCGAGTGGTCGCAAGTGCGACTGCCTGACAAGGGGTGTCGGGTTCGATTCCCGGGTCGGGCAAATTATTACTGGGTTAAAAAAAAAATCTTTGTAGTAGCACGGAGTCTGGAAGTGTGCCCGGTATATGTCAATAGGCTCACCCCCTTATTACATGGGACTCATAACAGAAATAGTGAAAAGTGGGTGTTACTTCTGTTTGCACCGCTGCCTACACCTTCGGGGATAAAAAGGCGTGATGTTATGTTATGTTGTAATAAATAAAAGGATCCTATAGTTGAAAAAAGGGTTTTTTTAAAAAGCGCTAATTAATATTCCATTACGATTTACAATTACGACCACTGATTTATTTGGAACTTTACCTTTAGGTGAGGGCTGTACACACACGTCCTCACAGTCCTCTTTAGTGGCGAAGACGTTCCCATTGGCCTCACAGCCTCCGTACCAGAAACGGGAACAGCCTCCGTATGTCATATCGAAGTACCACATCGCCGTAAAGTTGAGACATGAGCCTGGGTCCGTGGGTAAGCTGCAGGCAGCTGGTACAAAGGAAAGTTCACATTATGAAAGCGACTACACAACTCATGATTGTGAAATAAGCTATTGTTTTAATTTTACCTTGTTTATTTTCAGGTACATCAGTACACTCAAGGAACTTAGGACCAGCCGCTTCAGTAGTTCCATCGGGGCAGCAACCATGTTTACTGGAGGAGCAGTCGCAGCCTGCAGCGTCAGGACCAGTCGCTGGAGTAACGCCGTCTCCACAGCAGCCGTAAAAGGAGTAGTGGCAGTGGCAGCCCAGCTGTTCAGGTCCCTTGGCGATGGTGACGCCGTCAGGACAGCAACCGAATTGGTACGTGCTGCAGCCACAGCCTTCGTTGTTGGGGCTAGAGGCAGCCGTATGTCTGAATAAGTAAGAATATTAATTTAGATGTATTTCCATATTGAAGTACATTAAAGCAACATTGACTTCCAGATAAGCACTGACGTATAAGTCGTAAAATATTTCAGAAGGCACTATGTATACAGATCACAATCTGCACCTGTCCGGACAGCAGCCATGCTGTGTGTACTGACAGCCGCAGCCCAGGTTGTCTGCTCCCTGAGCGATGGTAACGTTGTCAGGGCAGCATCCGTGGAGCGAGTACTGACACCCACATCCTAAGGACAAGACAGATCATTAGAATAATAATAGACATACAAAACTGGATAATAAATAGGTATATACTATATTCAAATTAAAATTCAATATTTGTAAAACTTTGGGGTCCTAACAGAAACAGCGGATGCATCATTTTTATAGCTTCCACTGTCACACCTTTATTGTCTTTTTATATTTTATTTATGCTGCATCGTGCCTGGTGCTGAATAAATGTTTTTTCTTTCTTTCATAATATTTGTATTTTTGACATGTTTGCATAATTTTTACGACAAATTTTTGGATTTCACCTTCAAGATGTTGTCTTTCGGCAGGCTTGCGGTTGTCTGGGCAGCATCCAAACGCGTGCAATAAGCAACATCCTTCGAAGTTGGGTCCGTGGGCAGGGGTCTTGTTGTCCTCGCAGCAACCGTGCGGTGATGTACTGCAGGGACCCGGGCAACCTTCACTGTCTGCTCCTGTAGCTGAAATTTCAGGGATAAATCAAGTATTTGTAGAAATAGTACTAACACTAAAGCGTATGTGAAAATTAAGAAATTACTAAAACGAACATTTAGTAGAACTTTTTACCTGGAGAGATACCATCAGGACAGCAACCAAACTCAGTAGCGTTGCATGGACATCCATGACCGTCAGGTCCCTTGGCTTCAGTCTGGTTGTCAGCGCAGCATCCGAACTCGGATCCACTACATAGGTCCAGGGTGGTGCTACCGACCGTCGCGGCCGTGGTGTCTGCTCCGGTCGTGCTTCCTACACTCGTTTTAAGAGCTTCAGCAGTGTCAGTTGAGGTTTCTGTAATCGACATTTCTGGAACGCAGTCAAAATGTACACTACTATGAATAGAACTGAGATCTTTATGAGAATTCATTCATTCTTGTATTTATTTCGAATACAATAATCATTTTATAAAAAATATGTCCGACGAGCTGTACCTAATTGCCTTTTTTCTAAACTTACCATTAAACACAGGTATATGTGTGTCAGTAGACTCTGTGGTAGTGGGAGCCTCTGTCTCACGCGGCACTAACATATCATTGTCATTGAACAGTTCTCTAGGTCTAGATGCGTGAACATTCACGACCCATAAGGCCATCTTGCCTTCTCCATTGTACGCTTGGCACGTGTACTGTCCGAGAGTATCCATAGTCAGATTTCTGATGAGAAGCACTTTACCTCTTGCTTCGTAAACATCATCACTGTATAGCACCTTTGATAGTTCATTACCCCTGAACCATAAAATAAATGGCGACGGGTACCCGTTCGCAAGACACCGCACTGAGAGCGGGCTGCCTAGCTCCCCAATCACAATGGTATTTTCATCTCCAGCAATCTTGGCAGGCGTCCTTACAGGATCTAGAAGAACCCAGTTGATAAAACATTGAGTTTTGAGAGATTCGATTGTTAGTTTGGTGGAATCCAACAGGAAGTAATAGGAAAAAAGAGATCCTACTCCCCACTATCAATTGAGATGGCAAAATAAATGATTCAATAACCAGTCTTGTATGGTATATGTATCTATCATGAAAAAACTAACTCACCATTGACGACCAGGTGTATCTCCTGTGTGGCCACACCGAGGCCATTGCCGGCCACACAGATGTAATTTCCGGTGTCGTTCCGATAAAGAGACACGATCTCCAGCGTGCCGTCTGACATCAGCCTGTACTCTGTGCATGGACATCCCTGACCGTCGGGTCCCTTGGCTTCAGTCTGGTTGTCAGAGCAGCATCCGAACTCGGATCCACTGCATAGGTCCAGGGTGGTGCTACCGACCTCTGTGCTATCTGCCGCCCTGGTGTCTGCTCCGGTCGTGCTTCCTTCACTCATTTCAAGAGCTACAGTGGTTTCAGTTGTGGTTTCTGTACCAGCTACAGTGGTTGAAGTTTCTGGAACACGGATCATTAAATTAACTCGTCGAGTACCGGTTTTGCAGACACAATTATAGAACAATAGGTTGCGGTCACCGGTGACCGCTTGGTATTTGACAGTTTAATTAAATTAATATTTTAAAATCTTATGTAATTCGGAATATGATGGTTTACAACTAACCGGTTTCAGGGAATCCTGTCGTCTTGTGTCCGACGGCCTTAGTTTCGTTATCAGCATAGCAACCAAACCTAGTAATAATCATATTATTCCATATTAGATAAAACAGAGAAATATTTTACAAGAATAAGTGATTGAAAGTTGGAAGTTGTTTTACGTACTCAGACGTTGCGCATGCTGGGGGTGGTGGTGGGCATCCCTCCTGGTCATTGCCTTGAGCTGCGGTCTTGTCATCAGAGAGGCAGCAGCCGAACAGCGTGTCTGCGCACGCCTCCACGGGACAGCCTTCGTCAGTGTCGCCAAGCTTCGGGGACACACCGTCAGGACAGCAACCGTAGGTGGATTCGTAGCATGTGCGTGGTTTGCCACAGCCTGAAAATTAGGAAGGATGTCACTCTTTTCTTACTTTGAAGACAAAACTTACGGTCTTGGCATATGATTTTACTAGTGAAGGTGAAATACTAGGTACTAGATACCTTGATCAAATGGTCCTAGACTGGGAGTCCTGTTATCAGGACAGCAGCCGAACGTAGTCTCGTTACATAACGGCTTCTTTTCATCAACGCTGCTTATATGCTTTGGGTTAATTATTGCTGTAATCAGATCAATTCATACAGATTTTAGGACTATACATGTATCCAATATCCAATTAAAGTGGAAAGTCAGTTTTAATGATGATATTGTGTTATAACTAGCGGACCCGACAGCTTTCGTCCTGTCATAAAAAAAATGTTCGAATTTTTCTCGCCATAAAAACCATCCTTGAACTCCAATGAAGATTTAAAGAAAATTGGCCACATTGGTCCAGACGTTGCTGTAGTATGCGCTTACCAACACATGTTGCGATTCATTTTTATATTATAGATAAACTCCGTGAAATTGTTTAGAGGCTAACCATGAATACATGCAGGACATCAAAAGAATTTAATGGACTACACATTAAATTAACGTGAATACATTCAGTCAAAAAAGTATCGGGAATGGATGATTTGTTTATGGTTCCAAATTCAAATTTTGATTTTTTTGTAGTTGTAAGATTGGCACAACTGTTTACCATTTTGGCGCGGAGTTTGAGTTGCATCTGTTATATAAATTAAATACAGTGCTGGTTTTAGTAATATCATATATAATGTGTATTGCGAATTTCATAATGGACAAAAATATCGAATAAAGAGTTTGTCTTAAATTTTGCATCGCCAATGGAATTTCGTGTTCGGAGTCACTGAAAATGTTACAGAAGGCTTACGGTGAATCGACTTCATCAAAAACTCGTTTTAATGAGTGGTTCAAAGCGTTCAAAAGCGGTCGAGATGTGATGGAAGATTTGCCTCGCTCTGCTATCAGAGCGAGGCAAATCTGAGCGGCGTTGACGGCCTATGCCGTCAACGTCTGCAACTAAAGTTAACATCGCAAACGTGAAGGAAATAGTGACTGAAAATCCCCATTCAACTCTGAGAGAAATAGCCGCCGAACTTTCTGTATCTCACAAGTCAATCCGTACCATTTTAACTAGTCATTTGGGTATGAAACATGTTGCTGCTCGGCTAGTCCCAAAAGATCTGAATTTTCTCCAGAAATTCTATCGCTTGAAAGTCGATGAGGACATGCTAGAACGAGTCAGTTCGGACCCAACATTTATGAAACGCATTGTTACTGGTGACGAGACGTGCGTTTACGAGTTTGAGATGCAAACTAGTTGACAAGCTTCGGAGTGGCGCCTTCCAACTGAACCGAAACCGAAAAAACCACGCCAAAGTCGATCAAATGTCAAAGTTATGTAGACTGTTTTCTTTGACTTTCGCGGTGTTGTGCTCTGTGAATTCTTACCGGAAGGTCTAACGGTAAATAAAAAAATATTATTTGAGTGTTATGCGGCGTTTAAGAGAGCAAATTCAACGAAATTGGCGAGCAAATTCAAGATTTGTGGAAAGAAAATTCTTGGATTTTGCACCACGACAATGCACCTTCGCACAAGGCTCATAAATAAATCATTGTGAACGAATTTTTGACCAAACACTCAACAAAACCATCCAGGAACCACCATATTCACCAGATATGGCTCCTGCTGACTTTTTTCTTTTTCCTAAACTCAAATTACCACTTCGTGGCGCCCGTTTTCAATCCATAGAAGACATAAAGGAGACTTCGCGGCGAGAACTGAACTTAATTCCGGAAGCAGCGTTTATAAAATGTTTCGACGAATGGATTATTCGTTGGCGCAAGTGTATCGTTTCTAAAGGAGCTCACTTTGAAGGTGACAAAATAAATTTGGATGAATAACAGACATTTTGTGTATTATTGATCTTTGCCCGGTACTTTCTTGACAGAGTAGTATACTCAGAACAGCTCTACTAGTTTCGATTCACAGAGGGGTTCTTCCTCATGAGCAGCGTGCGCGGTCGCGGCGACGCGCGTGCAGCTCACTGTGAGCTGCGCGACAGCTGGTTTGAAACTAGTAGAGCTTTTCTCAGTATATTCACGTGAATAACTAAATTATATATTATATAAATCAATTAGTATGTCTCACGATGGTTACACATTATTATATAAACTGATATTTATACCTGGATTACAAGGTTCAGTGTTGCATGACTGTTCAGTACTTGGCATATTTTCCCAGGGTAATTCGGCGGCCTCTTCAAACCCTCGCATATATACGACACGTCTGTTTTGTTCCCCTCCACCACAGTCTTTGCTACACTGGAAGTTGTTACAACAGAGAAAGGTTTCCTCAATTATAATCTAGATAAAAATATATTATTCTATGTAAGTTATTAGAGTCCCTGATTACAGCACTGAATAGTAATTGGCTGTTGCGATGGATTCATAAAAAAATGATATTATGAAAATAATGATATCATCAAAACTTGATGAAAAAAATGTAGTGACGAAGCCAAAGTGACTAACTACTTACTGAAGACCAGGGTCCAGTGAACCACTGCAAAGGATATTCCTCTTTGGATTTGGAGCAAGGTTTAGTGTCATTGCATTTCAGGAGGTGAGCACAATTTGATTCCTCCACTTGTTCCACGCTGTCGGTTTTGTAAACGCCACAAAATACCCTCCTAGTCTGAAGTGTATCGCCGCGGTGCATGGAACACTGTTGAGGAAGTCATTTAAAGGACATGTTATGATTATTGTCTGTCTGTTGTTATGGTATTTCAATATTATACTATTTCGTATACATTGCTCCACTCCGTAGTATGCCACTGCGCCTCAGACGGTGAGAGGTGGTCCCGATCACATTCTTCCTGTTCCACTGGACGTGGGTGGTGGCTACAGAAGCTGTCATTCACTCTAATGTGTGTCGCATGGTGTTTCATCAAACATAACACCCTTCGTGTCCGCCTCTTTGAGATGCAGGTGTCACACTTAAACAAAATGTTATATTAAATGTGTTTTATTAACAGAAAACCCAGCACGTTTTTTAGTATTGAACTTGGCTTGTATCGAGGGTCTCCATGTTCCATCAGTGCGAAGAGTGATCTTACCTCAGACCAGTTGGAGGTCACCCAGTCCACACCATCGCAGGGCCGTATCATACACTTCTGTTCAGCTGTTGGTTTCTCGTCTGTGCAGTTTCCATCCCCTAGAACTGTCACACGGCCATTGATCTTCTGGCGACATACCACCTGTCTTGTCTGCTTGCCCTCGTCACACAGTTTGTCACACTGAGGAAGAAGGTACTGTCTGTAGATGAAGTTTTATGCAAAAAAGTCCAGTGCAAATTAGTGCTTTACAATCAATTTAGGAGATTTTTTTTTCAAATCTTACCGATTTCCATTGTCCAACGAACCAGACTGGGCAGGACACATCTTCGTTGCATTTCTGCGTTACTTCAGGTTTCATCCCCAGTAACTCTAAGCACTCCTTATCAGGGACTATGGTGGCAGTCCTGGACACAAAATCTCATTTTAAATTCGAATTTAAATGGAAATATGTAAAGTTGTTTTCATCTATCGTAGTTATATTAGCCTCTGCCGGCGGCTTCGCCCGTGTCTCCAGTATAAAAATTACCCCATACTCCAAATTATATAATCTATCTTTCCTTTCCATCCCTAAATCCTTCATGGGGCTGTAAGTCCGACCAGAACGAGACCGCTTAGAGAATAAAAACCATCCCGTTCCTATTCCTGCATTTCGAACCGGAGCCTCGGCAACCCGCCCTCCGCGGCTCTGTATGGGCACCAGCCCTAATCGGCCCCAATCTGTGATGGTCTAATGGCTTTTTGAGGCGCGCGCGGAACGCGACGCGCCGTACGCTCGGGTCTGGTTCTGGTCGGATGGCGAGTTACCGGTACTCGCCGTCCGCAGGCCCGTGCTTTCAGTAGATGGAGAACATCTCGCGATCCCCGACGCCCAGAGTATCTTCCTCGACGGCTAGAGCGTGAGAGGATTCGTTCCCTCACGCGCCCCGCCTCCTCTTTAGCTAACATGACTGCTTCGCAGAAGGAGGAGATGTCATCTCAGTCCCTCTCGCTCCGTACCATGGTCTGAACCAGAGCCGGACGCGAGAGGTCGCCGTCGGGTGAGAGGTCGCTGTCGAAGTCAATACGGCTAGAGTGTGATGTGATGTCTATAAATCACACTATAATCGCACACTGTCCACTGTACGGCTGCTAGTTGTTACTATTGTATTATTATGTGACAGATAATCTTACCCATTAGTAATAACTTTCTGGCAGATGACCTCCCGAGACTTCACGCCTCCTCTGCCACAACTCTTAGAGCAGTCTCCCCAAGGTCCGGCCGCCCACTGCGCGGGGCAGGGGTCTTGATTACAGGACTGGTTCGTAGGGGGCTTCACACCCTCATCACATAATTTGTTGTCAACCACTTCCAACTCCTCCTTCGATCTGCATGTCACGTTGCGGGTTTGAAAACCTGGATTGTAAAATACACAACGCATAAATACTTCAGTATGAAAAAAAAGCTTTAACTAAAGACGAAGGCGAAGTTTGATATTTCCTTGGCTTTGGATAATTTGTTGTTGCCTAAGCACAGTTTAATAGCCTAACTAAAGTATAAAGTATTGAAGTTTATGGTGAGTAGGTACCTCTACCACAGGTGGCGCTACATGGCGTATACTCTTCATGCACCCAGTTGTATTGCTGGTCGTTGGGCATCTTAAAACGGTTGGGAACGCTGAATTCATACTTGATTCCCACATTTTCGTCTTGACGTAAAAGCTGTGACACAAATAATAATTATACGAGTCAGTGAAACTTTTTGTTAGTTTTTATAAAAAAGAACGTGATATTCGATAGGTACGAAATCAATGTAAGGCCTTCGAAAACGAATACTTAAAATCATTTTATATAGTTTACACTAGTATTATAAAGAGGAAAAAATTGATTTTTGTTTATTTGTTTAAATTAAACAAATTTTTTTTTTTCCATCCTGCCACTTAGCAATCTGTTTCTACAGAAACAATAATCTAATTTGATGTCAGATTTACATCAGTGGAAGTGGATTAGCTGAGATGTGATGAGATTTACCGTTGGAATGTAGGATTCTAATTTCCCTGATGAACACATGCTATAGAAAAAATGGGAACCGTGTAAAAATTTCGAAAATGTAAGCCGATATGTGAAAAACTTCCAAAAAATTCTTATATTGCTTAAGCCTTTGACTGCCAATAGAAAACTGTTTTCAAGGACTAATAATAGTATTTATCTTTCTATACTTAAAATCGCGAAAAGTTCAATTAAAACTTCCACTCTCTGTTCTAAGGAATGAAGGTTTGAAAGAGACAAACAGTAGTCTATGTCTACATTCTCATTCTCTATCCTTTCAACTATCTCCAGTAAAAACACATCACGTCAATTTCGAGCTACGTATTGTCGTGAAAGACGGACAAACTAACAGACAAAATTATAATTCTGAGTATAGATTTATAAATCAACTGACATTTTTTTGATAAGTGAGTAGACGCAATGGATCATTGACGACTTATTTTTTGTTAAAATTATTAACATTAAGGTCGAAACCAATGTAAAGAGAGAAGTAAATACAAAGCTAAGGCTGAGCCCGAGGCAGAGACTATTTGAGGTCCCAACCAGTCGCACTAACATAGGTCGATATGCTCCTGAGGCTAGAGCTATTAAAATAATTAACAGAGTTGGACGAAAGGTTGAAAAATAAAATAAATAAATAAAGTTCATGAATAATACAGGGTATCTTGTGACTCGACGTATTCCTCTCGGGAGGTGATAATTTCCAACAAAATTACCCCTGAAATATTTTTTTTTTTTAGTTTTGGTCAGAAAATCCCGAACTTGTATATCCCGAATATTTTCAGTTAACTTGAAATCATATTTTTCACATATCAAAAAACTAATTACATATGGCTGAATACTAATATGTATTAGTCCTTGAAATCACGTAGTATTTCATTTTAGTCCGTTGAGACCAAATTTACTATAAAAGTTTGCCAGGCTCCTTAAGATAATAGTAAATTAGTAGCGTTGCACCGGTACAAATCAGGCTACATTATCAGTATCAGAATAATAACCCAGAAATCCCAGAATAACGGGAAATATGTGCTAAATCCTCTATCTTTTAAACCATTAAATAATGTCTTTCGATTCGCGCTACCGTACGTAGCTTGGAAAATATTAAAATGTTTGTTCAGGTTAAGTAATTTCAAAAATTAAAAACACAGTTTGAGGTATTATTAAATGTATATGAATGCAATGTATGTATGTACCTAGTTGTACAATTGTAATAAGCCCAAATTGTAAGAAAAATACTTACGGAAAGATACAGGGGTTCTGTGATAGGTCCTAGGCAGCGGAGTTTGTCAGGTGCAGGGAAACCTTGCTGGCTGCGCTCGTACGTCCAGAGAGCACCAGCGATCATGATACTCCTCGAGAAGTCGATGTGGTAGTCACCGTTTAGGTAGTACGTGCCGTTTATAGATCTTAATGCTGTAAATTTAAGTGTTATTATTCTACTACAAGGTCGAGAATTGTCAGTTGACAGTAATACGGTATAAATGTAAAGTTGTCCAGAAAATGTTAAGTCCTCGTAGTTTTAGTTCTAGTAAGAAAATAGTGAATGAAGGACTTACCTAAGTAGTTATTCGAAGGTTCTATTTCCTCAATAATGATGGTGGTGGAGCCTTTAGGAATCAGCAGGATGTCGTTGTAGCCTATAATTAAAAGTTAAAGTTCATTACATATAATTTTAACTCAGTTATTTCATTCTCTGATTACGAAGGGAAGTAGATTGCATATCAGGGGGCTTACTCTTGACTCCAATTCCGATCGATCGGTATTGGTATGGTGAAATTTTGTACTCTTGAGTTATAATTATACACTAGCGCCCATTTTATTCGTATTGCGTGAATAATTAATGAACTAAATGGTATTGAGTTTGGCTATAAATTCCGTAATTCTAAATGCTATTTTAACAGCTACGATACGTTTTGACATTGAATAATTATTGAGATTTTATTGGATTGAAATTGCGTTGATATTGAGATTGGTTTCAAAGGTTTGGTGGAGTAAAGGACCCAGGTCGACGTTTTCCCACTTGAGGTTAAGGTTTCTCTTTGGTTAGTTGACTGTTAAATGAGTCTTACCATTTAAGAGATCTTGACAGTCGAATAATCCCTCCATGGTGTGACAATTGGTGCCGTTCCCTCTGCACTCCCGACACTTGTCCTCACTGGCACTGGAGCCCAGCATCATGTCACAGCCCACGTGCTGGAAGTATGGCATCACGGTAATACAGTCTCCCAACACGTGGAGTAGGCAGTGGGCCAGTTATAGAGTCATGTGAAGTGAGTGTTACCTGACAGACACCGTTGACACATACGTCGAGGGAATCCTCATTACACCTGGTGCCGTCTGCCACGCGCTGCTTGTGTCGGAAGTAAAACTGCTCCGCATGTGGCATGCAGTTCAGCTCGCAGGGGTTTGGGGCTTTCGTGTACGGCACCCATCTATAATTTTATAAACGAGGAGTCTGTAGTACAACGGTGTGAGTGGAAACTATTAGGCTAACTAGATGTTAGAATAACTTACTTGTACTTGTAGCCCCTGAACTCTTTGTCGTTGAACTCTGCGCACTGCTCGGCTCTGAAGTCGCCCGAGCCGGCGGGACAGTCCTGAGTCTGGCACGAGAAGTACTTCGTGTCGCCGCCAGTACACGAGTTCTGCGGTCTGTGCGAGTAGAGAAAACGGTCATCAAAGGTCAAATGATAATATATTAGTAAAATAATTCACTACAATAGGTGGTGCTATAGTGCGTACTCTTTATTTTTTACTCTCTGAATTGGAAATATTAGTAGTAGAATCTTCACAGAATGGGTACCTATGGGCTGACTATTTCATTAAGAAAAGAATGTTCTTAGAAAAGCATGTTATGTGGGCCAAGAATAGAAAAGCATTGTTTTATAGTGAAGGCCCAAGTTTCCCAGGAATCTTGGATAGCTTAATGAAATTAACTTGCAAATATCAAATAAATAGCTTTTACCTTACCTTGGCTCTAGACATACCCTCTTCTGGCTGGCCACGCCTCCTCCGCAGGTCCTAGAGCAAGGAGAGATATCACCCCAGTCTCCCCAGGGCCCCGACCCCTCTCCTCCAGGTATGACGTAGGATGCAGGTAAATCCAAGCCTTGCCGCCTGGGTCTAGTGTGGTGTTGGTGATCCTGGTTAAATATATACATAGTCAGTATTTTATTTAATCATATATATGACTGCCTGAGTGCCTGCCTCGTTGGCCGAGTGGTAGCAAGTGCGACTGCCGGGCAAGGGGTCTCGGGTTCGATTCCCGGGGCGGGCAAAGTACTACTGGGTTTAAAAAAAAATCTCAGTAGTACGGAGTCTGGAATTGTGCCTGGTACACGGAAATAGGCTCACCTCCTATTACATGGGACTCATAACATAAATCGTGAAAAGTGGGTGTTACATTGTACAGTGGCATAATGTACACCTCTGCCTACCCCTTCGGGGATAAAAGGCGTGATGTTAGGTTATGTTATTTATATGAATAGAACGGAACAAAAAACCAATTACATTTCGGCACTTAATGCCACTGTACAATGTAACATCCACTTTTCACTATTTATGTTATGAGTCCCATGTAATAAGGGGGTGAGCCTATTGCCATATACCGGACACATTCCCAGACTCCGTGCTACTACTGAGATTTTTTAAAAACTCAATAATACTTTGCCCGATCCGGGAATCGAACCCGAGACCCCTTGTCCGGCAGTCGGACTTGCGAACACTCGCCCAACGAGGCAGTTACGCGTATACACATACGCATTATCTGTGATATTAGAGATTTACATAACTACATCCACTTCCAGTCGTCGACGGAAATGGGTTGATGATGATGTGACTAAATTCAAGATTCATTGACTGGTTAATATATGAAAATATATATTATATCTGGTGACGCATTCCAAATATGTAATATATGTATATACCCAGTAACATACTCGAGCACGTGCACTGATAACACATATAGACGGCAAAAATGTAGGCTCTTTTTCTCGCTGTATTTTCCTTATTATTTGAGTTTGATGGATGTTTGTGTAGATACTCACATTGTGTCTCGAAGCCGTCCAAGTTATACAATTACTTATTACGATTGCTACTAGTAGCAGAGATCTGAAACAAATACAAGCTTAGTCATTAAAATAATTTCTTTATATACTACTAGCTTTTACCCGCGGCTTCGCTCGCGTTACAAAAGAATAAAAAGTAGCCTATGTGACATATACCAATACACACAGCGCCATCTATACCAATACTTTTGTTTTTCCTCGGGAATATCAATTTTTTTCCGGGTTAAAAAGTACCCTTTTATTTAATACGGACTTCTAACTTTACGTCTGCAAAGATTCAAAGCAATCGGTTAAGTAGTTACGGCGTGAAGGTGGAACAAACAAACAAACAAACAAACTCACTTTCAGATTTATAATATTATATAAGTAAGGAATAAGTAAGGATAAGGATAAGGACTAGTAAGGATAAGGATGTCTAAAATACCGACTAACCCGCCCCGTTTTTTGAAGTTCCTTAATTAATCCATGTATATCTACAACATAATATTAAAACTGGAGAAATGTAAATTCTGTACATTGAAAATATTAAAAAAATAGAGGGGGGGGAGGTGTTACGAGATATGTTGGTAGGTAGGTACAAATGGTTATAGATAATCGCTTCCGTTTACTAAAAATAGGTGCCTATGGTGCATAAACACGATATAAAATACTAGAAGATTAATTTAACATTTTTGAATAATAATTCGCTATAATTAAAACCGGCTGCTGTGCAACGTGTCGCGGGTTCGATTCCCACACGGAACAACACTTTGTGTGATCCACAAATTGTTGTTTCGGGTCTGGGTGTCATGTGTATGTGGACTTGTATGTTTGTAAACGCACCCACGATACAGGAGAAAATCCTAATGTGGGGCAAGGTTTTTTTTTTAAATAAAAAACATAAAAAGAAACAAAAGCAATAATATACATAAGGCACACAAATACTAACGATCTCCAAATCCTCTTCCGGTCGTGGACATTATGACAAAACCTATTTATGTAGGTACTTACATAGAGGAGGCCCAGGCGATAAGCTATAGATAAAATATAGCCGCCATCTTGGAATAACGTTTCATTTGAATACTAACTACAAATTATGATAATGGTCATCCATTGTAAAATAATTACGACTAAACATGTGCCGCCATATTATAGAACGTTTCGCATTGACAATACGGCTAATCATGCAGTCGAGGTATCCCAAAACGGCCTTGCTTTTTTATATGGCTAGCCGTAATGGAAACGACAGATTATACAATTCGCCTGCGACAAATAGAACGTCCAAAACTTTAAGGTAGGCCAACAGAAACGACATATTGGTTTACTCACAAGTACCTATTGTAATATTATAGGCAAATAGTTGTAGATCTGTTATTTTGTATGAATTATATAGGTAGGTACTTATTTACCACAAGTCGTCCGATGAATAAGTAACCTGTGTAACATGATGTAAAATGGTAGCCCATTTCCAGAAACAATTTAATCGCTTTTCATTGCATTTTTGGGGTTACTATGTAACTACATATTTCAGTGAAGTACCTATGTCTATTTATTTATTGACTAGCACTTTAGAATTAGATACATATTTATTCAATAAATAGTAAACACAAATCACTTCAGACAAATGAAAAGAATTTCTGAAAATGTGAACCAACCTGAAGTTATGAGTGATCATCTTTACGTGATCATATCAACAACACCACACTAAACACCAGCAAAAAAAAACAAAATTAAATAAAAAATAAAAGACACTATGTATATAAATGTAACAATGTGGTCTTGCGCAAACGCAGGCCTATAATGAAGTGATTAGTAGCAGTTTAGCAGAGCTGGATTTGCCGCCCCCAAAACTTTAACATTTTGAACGCCGCCCCCTACTTAGTGTTTCTAAAATTAGATACTTACACTATTCACAATAAATTTAGTACCTACTTAATTCTTTTTTTAGAGGGATCTGGTTTTTTGTCAGAAAATTATTTTTCGTTTTCTTACACATTTTTACACACAGTAAAATATGTAGGTACATCAGGGATGCCGCCCCAAGAAGCAGTTATGCTTACTAAAGGAGAAAGCGAAGCCCGTGAACGACCTGTCCACACGCCCCAGTGAACACAACCGCGCGATGATATCCGTCTCCGACCAGCGGGTCTGCGGACAGCGAACAATTACTCGGTGCCTAGAGAGAACTAGACAAAAAAATAGGGTAGAGGAGAGGTCTCGTCCAGGGGCAAGGACGTAGATTTGTACATGGTCAAGAATCACCGAGGTGATAGCTCGTCTCCGCAGAAGCCCAAACAGCAAGACTATAGGGTCGGGCTATCCGCGGAGGGCTTCGGCCCATTTGACAAGAATGTCGGAGGGGAGGTGGAGGAATTGACCCTAATGTCATTGGTTGTAAGAATAACCTCGACCAATGACGGGCGAGAATGCGATCGAGCTCTCTTCTAGGTTTTTTTTTTTTATAATATTAAAGATTATTTCTCCACGGACTCTAGGTCCGTGCCCTTGTCATACAGTTTTTTAATTATAATACATCTAGTCAATATTTATAAAGTAAAGAGGGAACCTAGTTACATACTACAATTAACTACATCTATAATTATTAGCAAAAGTATAGGTTACATAATAATTAGGCACTATTTATTTATTTCTATTTCAAAGGCTTTATGAAACCAGCCCACCAACACGATGGGAGAGCCGACCTGACCCAGCAGAAGGCACCCGTTCACGAGTATGACGTGTGTGTCAGCAATTGGTCCGGTCAACCTTTTTATTGGGAACGGAACAACCCAACACACAGCGCCACCGACTGTAGGACATTTATGTGTGCATGACGCCTCAACCCTTGCCACATGGGCCGATTCCAATAAAGCGTACAATAGTCCAAAATTCAATTGGTCATATTCTATTTCTACATGTTTCTGCACACACATTTCCTCATGTTGCATTCGTTCCATCACAAGCAACACTCCCCGCCCAAGAGAGCACCCACGACTGCCGCGTCCCTGTGTTTGATGGCCATTTTCAGGTTGTAGTCCTTAATACCTTGCTCACCCTCATCAGCCGCCTTCCTGATTAGTTTGCTTATCGCGTCTTCACTGTTGTCTGTGTAATAGATGCAACCATGCGTGTGACGCGATATTGCTACTACCGCGTGTGGTACGCTGTCATGTATTTGATGTTTCTTTGTTGCTGTGTTGACAACAATCACATTCGCACACGAAAGTCCCTGTGCCTCGTGTATCGTGAGCACGCGTGATCCCACGGTCGACCCGTATCCCTGGTTCTTAAGGGATTCCTTCTCTGCCTGAGTGTGTACCAGGTATAAAGTGTCGGGGAGTGACTTTGGAATCATCGCCCCCGAGAACCTTTTTATCTCGAGGGATCTCACGAACGACCTGGACGAATATATGCCACTGTAAACTGTGCTGAGGGCATACGCCACATCCATTGGATTTCTGTGGGTACACATCAATTCCTGGCTTATGGGCGTGATATATGTAGGGCGGCTGTAGAGTAGAGGGAAGAGGTTATCACGATCTATAAACGGAAGCTGATTTATGTCACCAATTAGAAGGACTTCCTTGGCTCGAGTTATTCGGGCGGCCATCACAACGGCTCCAAAGTGGTTCATGAGAGCCTCATCTACCATTAGGCGATGGCAGCTCTCTCGCTCCCCCAAGCCGTTTACTAGGATGGACGCCATTGTTCGAACCCTAGATTTGACGAGTCCTCCGATTCGGCAGGATAGTTTGCCTCTGAGGTCATTTGCTGCTTCGGTTGTCGTGGTGACAATTAGATCTTTGCCCGCTTCAAATTGATCTACTATCCATGTCGTTTTTCCGCAACCAGGGACGCCATTTGTCCAGCGAAACGTCGGAGTATGCCAGTCTCCAAAAACTTCGCCGTCTGATCCAGAATCAGAAATGGATCTTGCCATCTCTAATATTCTATCGTCCAGCATAATTCTGGTGCATTTGGCAACCACTACTAGGGAATCCCCTGGAGGAGTTTTAAACTTTAACACTCCGCATCGATCGGATTCCCTCTCGTCCAGAGACACAAATCCGGCAGTTGCGTTATAAGCAGCCATACTTCGAGTTATAGAGGTTCCTCTCAGTACCCTCGAGGTGTTGTTGTCGTATATGACTGCTTCTGCTGCTTCGAGTCTATCGTTCAGTATTAGCTCGTTTCCTTGCAGGTAAGTCTGCAGAATGGATTCGCATTTCCGCATGTTGACTTGCCTGGTTGCCTCCACCACTGCGGTAAACTCGAGAAAAGCATTTACGACATGGTCTCTGGTAGTGGGCGCTTGTCGAAGCCTCGGCGGACAAACGTGACCCATAGCTGCTCTTGTTGGTGATGACCTGGGGGGAGGAGACTGTATTTGTGCGCCTCCTGATCCTTGAGCAGATTTAACCACATTTTTTCTGAAGGGTGACGAAATCAGTCCGGTTACTGAGCATATGGCCGCTGTTATTGCCCACACTCTACCTCGTGATTCTAATTTTTTATTTTCCCTCTCGGTGTTTTGTTGGTGTTGTTGCAGAGCGCTTTGTTGCCTATATCTTTGTTGTAGACGCTCTGAGCCGCTTGGAGAATCCACCCTTAGCGCGTATCGAACTGGCTTTTTGAGGAAACTCAAGTCCTCACCCCTGTTCTCGTACACGATGACTTCATGATGTTCTGAAGCCCTGACGCATCCTATAAGGTCTGCCGTTCTTCCCTTCTCATAAGCTACCACGGCAGCGTCCACACTAATTATTCTGGGACTCATACCCTCGACCTCTCCCCGCCCACCCATGTCCGACAGCACACCGCAAGCTTGTTCAAAACAAGTCATTGAGTCGACGCTGGAGAACATTGCAATTGTTTTATTGCGTGTTCGCAGTAGTCGACAGCTCCGACCCAGCAGTTGCATTTTTGGCAGCGCATCGTATGTTTTGCGCCGCATACTTGTCTTGGATGTGCTGCCATTCATTAGGGAGGCTAAGCCGGGTGAAATAGTAAGCCATTTGCTGTTCTTGCTTTCGCAGAAGGCTATCCCTAGCCTTTCGCTGCTGGTGTTCATGAACAGAGCTACACTTCGTAGCCGTATTCCTTTGGAGCCGCATTCTCCATGCAAGAGTATTTGCCTCTCATTGATGGTGTGCGGTTCAGTGGTACGGGCGATCTCGGATACTGCCATGGAAGTATTTGGTTCTCTTCTAGGTTAGAATTGACTTATTACAGCATAGCCTACCAGTACCAGACTAATGTACTGCGTGTGTCGCGTTCCGCGCACGCCTAAAAGAGCCTTCAGAACATCACATACCGAGCCCACACAAGGGGCCTTGCCTTGCCTTACTAAGGTAGGGGTAGACACTAGACAAGTCGCCATTTAGGTACCGAAATAGGGAATGAAGCAGTAGTCGAATCGGGGTGGATTTTAGTCAGTAAGCCTGAGCGACCTGGGTGAAGTGGGACGAGTTATATTTTGATGATTTTTACAAAATACTTGTCGACCAGTGTTATCATTGTAGGTTACTTAGCTACTTTTTTGTTTGACTGCCTCGTTGGCCGAGTGGTCGCAAGTGCGACTGCCGGGCAAGGGGTCTCGGGTTCGATTCCCGGCTCGGGCAAATTATTACTGGGTTTTTAATAAAATTCACAGTAGTAGCACGGAGTCTGGAATTGTGCCTGGTATATGGCAATAGGTTCACCCTCTATTACATGGGACTCATAGCATAAATAGTGAAAAGTGGGTGTTACATTGTACAGTGGCATAATGTACACCTCTGCCTACCCCTTCGGGGATAAAAGGCGTGATGTTATGTTTGTGGTTAACTTTGTTAACAGATAACATAAAATCTAGACGTGATAGATATACACTTTCTTCAAAGTTGGTACTCACCATGCATAGTTCTATAAAAAAATGCATTGTTTCAGCTGTAACTTTGAAAATACTTATTTTTTTAGACCAGTGTAATAAGTCGTAAGTACCTACCTAACGGATACAAATATCTACAATCGAAGCGGTTGCGGCAGGTCACCTGAATGCGGCTCTAGCCGGTACTATTACACTACGGTAGACACCTAGTCATTTAAAACATAGAAACATATATTTAATTGAAAATTTATCTTTCTCTGTCATTTGTAAGGACTTTAGATGGATAAAACTAGTATTATATTACACATATTCATAGATATATATTTTTTCTTGGAATGTTTTCGTAGACTTAACTACCTAGCTCTTGGACTATACTTTAAAAATTGAACTCATTATCACTTCTAATCTAAGACCCGACTAAATCTGTGACTTAGCAAGTGATTTCGATTAATTAGCGACTATTTTTTTGTAGAAACAGGTCTTCACTAGGTGCCCTAGTTTTCGAGATATACATGTGGCCGCTAGGGAGATTCTCACCAGCTCGGCCAACTATTAACCCTTATAACTTTTAAACTAATGAACGACTATGTCTGATATTTGGCGACTAATTTCGACTAATTACCAACTATTGTTTTTTGTAAAAACAGGTCTTCACTAGGTGCCCTAGTTTTCGAGATATACATGCGGCCAAGCTAGGGAGACTCCTCAGCATGGCTACCTATAAACCCTTATAACTTTTGAAGTAGTGAACGACTATTTCTGATATTTGGCAACTAATTTCGACTATTTAGTGACTATTTTTTTGTGTTATCAAAATTAAAATCCCTGATGGTGGCCAAGCCAGAGAGAGATACGCGAGGAAGTGGTCACTGGCGCCATGGCCCTTTATTTTTTTTCTTTTTTGTGTCTATGGTAAATGCGGCCCTGATAATTAGGCATCTAGTATCTGAAAAACATTAAGGATATCAATCAATACGTGAGATTAAGTTAGTCTACTGAACCGATTTTGTTTTTGTACTTATACATTGAAAAATAATAATAAAACGCTTCTTGATTTCCTATGTTTTACGATTTAAGTAGGTATTTAAATACTTATTGTATTTAAATATTAATGTCTCATATGCACCACTTTTGGCCATCTCTTGCATAAACAAAGCAAACTCATCATCCAATTCATATTTGGTTTTGGAAGTCTGCGGTTTCTGTGTTTTTAGGTACTATAGAATTACTTGGATTATTACAATTAATATTAATCTGCTTTAATAGGTTAGCTAGGAACCTATAATAGACCACAATGTTTAGGTACCTACTTAATTGGAAACAATTTTGACACATCACACTGTCTGCCTCGTTGGCCGAGTCTCGGGTACGATTCCCGGGTTGGGCAACGTACTACTGGTTTTTTTTTTTCAAAAATTCTCAGTAGAGAGATGTAGTGTGGAGTCTGGAATTTATCCCGATATGGCAGATTCACCCCCTATTACATGGGACTTATAACATAAATAGTAAGAAGTGGATGTTACATTGTACAATCGCAGTAAGTGCCGTAATGTGCACCTCTGCCTAGTGCCTACCCCTTCAGGGATAAGAAGGTGTGATGTTATGTTATGTGTAACCTTGACACAAATATACATATACGATAAGTAAAGTATCTCAGCAGTTATAAGCACTAACTACCGTAGTTGGAAGACTTGTCAAGACTTTCTCTTTCTCTGATATGATAGATCAAAACCCGCCTTTTGGCTACGCCGTAGTCGGGTAAAAAGCCATGCCATGGTTTCATACACAGTAATAATTTGATTATGACAAACACCAAAAAAGCGGAAAAGATGGAGTCAACGTCCTTGACGTTGGCGTTGTGATAAAAGGATGATATAATAAAAAAATGCAAGACTAATATGTACGGTTGACGTAAATATTGTCTGGGCAACAGAGTTTTTTGTTAACGCACCCATCTCCTCGATACAGGAGAGAACCTAGTATAACATTTTTTGAAATAATCGGGAACTTGGGAAGATACCTCCGACTCGATTAACGGCCGTTAGTAACATTACTTTTGTGATTTGTCATTGAATTTATGTTAAAAGCTTAGATCACAAGGACACTCTGAGCGTCGGGGACCGCGGGACGAGCTCCGGCTATCGTAAGCACGGCCCTGCAGACGGCGAGCATGGGTAGCTCGCCGCCTGACCAGAACCAAACGTGCGACGCGTCGCGTTCCGCGCGCGCCTCAAAGAGCCATCAGACCACCACAGATGGGGCCCAAGACTGCACGTTTGGTGCGGTGGCTGAGCAACCGGCTGCCGTGCAACGTGTCGCAGGTTCGATTTCCGAACAACACTTTGTGTGATCCACAAATTGTTGTTTCGGGTCTGGATGTCATTGTATATTTGTAAACGCACCCACGACACAGGAGAAAATCCTAATGTGGGGCAACGTTTTAAAAAAAAACCAATAGGGCTGATGCCGATACGAAGCTGCGGAGAACTTAACGGGTTACCGGGGCTTCGGCTCCGTTTCTACGAACGGGGTGGTTTTTAGTCAGTAAGAGTCTGACACTGAGGCGGGAGCAGTCATTCAATAATTCTTTCCGTTTAAAAAAAAATCCGTTTATTAATGGAAAAAAAAATGTTCGAAGGAAGATTTCTTAACGGTAAAGGCAAGAACCCTTGCTCTGTAATTCCACATAAGACCCAATAACGAGATAAGTCGATTTTATATATTTTGAGTCCTGTGTGTCACTCACATTTCCATAAAAATAGAAGGTATTTAATTCACTTAGCAGTACGACTGTCTCAGAGGTTCGGTACAAAACAAATAGCTAACAAAAGACTGCGAGACAATAGGCTGGCCCTCTTCGGTGAAAACTAAAAATTGTACCGCCACACTTGTGTACATATAGCACCATTTTGATCGAATATGCATTACAATAGGACACAAATGTGGATGACACAGTCCATACTTGAAAAAGGTTGAGAACGGTTCTCTTAAAAGGAAATAGTACAAGACAGTGTATAAAATAATTCTTTATAAATTACGAAAACTGTGGTCGTCAAAGTAATGTTTCTAATATTAGGATCGAAATTCCCAACCAATACATAAATAAACCAAAGACCAGAAATATTTAATCAAGTGCGCTAAATTGACACGTCAGCAAAGTAACAATACATTACCTACCTGTGTAAATTTCATCAGAAAACGCAATGTATAGTCAAACGTTCGAAGATGACGCTCCACTACCCTTGATTGCAAATTACACAGTCGTTAAAGAAGATGATGAAGAAAAGAGAGAGACAGAAGATCGTGTTATTCTAGAAATAGGACGACAAGATGATAAGCCAAAAGAAGAACATACATTTTCCCATAAAAAGTATGACAAAACTATATCACATCACAGGTCTTACGTACTAGAGGATTATGAGCCGAGAAGAATATCTTACTTCAGACCTCATGAATTGGATCACAGTGCTTCTGAAGGTAAGGTTTCACACTTCAATGCTAAAGCTTAGATACAAAAAGTGACTGAAAAATATGGTTCGATAGAATACCAGAATAAAAGGTTAATTGCGTAGTGATCTTAAATATGGCAGTCTTTATTTTGGCAGAGATAGCTAAATTTAGCCTTAAAATAAAGGATATGAAGCAAAACCGGAGTTTCAAGCACCTCAGACCACGATCACGTCGGTGTCACCACTGTGGCAGTCTATGGTGGCGAGTATTGCAATAAAACAATATCTATCGGCGGACACGTCCGTCTTGATGCTCTCTTTACAATACTGATGTGCTGTACTGTAGGCACAGTAGTTTGTTGTTTGATTTAAATTGGCTAGTAATTCATATAAAATATTCGAGGAAAAGAGCTGATTTCTGCTGTGTTACAATTTACAATATGCTAACGCTAAACAGGTACCAAAGTAACGCGGCAGTGTGTTGAAGAAATAGATATATTCAGAGTTGCCATAGTAGTGATCATAGCATAATCTGTCATAATGTTGTCATAGTTAATCGAATGTATTGTTAAGTATTGGCATGTCCTAACTTCACGTATCGTTACTTAATTTATTTCTATTAACTTTTACTACACAAAAGGGCTTTTTTGGCTACCGCATTGGATTGGCTTATGTATAACATTAAATTGCATATTTAGTTATTTAATTTTTGTTTTATTTACACTTAACACAACGTATATGCAGTCTAAGGCTAAAGGTTACTTAATTGTAACTTGTTTTACTTAATTGTACTTAAATACCGTGCCATCTCTGTCATTGTCGAAGAATTTGTAGTGACAGAACTATACTTAAGCGCGAATTAAAATTGAGTAGCCTTTGAGTATTCGGGCGTAATCAGACTTGTATCATCGTTATCATGATCAACAACCCGTTATAGGTCTACTGGACTATGTACCTCTTTCGTCTACATGAGCGAATTTGCCATACAACTTTAAGTTAAGCTCTCAACGATCTGAATAACAAACATATACAAATGACGCACCATGGTCTTATTGTGTGTATCTGTATTCTTGTTGTGTGTCGTGGCGTAATAAATGGTTTTTCTTTCTTCTTCTTTCTTTCCATATAATTTATTTCCTGTAATGTTTTAAAATAATTATTCATTTTAATAACAATAACGAAAACCACCGCATCATCGCTTACGGCGAGATAGTGGTCAAACGTCGGCCCACCAAATATGTATATAAAAAAGAAAAAACAAATAAAGTACTGTCAGAGTAGTCTATCAGACTAGTCCCTTAAGTGTAGACTAAAATGTGGCAAGAAACCGTCTAACATAACAATTTCATAAAATGTATACTTAAGGTTCCAGGTATTATGAGCAAGAATATAGAGAAGCGAATGTAGTTGAGACAGCGAACTCTGAGTCCTCACTAGATTACTCTCACGAATCCCAGGATACCTCCAAATATGGCACTGATGACCCCACACAAGACACAGTCCTGAATTGGAAGGAACGAGCCATGCAGTTGGAGAAAGGTAAATCGTAACTATCCCTTCTAAACATCTTCATTGTCGACAATGAGACGTTCATTACTAAACGTAGGGCACGTAGATATCCCCCAAGGAGTTCCAGATCGATCTTCGTATTATATAAATATTCTATAGCATCTATCTGTTTATTTGTCTTACTTTCACGACTCCACTATGTATAGGTAAACGTGTAATCTTATAGTGTCTGAAGGTAGTTAAAAGACTGGAAAGTATTATAGGCAACATTTTTACCTCTGACCATGTAGATTAAGGAGTGTGTGACTGCTCAATAACAGCTCAGTTTCCCAGATCGAGCTCAATACCTATTTGATTTTTTTTTTATATTCGTCTCATTAAATCGATAGAGTCAGTATAATTATGCTAATCCGCACTAACAAGCCTTCCGCCCCTATTTATTGTGGAACTGATCCCATAGATGGCGTGACGCGTACCATGACGCATGACGTGTACCCCCCCACCCCACTTCCCTAATCTCCCCAATCCCTGAATCCCCGACAATACTCAAATTCCTAATCGCCAAAAGACCGGTAACGCAGTTAAAACGTCTCTATTTAATTCTATTTCTTTTTCTAAATAATTTCATAAGTTACCAATTTTTCACGTTCTTATAATCAATTTGACTAGTCGACGTGTAAACTAAGTAAATGCATTAAAATTACAGAATACAAGAAGACAGCGTGCGACAGAGAGAGGACGCGGATGAGAGACATGAACCGCGCTTTCGATTTGCTGCGTTCCAAGTTACCAGTCACTAAACCATCCAAGAAAAAATACTCCAAAATTGAATGTCTGAGGTATGTTTTAGTCCACTACAGTAAAACATAATTAGTTAATTAGGTACCATAATAATCTGGCTGTACTGGACTGGAGTGTTACCACGGCTGTCCACGGCATCCCAGAAAACCAAGGTAAAACAACCCTTGGCTATGTTTAGCCTTGTGAGTAATGTTACTAGTGACCTAGACCTGCAAAAGACTGGTAATCTACATGACTCCTAACTCCACCTAACTCCTGGTGTTGTGGGTGTCCATGAGTTTAAGTAATAATTTAAATCAAATGGTCCGGTTACTCTTGTGCTTCTCTGGATATTCCTTAAACAAAAAAGACTACTGCAGTATGACTGACCGCTAGCTGCTTTAGCAAGTTCGATACTTCCACAGAAGATGATTAACAAATTCTTGTTATGAATTTCAGTACCTGTATTTGGAATTTAAGCTATTTCTGATAACGTACCGGTAAAAACTACCGCCAAATGGGATGTCATTTAATCAGACGATCATTTCCGGGAAGTCGATCGCTCCCTGAAAATGATTTTGTAATACTTGGTTTAAGTGTGGGAGAGTCATGCTTCGGCACGAATGGGCCGGTTCGACCGGAGTGATACCCCGGCCTCACAGAAAACCGACGTGAAACAACGATTGCGTTGTGTTTCGTTGTATGAGTGAGGTTACCGGAGGACGGATCAATTACCCCCCCCCCTTCTCCAATCTCCTCAATCCCTGAATCCCCATCAATCCTCAAATTCCTAATCTCCAAAAGCCAGTAATGCACTTGTAACGTCTCTAGTGCTTCAAGTGTCCATCGGCGTGGCAAATGTACTGTCTAGACACTGGCTGTTTCGATTAGCAATAGCTTAGAATCGAGTATTGCGTAACGTTTTATAACAGGCGCTACACGAAATAATATAGAATATTTGGGGGGGTCTTTTTTGCTTGTGGCCTTTATGAAGGGAAAATGTCACAATATATTTTTTGCATATAATATTAGTACATATATACATACATAACCTCTCGCCTGTCTATTATGGGGGTAGGCAGAGATTATTAATTTAAACTTTCTAACTCCCTCTTCCTAAACTATCGGAGTATGATTACTTTATGGTTTTGGCAATAGGCTCACCCCCTATTACATGGAACTCATTACATAAATAGTGAAAAGTGGGTGTTACATTGTACAGTGGCATTAAGTGCCGTAATGTGCGCCTCCGCCTACCCCTTCGGGCATAAAAAGGCGTGAATTATGTTACGATTACTTTAGTTTTTCCTCAGGTTTCTGCTAACCTTTGAAGTAGAAAAAAAATGTATAAGTTTTATAAATTTTTGCTTACGCATGTTGGTCCCGTATAATCGATACGTCAGATACGGCGCTAGCTACGCCTCTGGTCAGCACAAAACGCCAATCTATCAATTTCTTTTTGTCGGTTACCGAAATTATAGTTATTCTATGTGTTGTATTTCAATAAGGAATATTATAATTATGTATAGTACTTACTTAAACCGTAAAATAGGCATCGAAAGGTGAATAGAGACAAAAGAGGGGTGAATAAATATTAGGAAATTATTCATACTGTCGATCCGCCTCTCTTCTATCCCTATTCACCTCATTTTTCACATACTACATGGACATATCCACGTCATATTCACACAAACTCACATCTAGACGAACGAATCGAGACGACGTTTTCCTTCACCTTACATAGGTCATTGTCGTATTTAACAAACAAATTATGTTATGAATAAACTTTTAACTTTAATTACATTTTAAGGGTTAATGTTACATTTATGTTAATTCCAGGATAGCCATCTGTTACATAAGACACTTGGAGTACATGTTGGCTGGAGGATCTCCTGATGAGAATCCGGCGTTCTTCGAGCTTCAAGCCTCCGATCTGAGACGAAGACAACAAAGATACTAGTTGCTAAACAAAACAGACTGCTTACTCTTAAATCCAATTACGATCGATCGACATTGGCATTGTAATTTCGTACTCTTGAATTTCAACACTAGCGCCCATTGCATCCGTAATTCGTGGATACTGAATGAACTAAATGGTATTGAGATTGATTTAAATTCCGTACACTGAATGCGATTTCAACAGCTACGATTGGCGATGCAAAGATTATCGCGCGCCTCTAGCGGCGAAATTTAGAAGTTATCTAAGAACGACACTTCGCTTTGGAGTTGAAGATAATAAGTTTAAACACAATCAAATGGATGACGATTACATACAGAAACCTGTTTTTAATAAAAGCAGAAACACAAAATATTGTTGCGTTCCTCAAACTTACGGATATTCAGGAATAAGTTTTCATTTATTTCCAAAAGACAAAATTATGAATCAAATAAATCTTCCTGTATGGAGGAAAGAGGAAAGATCAGCTGTAGCTGTAAAGCAATTAACCCTCTCAGATTTACTCAGCAGTGATATGTATTTATTTACTTTTTCGGATATTCATTCAATTGAACTTTTAGAAACATTGGTGACTTGTGTTAGTGAATTGGCCTTAAATGCAATAACAAACAAGAAAATGTTATCTGTGAGAGACTTATTCTGACAATAGTAAAAATTAAACAAAATATGTCATGGCTCTAGCCATTGGCGTTTTGTTTGGTATAAATAGGCAGACATGTTCTAATTATTTTAAAATGTGCCCCATGCTGCGTAGAGCACTCAAAGTTGTTATTTCTTGACCTGATACCGAAATGATACGTAGTAACTTACCTAAATCATTCCAAAAATATAAAAATACAAGAATAAGTAAGATTAGACTGTGCTGAGAAAGTGATTGAAAAATGTAAATGTTTAAAATGTAGAATATTGACGTACTCTCGATATAAAAAAAAACAATACAGCGAAGTTTAATATTGAAATAACTCCTTCTGGCCTAATAATTGAAATTAGTGCATCTTAAGTTGGTCGAGCATCAGATAAACATACTTATTATAATTTAAATAAATACGAGTTTAATGATGGGGTGATGGTGGATAAAGAATATAGAATTTGAGTGTTATGAAGTGATTTAAGGATATTAATTGAATACTCAGTACATCATTTGATGAATTTTACAATTTACTTAAATATATATACAAGAAACCACATAAATCTGATTTATATTAAATTATTTTTCTGTGACGCAAATTATATACGAAAACTGGCAGTGTCATTCTTAGACAGCTTCACAATCATGACACTAGAGGCGCTAGTTAGAATTTTTGAATCGCCAATATAGGGGTTGTAAAGTTTTGGCATTGAATAATTATTGAGATTTTATTGGATTGAAATTGCATTGATATTGAGATTGGTTTCAAGAGTAAGCACCCTGTTCGTATTTTTATAAGAGACGAAAGCTCCTAATTTAATTTTTTTTAACTACAACATTGTACATAGGCTGTATAAATCTAAAAGAATATGATTAAATAAATTGTGCAATAAATCTTTCAGCAACGTATTTAATATTACATTTTTAACAAACAATACAATATAAATATTTTCTTTTTAATAACGTTTCTTGTTGCTTACCATTATTTCAAATTGTCTCCTTCTTATGGTTTGAAACCATTATTTGGCTTGTGCTAACAGTGACACAAACATGCATTTTAATCGTTAGTTTTTATTTAATTTATACAATGTTTTTATTATCGAATTTTTTTATTAACCTGTCTTGACGATTTCACAAAACCTTGAAGATATAACATATTATGTCAACCTTTGCTTGCGAAATTTGTACAAAAACAAACGAACTTGCCAGTCCATGCTAGTCTCGATACAAATTAACTTATCAATTTTTTACAATACAATACTAGTGACTTGTCTGCGAGGGTTATACTGCTCATCATTTTTTCTTTAATTTCCTTTCCCTTGCTTCTTCTTCTTGTTTCTTCTCCAAAGCTTTCAGGTAATCAAAATAAGCGCATTTGATTAGGAGCGGTACTTTAACAACACCTGCGAATTGGATAAAGACAATTGTCTGTGTCTTAGGAATTGTGATCAATAAATGCGTCATTAGATAGGTACGAAAACACAAACAAAACTACATATTATAAGTATTCCTCAATAATATTCAATAGAGGACTGCATAATGTATATTAACTAAAAATCGCGAGTTACTCACGTGAATATATTGAGAAAATCTCTACTGGTTTCGAACCACAGAGGGGTTCTTACGCAAGAGCAGCGTGCGCGGTCGCGGGGCCCGGGGTGGCGCGACATCGCCGCTTTTCTCAATATATTCACGTGAGTAACCCAAGATTTTTAGTTATTTTAGTATGTCTCACGATAGTTATTATAAAAACCGGGGACTGTATTAAGAATATTAAGAAGCGATACTACTCATTTCTTTATCAAAGAAACTTATTAATTAAAACTTATTTAAGTGGTTGCTACAAATGTAATAAAACTTGATATTTTACCAGCAAAACATGTGGTTACAGCGCTTTTGTACATTGCATACACGGGTCCTAATATACTCTCAACTGTGTCCTTTTTCTGAAAACAAAACATTTTATCAGCGTCCAGTGAAACTGGGACATTTTGCTCAATGTTCACTGTTTATATTTATTTGCCTTTCTGTACTGTTACTCTCCTATCAGTGTGTCATGTGTGATAATGAAAATGGTACAACAATTCACGTTTTACTCGAATTACGAATCGAATCCGACCATTAAAAATTAGCACGCCACGATAGATACAGAATTAGTTTTATTATTTTCATACAAAAATAGCATCCTCATGATAATAGCACCATGATGTTACATTAAAATAATTTATTTAATACCGAGTAGCCTTGCTCAGCGTAACCGAGCGTTACAGTTTTTCATCCTTGTAACATTGTAATGATATGACCCCATTTATACCAGGCGGTTATCAACGCGTAGGACGTTACTTCCGCCCAGTATTACGTTACCGGTTTTATAGGCGATATTGATCACTACATACCCCCTGCCTCCCTCCGTGTACAATTTACAAGGATCTGAGAAGGGCAACTTCATAATATGCTGTAATATGTCAAATGATTATGCCATTGAATAGAGTTTTCCATAAATATAACGTTTTCCTTTAGGATCTAGAATCTATGGCGTGTTTATTCGTGTGATTTATTTCGTCTAAAACTACGTATTCTGTCAAATGTAAACAGAAACATTAAAGATAAACTGCTAGTAATTTCCTCTCTAATAAGTAATTGCGAGTAGAAGCAACATATTTTTATCTATGTATTTTTTTTATCCTACTTAATATTAGCCGGATTTGTTTATGTTAATCACAGCCTAGTTACACAGTAGACAAGTTCTTTGCACGCAACGATTCAGCGCGAGAATGCGAATACATACACACTCATTGACCGGTATTGCGGGGGCGAATGAATGAACCAACACTATGCCAAGATCGGCGTCCCTCGTATGTAACAGACGTGCAAGCACTAGGCAAACATAACATTTGAAAAGGTCAGATGGAATTTTCTATTGTAAATGGCGGAAACTGAATTAACAGTAGAGTGAAAACTGAACCATGGTCTGTTGACCGTAGCATAAACTACTAGGATAGCAGCAGTTGCCGTTGGTCGTGTAGCGAATCAATCTATTACTAACTAAATCCACTGTGCCGTACAAAGTCAAGCACGTTTAAACATTTCAAGTGAAAGGAGCAATGGTTGAGAATTGTCTGGTATTACTATATTAGATCGGCGAGTATCTATTGGTAGCGATGTAGAATGGCGCCAAAATATTTGCCAGAATTACAATGTTGCGCGTAACTAAATTGTAAATACATACTTGTAGCCCGACTCAGACTCACTCAACCAACAAGCCAATGCGCGAATGGCGTTCATAGAGGACAGACGTTTTGCGAAAGTAAGATGTGAATGACTCGCGCCGATTACCAGATAGCCTCCTTATTACTAGGCGTGCATAACTTACAAAGAGTGTACAGTTGTACAAACTCCATTGTAACTAATTATTTATTTATTAAAAACGTATCATGAATTCTCTGTAAATGTAGGTACTTAAACAGGTACATAATCAAATAATATTGTTGTATTTAATTTAATATCTGTGTAGTAAGCTTTGGCAAGAATGTAAAATGTAACAGTAGATTAACTACATGCGACAGACTGGATTACACATTAATTAAAAAATCATAAATATGAGAAAGAACTAAATTAAAAAGTACAACGGGACTTTACGGGACGGCCTTATTGCTCTACAAGAAGTGGAATATTTATATCTGAAACCTTTGGACAGATAGAGGAAAACATGGAAACAGGGCCGAACAGTAGCCCGCTGTGTAGGTACTTATTTAGTAATTTTTAGACTTTAGAACGTGTAGGTAAAGCTAATGTGTGAAAATGAAGTAGGTATAATACTACACTAGGTAAACATAATATTCAGAGAAATAAACTAAACCTAAAAAAAACGCAGTTCTTTACAAAACGTTAACTAATGTTTGTAAATCGATTATTTGTCTGTTATACTTTTTTTAAATACTAGACATAATATAATGATATTTAATTTTGATACAATTCTTAATTATTGTGTATGGATTTATTATATAAATTGTAGTGACAGATAGATAGAGTAAATATAATTATATCACTACTAGGGGTAGAAAAAACATGGTCCTATCTCTAGTAGCTCTCAATCTAACGTTAGTCTGTAAAGTTGATCGAACGACTGGTGACGTAACTATTTGTACTAGGGTCACATAGCGACGAGTAGTTTGAAATCTCGCAATAGCAGCACGAATCGAATAGCTCACTTGAATTTGAACTTTATCTTACAGGTATAGAGATAAACTCAGCTTGATGCCGTACTTACAATCACGTTACCACACTTGTCAAAAATTGGTGGGCGCCTTGTGTTGATACTCCGATAGTATTCCTGCCATCGGCGAATGCATTCTGTAACCTGTCGTTGGTCACCCCAAACTCCTTGCGTGTACGTGAAGTAAAGAGAACCTACTATGATGCCAGCCTGTCGAGGAGCATAGACAAAACGTTGAAACGATTTAATAATACTAAAGTCGATGAAATGCAGAGGAGGTTGTGAAGGTATCGTAATTCGTAACACACAATATAAGCATCATGCACGTATGATGATAATTATGACTGTAAAGTATGGGCACATGGTACGAGGACGTAAATCTACTTTTAAGTAAGCTTACTTAAAGTACATCAAAAATACCAACATTCTTATGTAAATTTTTTTTTCTTCTGGAAATCCTCCCATGAATAGGTACTTCCACTTGATCCCAAACCCAAACCATTCCGGAAATCGACAAATTAGCAGATCGACACCAAACAATAACAATACTAAATAATCACCTAAAAGAGTTGCGCTAATCTGACTCTGAGAAATTTCAACCTTACGGATAAGGATTACAGCATATCAAATCTTAATTAGTACTAGGATGGCAGTGAGCTAAAAGAGGTTAAGTTTCACTAACTTTGATGGCGTACATTAGCTTTCCGTGGACGTAGTGAGGCACTCTGGGTACAGCAACAGTTTGGCCGCTTTTCTTCAACTTGTACTCTTCTCTGGTGCAGACTTTTATACAAGTTGGATGCAGATGACTATCTGAAAAACGATTATTGTTAAGATTACTTAAAAACAAAAATAACAAAAAGTAGTTTTAGACAAAGAGATATACTGATACGTATTCATCTACTTGTTAATCTAGCTACAGTTGCTTGTTACAACCTTCTTACATAAACAAAAACGATGATGCATAAAAATAAAATATTTACCTATCTATGAAATAATTAGTAGCGGACCTAATTAAAATAAGATAAATATTATTTTTTATGCCCTCGACTTCCCGAAAAAGTCAAATAAACTAAATGCTTCTCTTACGTATCTCTCCTGGTACCGATTCGGTAGAAGGTAATAGTGATTGATTTGATTTGATTTGATTTTCTAGTTTGACTTTAAAGAGATATGACTGAATGGAATAAAATTGTAAATGAGAATGTCACAGACGATTGATAAACAAGGATAATACAATCAATGTAACACAAACATAATACCTATCAGCAACGGCATATGGCTATGAATCATTAAATAAACTGATGTTTTTATTCATGTACATGTCATTGCAAAACATGCACCTATTGGTTTTAACAAAAAGTTACAGTTAATAAGTGAGAATTACAATACTATTTGTAATCAAGTGCCTTGTAAAAGTTTGAGAGCATTTAGGAGACGTTACATAATTTGTAATAAGCACCAGGGTATCATACCAACTAGGAAGCTTGTACGTAAAATGTAGGGCAGTCACCTTTTACACGGCTCTCTTTCATGGATGTAAAAGAGATAGATATATTTTAATTACCTGATGTTATGTACATCTCTTTCTCACTATTATGGCGCGCGAAGTTTATTCTTTTGATAAATTCACATTTCACCTAATCCGAGTTTATAACGTCCTAGTAAATTGGATATTTTTTGTTTTTTTTTTATTGCGAAAAAAGTTGTTTGCTTTTTTAACCGTTATCAGAACAAAAGAGGAGATAATTCACCGATCTTTTTTATTATTCATTGTTGATTGTTGTTTTGCAAAGTAGTCTTTCATAAGTAACGTATAAAGTTATCAGGTTATAGTCTGATAATTGGACTCTGGGAAAATCGAAAGCAACCCTTAAATTATAGGAACGTAATACTCGTATCAAAAGTACCAAATTATGGTTTAATTGAAATAAATACTTTGACTTTGACTTTGACTAAGCTTTTCCCCCTCTTTTTTTTGGTTGTCTGGTAAACATCATCGCATGTGTGATGGAACGTATTTTCCAATGTTTAGAAGTTGAATATAATCTTTAAACATTATTCATACCTATATTTTATGTAGTATGTTCTACGATAATATCAGCACCGTGCTCTATTATGGAAGTCGGTGCTACAAGAAGAATCACACTAATATTATAAATGTGTGTTTCTTTGTTTCGATGTTTATCCGTCAATCACGCTGAAACTACAGAACGGATTTGAAAAAAAAAATGGTATATAAGCAGGGTATTGGCTGATTTAGGTGATAGGATTATCCCGATCAAATGTTCCCATGGGATAAAACAGGAATCATATTCTACGCGGACGAACTCGCGGTCAACATCTTGTACAGCAATATAACTTTGTAATAGGCTCATTGCAGACTTTTGAACATAAAAAAAAATTATACATTTTGTTTAGACACTGAAACCATACGAATACGAATAATAGTTATTTTATGCATTTCTTCTAGTTTTGGATCGTTATAAAAAATGAAAATCATGTGTTGTTTTACAAAATATTCTTTAAAAAAATTCATAAAGATAACATTTGGCACGTATGATGTACCCACAGATATATAATAGCTATGCATTCATGACTCATTGTGAAAATAATATTATTTTAAACATAAAAAACATTATTTAAAACAATAGTTTGAGTCGATTAAATAGAAGAAGACACTTAAAAAACCAACTGGATGCGGATGGACAGGCATAATAATTTCATTGGTTGAAGACGTGACACTTTGAAATAACAATGTTTATTCAATTATCGATTTGAATGAAATTTAAGTTAGAAACACATTACGATTCTATTGTGTCGGGCATGCAGTAAGCATGGAAGTCAGTGACCAGCTCGGTCAGTGTTATCTGTGAACTAAAATAGAATTCACGTAAGATTTTATATGTTCATTCGCATGGTGGTGAGCTGACTCACTGCCACACAATCTGCTGATTTAGGCTGATGTCCTAGTACTAAAGTCTGGAAAATTTAGGCTATGTTCAATATTCGAGTAGAAAATAGATTGTGAAATATGTGAACACTAGCTTTTACCCGCGGCTTCGCTCACGTCACACAAGGATAAAAAGTAGCCTATGTGACATATACCAATACAAACAGCGCCATCTATACCAATACTTTTGTTTTCCCTCGGGAATATCAAAATTTTCCGGGATAAAAAGTACCCTATTATTTATTTAATCCAGACTTCTAACTTTACGTCTGCAAAAATTCAAAGCAATCGGTTTAGTAGTTACGGCGTGAAAGCAGAACAAACAAACAAACTCACTTTCCGATTTATAATATTAGTAAGGATTTCCTTTACGAAAATATTTTTTGTATAGACTACAAAGCTTGTAAACTATGTACTAAACATTAACTTATAAGTGATTGAGCACAGGTGTAAAATTACAAATATTACCTATTTGATTTTTACTTACACAAAACAAATATTAAGGAATTATAAATAGGTACCTATTTTGTTTTTTTTTATGTCGTGGTCTAGATAATGGAATGATTAAAATTCTGTCTGAGACAAACATTTACTCAACATTAGAAAAAACATCTAAATATACATTTAAATAAGCTGATTGTTATAAATATGCAAAGACCAACATAAAATAACATAACATCACGATCACGCCTTTTATCCCCGGATTATCCCCGGAGAGGTAGGCAGAGGTGCATATTACGTTGTGTTACATTGTAACTTTCCACAATTTGTGTTATAAGTCCCATGTACCGGGCACAATTCCAAACTCCGTGCTACTGAAATTTTTTTATAAATCCTGTAGTACTTTGCCCGACCCGCGAATCGAACCCGAGACCCCTTGCCCGGCTGTCGCACTTGCGACCACTCGGCCAACGAGGCAGTCAATTGCCAAAGACCAACTAAAAGTTTTTTATCATTTACATACTTCAATAACGAATTTAACAATATAGATAAGTATAAAATAGCTAGATTCTAAATAGTACCTACCTGAAATTTGGTAGGAACCTACCTATCTCTTGTTAGCAAAACAATTTTATAGCAGCTTCATTTATTAGTATTAAGATGTTCGGTATCTAAAACATCTTAGGACTTAGCCAGAAGGAAGTTTAGATGTTCAGACAATATGCAGACCTAGTACTGAAATTTATTTAGGCCAGGTAATAAATTATCGAGATGCCTTTCAAATATGTTTATGATAATGCATGAGCTTATGAACTGGATTTTTTCTAATAATGAGTTTTTAGAAGCAAGTGTTGATGTTTAAAGCAGAAAAATTCGTTTGGAAAGTTAAGGTTCCTCTTGCTTCTACTTTCCTAGTACTTTTGTCGATATTTGGTAAAAAAATAGTATCAACGTGTGTTGGTCACAGATAACATAATTAATAACTTTATTTACTACTCTACTAAATCACTCATTATTATTGGCGTTATTGTTATTTTTGAGTTTTTGGTATTCGCTAAAGTAATGTAGATTCAAATACCTTCACGTATACTGTATTTCTGGGTAGGAGTACATTTTTCATAGATTTGCATGTCTGGTTTCGGATGCTTCACATGCCTGGCCAAATTAATTGTACGGCAGACATCGCACTTGAGCCGGTCTCGTTCCGGACACCCCGACATTTTATATAGAACTTAATAAAACTAAGGATTTCAAACAAATTAACAAAAATTTCTGATGGTCATGTTTATTTTAGATATCAAAAAGGTGACAATGTTATTTTTTGTCAGTAGCTCATGTATTTGCTCTTTTAATTTTTCTTTGTGCCAGTTTGGTTATAGAAGAAAAAGGTTCGTCTTGGCTCATAATGCCTCTTTACTTTGCCAAAAATTTCTGATATCAGGAGGTTTATTAGGAAATTCGGTCTAGGTGGGCAAGTCTAAAGGAAATAAAGAAAATACAGTTTCTAAGTAGACTTTCGGGCTCTCGATCAGCCATACCGACTGACTGATTCAATTAGAACCAAGAGGGACAAAAGCACATATTGTATTCTGCGACAAAATGCTGTCACGAATGGTTACCAATCCACTTATCAACCATATCAAACGTTGCTTTAGGAATAAGAACACGATTATCTCGTCTTCTTCTTCTTTAGCCTTTTTCTACCCTTCAGGGTGTAGGCCTCCTTCAGTTTATGTCATCTCTTTCGGTTTTCGTTTGATGTCATCGTACCAACGCATTTGAGGTTTTCTCCGCACTTTTTCCACTCTATCACGGCTTTGCACCACGAACACTTAAGTTTCGCAATATGCTGTATGACGTCCGTCACTTTACTCTCGTTATCTTACCCACTCGTTTCTTTTACAATCTCTCAGCGTAACATCTACCAGCTTCCGCTCTACTGTTCTTTGGGCTACTTGGAGTTTTTGGAGAATGTAACAAAATGCTACCACGAATGGTGATTAATCCACTTATCAAACTTCGCAAACGTTGCTATAGGGATAAGAACACGATTACAGTTGTCGATACTCACCGAATTTTATCCGAAAAATAGAACAAATTTAGTGACTTGAGTGTAAATACATATTTATGTGACCTTTTTCATAATAAAATGCATTTTAATGGAAACTAGATTGGAATTGCAAAAAGAAAATCATAAAAAATTAAAACATGTTTACTTAGCTTGTATTGTATTCTCAACAGTCTAAGCCGTCGAGATTAAAATATAAGTTTATGTTTTCGCGATATCCATCTAGGTGGCGGGCAGTGGCTGGACGCGAAGAACTGAAGATCGAGCTCAGTGGCGCCATGGCTTGCTCTTGGAGAGGACCTAAATCCAGCAGCGGACGGAAATGGTTTGATTGTGTTAACAACGTATTTAACTCGTCAAGTACCGTCATTATAGACACAATTATAGAACAATAGGTTGCGGTCACCGGTGACCGCTTGGTGTTTGACAGTTTAAGTATAAGATTTCCTGGCAACTCTGGTACTCAACCCTATAAAGTAACAATAAAAATAAAGAAAGTAAAGAAAATCTTCTAACTGACTGCGGGTCTACGAGCAAAGAGGCTTTACATAAGAGAGGCTTGCTAATCTCTTTACTTGGCAGGCAGGCAGGCAGGCGCCGTTCAAACGGTTCAGGTTTATGATAACAGAGAGTACTGCTCCTGGTCTGTGTCAAATGTGTAGTTCCTAAGTCGTCTCTTGCGACTCTTGTAGGATAGGTAGGGGGAGGTGTGTTGGTGACAAATGAATGTACTCTCCCGTCACCACATAGTGAGTTCTTCACTTCATCACTTGGCTCGCTGTAACATATGGATTTAATAAAAAGAAGTACCAGTAGTCCAGTACTGCGGTCTCGCTGGCATGCACGGATGTGATAAGCCCCCACGCGCATGTACATCCGCTACGTATATATGTGTTGCGCAAACCGATTGTTATATGCTTCCGCGCTACGACTATCCTAGATAAGGATAGATGATGTTGCGAAATTTTGCCAAAAAATATTCTATGACACGTGGGGAGGTCGTGGAGGCCTGTATCTATTTGAGAACCACGTGATTTCGGTATCTCAGCCCTGAAGTTTCGAGAAGGTTCTGAAAGGAATCGCTTTATGTTCACGTCTTGAAGTAGAACACATACTTACGCATTAATGTAGAAATTAAAATAAAACAAATGTATACAAAATATGCTTTTCAGTATTTCAATGCCTAAACGTAAAATTTTAATATTATTGTATTAAGCATGGGGAAGCCCTTTATTGAAATGACGAATTTTTACTAACGTAAGTTTATGGTCAAATATAAATTTAATGAAATAGGTTTAACACAAATCTGTAATTATTGTGGCAAACATGTTTAGGACGTGTGTAAGACATATTGTTGTCCCTGGTTACCAAAAAAGCTAACAAACAAGAACAAATCCTCATTATTTGCAAAGCATTCCATTGTTTTACTTGAAAGGGCAAAGCGAAATCTTGGAGCTTTAGTTCGAAGCTTCATTGAGCGTTTTCATGAATGGCGGGCGTGGTGGGGGTAGCGGGATGCGCGCGCGCCGCCCGACCCGACAGATACTCCGGTCGCCGGAGGCTGCGTCACACGCACATCAGTGGGGTCTACTTCACTGTCGGCGCGCATGCGCAAGAGCGCGCATTCGGCGGGACATTCAAAATATTTAATTTTTTAAATCTTTGTTTTCCATTTTTTTTTTGTCTTGTGCTTGTACTGTACTGTGGTGTTGTTTAGTGTTGTTACAATAACTAGGAGAGTTGTTGGCATGGTCGCGTAAAGATGACGGCTTATAACTTCAGGTAGGATTAGTATTTAAGTGTTTTTTTTTAATTTTATGTCAGAATTTCTGGTCGGTGGTAATCCTTCTGCAAATCATATCCAATTTGTGAACTTCCGATTTACTTTACCTACCTAATATTACTTCAATCAAATCAAATCTGATTCGAATTGATTTTTTTTTATTCTCGTAGTCTCAAATAATACTTAAACTTGCGTTGAAATAAACATTATTGTTTTTCATTTTAAGTATTGTTAGTCAGTACAGTAAAAGCTTCGTACTTACAAATTTCAACTTATTTTTTAACTAAACATTAGACAATACTTGTCATAGTCCACTAGCACGATACTCAACTTAGAAATATTATTTCATATTTATTTAAACAAAGTTTACTGCTCAAAATATTAGTTTTATTTCACATTCCAATTATGCCGGCCGGTATTATGTCAATTTATTTATACCAGAAGTATCTAAGCTGTTGCTTGTTGCGTGTAATACTCGGGCAGGCGTCGAATGATGCTTTTTATATATTTCATTAAATTGAGAACATTATCTATAAACATTCAGCCTTTTTTATACGTTATGTATAGTATGATACGAATTCACTGAAATTAAATTTGCTATTTTTTTTTTACTTATGCCAAAGTCCAGAAATAATAATTTTGGTATCTACAAAAGAATCATAATTACCTAGTTGTATGGTTTGTTCAGTGTTATTCTTACTGTGTGGTTTTTTTTAACAAACAAAATGTATCTTATATTAAAAATATTTATCAACGAAATTAAAAAAATACGATTTCGAATAGTTTCGTACAGATTTACGGTGTTAAACAGACGGAATTATAAGTTAGCAGCCAGCAACAAGCGTTAAAAATAATTGCATTGTAAAAATGCCGGTTTACCAAATTGCGTGATCGAGTTTGATGCGCGTACGCAAAGTACTTACGTTTCGTTCGATTGAGAATCGTGCGCAGTGTTCATGTCTTGTCTGACGGGACCAAAGGACCAATGAGCTTAGGGTCACCACATGTGGTTAGAAAAATAAAATAGTTTTGAAACCAATTCAAATATGACTAAAAAAAAAGTAACGGAAGTTTTTTTTAATTTATGAAAAAAAAAACACTTTTACAATTCGTGTGATACGTCGATAAGAATTTATTTGATAAGTTTAATTGTTGTTTAAAATACATTAAAAACTGAACTCATAGGATCACATTAATTAATTTACCGGAATAAGCTTCAAATTATTTTGAATGACCCCATATAAGTATGCATTTAACGGTACATTTGTTACTGCGACTGCTGGGTATGTATTGCCTGTAATATATTTAGCTGGTTAGCAATTAGCTAAGACTAACTCTAACCAAGTTACTGAAGTTACGAAGCCAATTTCTAAGTCTATGCAATTCCTTTCTTGTTCCTCTTTATTTATTTAAATTGTATCTAAACAGATAAATAAAATTGGATTGTATGTTTGTAATATTAAAATTATCGCTATAGTCAATAGCGATTATATACATATGAATATACATACGATACTCATACCGCCGCTTTTCTAGTTAGGCAATAAATCCTTTGGTCATAAACTAAAAGCTTCATTTAATTTCGTCTGCTAAAAAACATATATCATGCCACTAATTTAACTTCCTCGAATCAGATTATCACCTTTTATAGCATCATCTAATCATAATGAAGCCATTTCATCTCACACCTGATAACAGCTCAAACGATTTTTAGTACCTGAGTGTTATCTGTGGCTTGGGTCCATGGACAACCCTAACATGCCCCTCATAAGTCGTAAATCCAGCTTCACACGAACCCGATTCCGTACAAAAAGTTAAAAAAAGTCTTTAAGATTAAAACTAAAGACCATTGTTCTTTTTATATAAGAACCCGCCGATTCGAGAGAGAAATTCGAAAGAGAATCCAGGCCTTCATGCATAAATTCATTGTCGGTTTTGTGGCAACAGTGAACAGGGCCCGTATAATTAAAGTCTTAGAAGATTTAGATAACGGCAGAAAAGCCTTTCTTTTCATTACAATGTAATAGCAGCACTCGTACACTTATAATAGAGTTTAATTTCCTTTAACTACAATTTTAAGTTTTTGCAAACAGTAGCGATAGGATTGCGTACGCGATTCTTTGAAATTTCGCTTTCAGTTTTGGTTTGTTTGTTTTCGTTGTTATGTCCCGTTTGGTAATATTTCTTTAAGGTCTTTGTGTTTAAGGAAGACTGTGTATATCTTTGATATTATATCTTCGAACAATGAGAGCTTAGAAGTATTAGGAGCTCAGAAGACGGGTGAAGAAATGTATTGTTCCTTGTGATTGAGTTCCGCCGCTGTGTGATGTTATTGATGTTAAATATTAGATGGGTACACTGTGTGTGAATGTAAATCTTGTTGATTCCTCTGTGTTACTGATCTCCGTGTATTCCTTTCATTGTATTATCTCACATGAGTTGGTTTAATGTAAGAAATTGGAACTGAGTGTTTATGTGTAAAAAATTCTGACATCATGAATTCATTGTTCATGAATTTGAATTATATTACAGTTATAGGATTGCAAAAATTGTGATGAAAATATGAGTTTAGATGAAATTATTATATTCTAGAATATCCGTGTGATAGAGAATAGTATAAATATATAAATACATATCTTAATTAAATACAATAAAATTTAACTCGGTATACATTTCATACATGAACTGCTCAAAAATAGGGTTAGGAAATAATCCTATTTTTGAGCAGTCATGTAACAAATAATATCATTGCTTCCTAGAATACCTAGACCTATTCCTTAG